AGCACGGAGGAGTCCCCTGATGAAACCAGGCTCTCCTTGGAAACAGCTAATGATGCTATTCCATATATTGGTCAAAGATTTTCCACTCATGATGCTGCTTATGAATTCTATAGTGAATTTGCCAAGAGCTGTGGATTCTCAATTAGACGTCACCGTACAGAGGGAAAAGATGGTGTTGGAAAAGGACTTACTAGACGCTACTTTGTTTGTCACCGTGCTGGCAACACTCCTGTCAAGACATCAACCGAAAGTAAACCTCAAAGAAATAGAAAATCTTCTCGATGTGGGTGTCAGGCTTACATGCGGATAAGCAAAACAACGGAATTTGGAACTCCAGAATGGCGGGTGACTGGTTTTGCCAACCACCATAATCATGAGCTTTTAGAACCAAACCAAGTTCGATTCCTTCCTGCATACAGAACTATATCAGATTCTGACAAAAACCGAATCCTTATGTTTGCCAAAACAGGGATCTCTGTTCATCAGATGATGAGGCTTATGGAGCTTGAGAAGTGTGTAGAACCTGGATATTTGCCTTTTACTGAAAAGGATGTAAGGAATTTACTCCAGTCTTTTAGGAAATTAGATCCAGAAGAAGAAAGCTTAGATTTATTAAGAATGTGCAGAAATATTAAGGAGAAAGATCCTAATTTTAAATTTGAGTACACACTTGATACAAACAATCGTTTGGAGAATATTGCCTGGTCATATGCCTCATCAATCCAATTGTATGATATCTTTGGTGATGCCGTGGTGTTTGATACAACACACCGCCTGACTGCATTTGACATGCCGATAGGAATATGGGTTGGAATGAATAATTATGGAATGCCTTGCTTTTTTGGCTGCGTGCTTCTACGAGATGAAACCATGAGGTCATTTTCCTGGGCATTGAAGGTAGTATAATGAACACGTCATCGTTATTTGTATCATTTGGTTTTTGATTCAAATTGTGTTGTGGCATCTTAGATTGTTTATTGAAATACTGTTTTTTCGTAATAAAATAAAATAAATGGAAGGACAAAAAATTCTATATCAAAGGTTGGTGGGGCAGTTTTTGGGATATACTAATGTGCAGATGGTCATAAATGAAAGCCAATTCAAATAACTGTCATAAGAGTTTCTCGTTGAGTAGTCTACACGTTGGTAAATGTGTGTAAGTATCTTATGCTAGTGACCATTTTTCTTCTTTTTCATTATTCTACAATGGATAAAGTATTTTACTTGTGGATGAGGATTTCTTTCTTTTTTACTTTCACTAGTGGTCTTCTTTTTCATTATTCTAAAATGGATAAAGTATTTTGCTTGTGGATGAGAATTTCTTTCTTTTTACTTTCAGTCCATTGTGGAATCTGTATTGATTTTTGAGAAGTTCTACATGTCTTTAATTTACATAGGTTTTTGTTTTGTTTTTCTTTTCTTTTTTTTTAATCACCTTCTTGGAAGGCTTTCTTAGGGTTTATGAATGGGAAGGCTCCACAGACTATATTGACGGACCAAAATATATGTCTCAAAGAAGCACTGTCAACAGAAATGCCCACAACGAAACATGCTTTCTGCATATGGATGATAGTAGCAAAGTTTCCATCTTGGTTTAATGCTGTTCTAGGGGAACGTTACAATGAGTGGAAGGCTGAATTTTATAGACTTTATAATCTTGAGTCAGTTGAGGATTTTGAACTAGGCTGGAGGGAAATGGTTTGTTCTTTTGGGCTGCATTCCAATCGGCACATGGTTAACTTGTATAGCTCACGTTCACTTTGGGCATTGCCATTTTTAAGAAGCCATTTTCTTGCGGGAATGACTACAACTGGTCAGTCAAAGTCAATTAATGCTTTCATTCAACGGTTTCTAAGTGCACAAACTCGGCTTGCACACTTTGTAGAACAGGTATTAATCTTTCTGCTTCTCTTGGTTTGGATAATGTTAAATTGGTTTCAACGAGAATAGAAAGAGTAAGTTTTATACTACTTTTTAGAGAGAGAAAATCTTTTATCTTTCTGTTAACTTCGGTTTGCACAATCAGGTAGCTGTTGCTGTGGATTTTAAAGATCAAACTGGTGAACAACAAACCATGCAGCAGAATCTCCAAAATGTTTGCCTCAAAACAGGAGCCCCCATGGAATCACACGCTGCCACAGTCCTCACTCCTTTTGCCTTTTCTAAGCTTCAAGAACAACTTGTGTTGGCTGCACATTATGCGTCTTTTTCAATTGAAGATGGTTTTCTTGTGAGGCACCACACAAAAGCTGAGGGAGGTCGGAAAGTTTATTGGGCCCCTCAGGAAGGAATTATAAGTTGCAGCTGCCACCAGTTTGAGTTCTCTGGAATTCTCTGTAGGCATTCTCTTAGAGTTCTTTCAACAGGAAATTGCTTTCAGATTCCAGATAGATATCTTCCCATTCGTTGGCGTCGAATCAGCATGCCCTCTTCTAAACTTCTTCAAAGTGCACCAAATGATCATGCTGAAAGAGTTAAGTTATTACAAAATATGGTTTCATCTCTAATTACAGAATCTGCAAAGTCTAAGGAACGACTAGATATTGCAACCGAACAAGTTTCCATCCTTCTGTCTCGCATAAGAGAGCAACCAATTCCATTACAAGGCACCAGAGATATTTCTTCCATTAATAGGAATGTTTGATTCCGGTATACAAGATATGGTTGAATTGGAAGTCTGTGGTTCTATGAATGGGAGGCACACTAAAATGTTTTTGAGAAAGCGTAGTGATTGGATTTGTCATGCTAGATTGAAACTATTTGATGGGGGAAAGGTGTCTGTTGGCTTGAAATTCTTCTGCAGTGAAATTTCTGTAGATTGGTAAACGCAGTTGCATTGTATCCCAAGGATTTCTATTCTGTACAGATGTATAGGAAATTTGTTTATATGCATCATTGTATTAATTGCAATCTATCTACCATAGTTAAAAATTTAGAGGATACGGTGTTTGTAATCGGGATTTCAAGGTTCGGATGTAAGAACCATCTCAATACAAATATCCCATTAAAATGCGCCAAAGATTGGTGAGTGTTGGTGCATAAAATCCAACTTAAGCAAATTTCCATTCAAGTTTCCATTTTTAAAAGAGGGTTAATAGACTCTCATGAAATAGGAGATACTCGTCCCCGCAATAGATGTGTGGCCCCGTATTTAAAAAAGAAAAAGAAAAAGAAAGTAAAGGCTTAAATTTGAATGGGTGAGGGCTTTAGATAATATTTTCTAACAGAAGAAAAACACTACCATTTAAAATATGTATTTCTCATTTTATCCCAGATTTTGTCGTATTTCATACAAGGTGTTAACTTTGTGAGTTGATTTTTTTAATGATTCTGTGTTTTTTTTTTACACTGAACGGACTGAGGAAAAACTTCTGTATTTTTTTTACACTGAACGGACCGAGGAAAAACAACTTTAGATGAAGGAAAAATTAAATCAAGTGTAAATTGTGGATGAGTTATCAATGTGAGATAAGATGTAATCTAAAAAGTTACAATTTAACTCAGTTTCAGAATTAAATTTTAAACATTAAACAAAATATTTAAAATTTATAAAAATATAAAAATTAAAAAAAAAAAAAAAAAAAACTCTTAAAAAACTGTGTTGCAATTCTCTTTGGAGAATTGGAGTCAAGGAGTGAAGAATCCTATATTTCGCATTATCATCTTCAATGTTTTCGTTTTTCATACCGTTTCATTTGGTTAACATTGGCCAACACGCTTGAGCTATCATCCGATAATGATTTGATTCCTTCATATGCAAAGCTTGTAAAATTTAAAGCTGAATCTTCTTTTCATTCTTGGATAGAATTTTGCAAAATTTCGTATTCTTCTTTCGCAGCAGCATATACGTTTGCTACCTCCTTAAACATCAAATCATCCAAACCATGTTGGAAAGCATATTGGTCTATTTTCTTTTGACTTTTTAAATGCCTCCTTTTATTTTGTTACAAAGTGGCCTTGTTTTGTGGTTTATTTAGGTTGCCTGTGCTTAGGCTGCTATTGCCAGCAAGCATCCTTGGTTGTGGCCAGGGTTAAGAATCCTACAGGCCAATAGCCCACAAATATTTATTTAATGAGTTAAAGCAAATTACTTTAGTTAATTAGTGAAAATTATAAAGGAGTTTGCATTTGTCATTTAACATGACACAACAAACTTTTCTACACTCCCAATATTCTGTGGGACCCACACTTTTGGAAGAAAAAAGAAAAAAAGAAAAATACGGCATGCGAAACGAATCTCTAGAACATTACACAATCACTTTTCCTACAACATAACTCTTATAAAACCCAATTATAAAACGTGTAAGGTTTCTTAATTTTTCTTACATTTCTAAGTATTTTGAAGTTTGTTGAGTAAGAAATAAAGTAACTAAGTTTCTCTTCGTATACTTTCTTCCGCTCTAACATAGTATTATCATAGCTTGTCAGTTTGAGAGATGATAAATAAAGGAATGTTTCCATGTTAATTTTTTTCGTTGTACAAAAAAAAAATAAAAAAAAAAATTACTATAATAGTTGGTCTCGTCGCATGAAAGCATTGTTTAGATCATAATAATAATATACTTTGGGGATCGTAGAGACTGGGGACACTAAACGTCGCCTGTCGTGGAGATTGCTAGCATCAGACATTGAACTTAAAAAGCCTTTCAAGCAATGTGCTTCGATTCTTACCAGTAGAACATTATGCAGAATTTGATTTTCCAGATAGAAATGGCATTTTTCATAAAACTAAAACAGGCCCATATTCACCAATCCAAGCAATCTTTCATTTATTGAAAAATAAAATTCAATTAAACATGTCAGGAATCTTGCATCATTTATATTAAATGAGACAAATCCTATTCCTTTAATTACAAATTTGTGACTAATAATAAGACTACTCCTTTGGTTACCAAGTTATGTGAAAATGTAAATGAAAAACTTTTGACAACCTATTTCTTCCTACTCAAAGATGTAAAATTGAATCCTCTGTCTACGTAAACACTTGCTTGTCCTATGTTTCATCCTGATCTGACAGTAATCCAATTCCCTGATGACCCAAATGCACTGTCTTTCAGTTGCCATTCAGTGTCATCATAGGACGCGAATGAGTTTCCCCGTGGACTTTCTAATTCATCTAGATCATAAGTATCCTCAAAACGTTGAACTTCCAAAACACTTGCTGGTGAGAAAGCACATTCTTTTTGACAAGGTGTTGCTGAATTCCTTGAAACAAATGGATGGCTAAGTAACTCCTCAGCGGTACACCTCTTACTGGGTTCTCTCTCCAAGCACCTGCTCAAGAAATCCAAACCCTCCTTTGAGAAATGTGTTGGAAACTGAGGTAACACATCACCACGTGCAATCCTGAGAACAGCAGCCATTGGATTTGAAACCTCATCAGACCAAGGAGGCCTGCCAGTAGCCATTTCAATAACTGTACATCCCAAAGACCATATATCAGCAGCAAAATCAAGCATCTCATTTCTCAATACTTCAGGAGCCATCCATAGAGGAGTCCCACCAATGCACTGCCAAGAATTTGCCAAACCTCCAAGACCCTTAAAGTCCTTAACCATTTTTGCACATCCAAAATCAGCCAACTTGATGTTACCAGATGAACCCAAAAGCACATTCATGCACTTAAGGTCACAATGAACAATTCCATGTTGGTGAAGATGGTTTAACCCGTTAAGAATTTCTCTAGTATACACACGAACAACCTCTTCATCTAATGACCCACCAAATTTGTGGGCCACATCTGCCAAACTACCTCCTGCCATATACTCCATAAAAACATTGAGGTTACCTTGGTCCTCCTCTGTCCCCAAACATTGGACAATATATGGTGATGAATTTAAAGTCTTTAGGATTTTGACCTCATTCTCCAAATCCTCACGTCCAGCCCCTGAATGTGCTGATTTCACAACAAAAAGTCCACCGGTGGATTTGTTCATGGCCAAATGGACAGTGCCAAAAGATCCACATCCAACCATTTTCCCCTTCACCCATTCAATAGGTTTAGGCGACACACATTGGCAGATTGCAGCCATACCCAATTACGTAAAGGGAATCCAAAAATCTTTTTATCAGTATTGAATTGGGAACAAAACCTCCCAACTCAACATATGAAAAATTTAATTTTTCTAAAAAAATCATAAACTCTGCAAAATTCCCCAGTTCACCAAAACTTGGAAAATTTTCTAGAGACATACAAATCCAAGGAACATTAATTACAGAGGCTCCAAAAAATACCCACCAGAGAAAAGAGAAAACAGGTTGATCGAGGAACCCTTCTTCTTGCAAATTAGGGACACTAAAATCAAACCCACAAACAAACAATTAATCAAATGAACCATAAAAAAGAAAAGTTTAATTCAACCTATGTGGTTGCAGGAGGTGATTATTTAGAAGAAATGTCAATGGATTGAGCGGTTTCCCAAAAATCGGAAAACCGCTCTAAGGAGCGAAACCCCTTTTGGAAAACAAACGCTCAGAGTATGTTTAAGGTTTCTGAGTTTTTTTTTTTTAGTAGACCGGTTTCTGAGTTTTGGTTGAAAAAGATGAAACAAAAACAAACAAATGAAATGAAAAAGTGAACGCACTTATAAAAGGGACAGTTTTTGGCCGTTGGCCATCCTTAATTCTTGGAAAACTGTCTCTTTGTCTGTTTGGAGAGGACACAGTTATAGTTAAGCCACGGATACACGTGGAATAACGGTATGCTGATATTACCACTCAGCATTATAATTTAATAAAATTTTTGTTCATGTAAAATATTAAATATTTATTAATTTTAAATAGAAGGAATATCTTGTTAATTAATTTTTTTCTTTTTAGATTCTATTATTTTTATTTAACATTTAAATCATTAAGAAAATAAAAATATAATAGTATTCTAATTATGATAAACAATTTATATTTTCAAAATCATGTCAACAATAAATTTCTGCCGTTCATTTTGAATAATTTAATCATGTAAACACCATACACAACTAGTAACAAATCTTATTTTTATGCGAAATTATATTATGTGTAACTTGTAATTTTATGTTTACGGATTTTTTTTCCCAATTATAAGTTTCGTTATTTTTTAATGAGAAATATATTTTTTTAGCTTTCCTAATGAACAGAATTGTGTACTTAATCGTAATGTGTGTTAGAGCTCAAGCTTCCAAAGAGTAGACTTGATGATCGTAGGTGTAGGATACTCCTCTATGTGCTCCAATGAAAAAAGAGGGATATGCACCTCCAAGACACTCCAGCATTTAAGTTAGTATCAATCATAATCATAGTGTTAATCGGTAGAATATTTACTTGATATATATTACTTAATAATTTAGGTAGTGTTTGGTTGAAGGATTATTTTGAGATTGATGAGAAAGTGTAAGTGGATATTGAAGAATACCACGTTTGGTTCAGGCTTTTTCAAAAAAATACTAGACAAATGAGATAGATGGAGAAATGACTTTTGTGTTGATTTTTGGATGAAATTCACTATTACAAAATACCACTTGAGATGTGGTATTTTGAGATAACTGGAAAAGTGAAAAAACAGGTGCGAAGTTTCTCCCGAACATAGATTTTGCAAATTTAAATAAATTTCTCTGGTAATATTTCGGTCAACCAAACAACTTTTTTTACATTTTCCTACCAAACTCATTTTCCAACCATTTCCCTAGTAATTACATTTTCCTAGTATTCAAAAAATTTCTCCTCAACCAAAGAAGAATTTTTTCCTTGTTCATTGAAGTTAGTACTTAATGGGTTTAAACAGGATAATATATCCAGAATACCTAAAGTGTGGCAAAAAGGAATAACATCACCTCCTAAAACATCCATTGCATCGTACAAGGGGAGACACAGATTACAAATGTAGGAAATGTTCGTAGGGTAATGAACACAGTTTTAACGAATCAAATGGAGATGTTCATATTTAGTAATTTTATAAATTAAGAAAACAGTAGACTTAGACTATGTATTTTCTTTTTTCGCAACATTACTAAAATTGTCATACGCAACTTCGATTATCTGTGTTAGGTCGTATATAGTTCACCGCGTATTTTAGAAAAATCTAATCATTTGTTCAGAAAATTTAATTAGGATCTTAATAGTTAATACCTTCAATTAATAATAATAACTATAAGGAAAAAAAAAAATTTTGCTTAAACAATAAAAATATTTTTCTATCACGTTCACTAAAAGTGAGTTAGTTCAAGAAGAAGGGAAAAAAGTTAATGAATCCATTTGAGAGAAAAAAAAATTTGCAATAAAAATAAAAATATTAAACTCTAATAATAATAAAAAATACTTTACTACAAAATAGATCTTTAAAAATCCTTTAATGACAGATTATTCTTTTTAAAAATATAATCTCAAAAAAAAAAAAAACAATAGAACAAATAGGTCGAGCGCTCCAGCTCGTATCTTATACTTAAAATATAAGTTAATTCCAGGTACACAAAAACTAATAATTGATGCATTTCCACCCTACCTCAAAAAGTAGAAAGCGATAAACAACCTAACGTAATATCATATGCATTCATGCCATAAGTCAATCATAATCAATGCTCGTTCTTGTTTTTACTATGCATGTTCTCGGAATTTTATTTTTTTGGGGGGGTATATTATCGGAATATCTTTTGGTTATATACTTATATGCTTAATTTTAACGAACCTATACCTTTTTATCCCAAAGTTTTTTATATTTATCAAATATATTTGGAAAATTAACCATAAAAAATATTCCTTTTTTGGAATTAGTATTTATCCTTTTAAAAAATATAAAATTATATTATTTTAGTCAAAACTATTATATTTTATGGTGAGAGAAACAGAAATAATGGTGAGAGAATGTGAGAATTTTTTTTAATATTTAAAATTATTAATTTTAACTAAAATGACAATCCTTTGGAATGGCAAATTTATATTAAAATCCTGTTTTTATTGACCATTTACATTCACATAACAAAAGATTATTATTTTTCTTTTGTCTTGATGAACAATAAAAATTTTGGTGTGCGTGAAACAGAATTTTTAGACGATGTTTTCTATATCTCTTGGGCCTAAGATTATTTGATTGGGTGACTAATGAGCAAATCTCAAATGGGCCGGGCCTTCCTATAGACCCAATAATACTCTTATTTTATTTTATTTTTTCTTTTAAATGACCGAAAACCCCAAAATAAAAAGGGACAGGGATCTGATATAAGCGAATTTGTTCCTGAATTGAATCGAATCGAATCCAAACCAAACCAAACCCTAACTCAATTTCTCTAACACGTCAGCGTGTCCGGCAACTTTGGTGTCTTTGGCCTCCAAATCAGGTTTTCTTCACATCACTGTAATTCTGCTTCTGTCGAATCAAAATACAAAGTAGAAACTCAATTTCAATATTTTTTTGCCAATTTTCCTTGTTCCTCTGTCTCCAATAAATTTATCTTTCTGTTTCCGATTTTATGATTGATATTTGGTTTCGTGATCGTTCTCCCTTATTTATTTTTTTTCTTTTCTTTTCTTTTCTTTTCTTTATCTATGGTTTGTAGCTGTTTAAGCGTTGTATGGACTGTTGTGTTATTGGCTCTAACAATAATCTATCTATTTTCTGAGTTTAACTGATTCATGGGAGCATAAAGGTAGGTAGATGGATAGACTGAAACATAGGTATTATGATTTTAATAAATTTTTGTATGTCATGCTCGTTGCGCTCTTAATTGTTCTTAGTTCTTCATCTTGAATGCCTAATTTTAGGTCGCACAGTCTCTATGAGCTTTTATGGGCTTGTTTATTATCCATGATATATATTTTCCTTGTTTATTTTGATTTTTTTCTAAATGGATTGTAAACTTCGAATTCACGACTGTGCTTAAGTGATTAAGTGAACTCCCCCAATCTAATCAACTCCATAGTAGATCTTGTCTATCTCTCCACTTGATCCTTCATTCTCACACATCTTATCGGCTGCCCAAAAATTGTCACTTGACTTATTGATTTTCTTCCAGTGTGGTGGAATGACTTTATGACTACTTGCTTCCTTTAAACTGTCAACATCTGGTCCTGGAAATAGATGAGTAGATATAGATAATACTCGCGTCAAATATAACTAATAATATTTATGATATGACATCAAATGAATTAGATTAACATGTAAATGAGTTGGACAGTTTAACTGATTAGGGAAATTTTTGAATTGCTATGCAGTGTGTTAGAAGTATTGAAAATAGGTTGATAAGAAGTCCCACATCGTTATATTAGTTTGAAGTAATTGTTATAGTCGCTCTATATAAGTTAACCTTTTGTTTTCCATGTTATTCAATACAGTGAATATCTTATAATTTCATACATCATTTAAAACTTTGAACTTTATGTGTGAAGCCTGTATTAAGATCTTGTGAACTTTTATGTTCATATTTACTATTGCTAGCTCAGTTACTTGTCTTGGATCCATGATCTTGTGATTGAGTTATCTATTTATGCTAAAATAGGTGCACTAATTAAGTTTTATTAGAAAAGAACAGCAGTAATTATATGGAGTTAGTTGACATAAATTAATTTGGTTTCCATTGTGTCAGTTTTTTGCAATGGGAAGGAAAAAGACAGAGGACACTGGCACATCTGCAAAGGCTAAGACAAGTAACAAAGATGCTCCTAAGAAGGAAAAAATTTCTGTCTCTGCCATGCTGGCCAGTATGGATGAAAAGCCTGATAAACCTAAAAAAGTCTCTTCTTCATCCAGTAAGCCCAAGCCAAAACCTGCTACAAAACCGTCCACATACACTGATGGTATTGATCTTCCTCCCTCGGATGAAGAAGAAGATGAAGAACTCTTGGAAGAGGAGCAACAGCAAAGTAAGCAGAGGCCTGATTTGAAGCCACTTGATGTTCCTATTGCAGAGAAAGAGTTGAAAAAGCGTGAAAAGAAGGATATTTTAGCTGCTTATGCTGCTGAGCAAGCAAAGAAGGAAGCTCTTAGAGATGATCATGATGCTTTCACTGTGGTCATTGGAAGCCGATCTTCAGTGCTTGATGGAGAAGATGATGCTGATGCTAATGTCAAAGATATAACAATAGAAAATTTCTCTGTGTCTGCTCGAGGTAAAGAACTTCTGAAGAATACATCAGTGAGGATATCTCATGGGAAGAGGTATGGTTTGGTTGGGCCCAATGGAATGGGCAAGTCCACACTGTTGAAGCTTCTTGCTTGGAGGAAGATACCAGTACCTAAGAATATTGATGTCCTTCTGGTTGAGCAGGAGGTAGTTGGTGATGATAAAACAGCACTTGAAGCTGTTGTCTCAGCTAACGATGAACTTGTTAAAATTCGACAAGAAGTTGCTTCCCTGCAGAATGCAACTTCTGGTGAAGGAAATGCAGACAAAGATAATAATTATGAGGAGGACGATTCAGGAGAGAAGTTAGTAGAGCTGTATGAAAAATTACAGCTGATGGGGTCTGATGGTGCTGAAGCTCAGGCATCAAAGATTTTAGCTGGTTTGGGTTTTACAAAGGATATGCAGGGCCGTCCTACAAAATCCTTTAGTGGTGGCTGGAGGATGAGAATTTCTTTAGCTCGGGCACTTTTTGTGCAGCCAACTCTATTATTGCTTGATGAACCCACAAATCATCTTGACCTGAGGGCTGTTCTCTGGTTGGAAGAGTATTTGTGCCGCTGGAAGAAAACTTTGGTGGTTGTCTCACATGACAGGGATTTCCTCAATACAGTTTGCACTGAGATTATTCATCTGCATGATTTGAAACTTCATTTCTATCGTGGAAATTTTGATGATTTTGAGAGTGGTTATGAACAGCGCCGTAAAGAAATGAATAAGAAGTATGAGATTTATGACAAGCAACTGAAAGCAGCGAAAAGGAGTGGAAACCGAGCTCAGCAAGAAAAGGTGAAGGATCGAGCTAAGTTTGCAGCAGCTAAAGAAGCATCTAAAAGCAAGGGCAAGGGCAAGGTTGATGAGGACGAGGCCGCACCAGAGGTACCACAGAAGTGGAGGGACTACAGCGTCGAGTTCCACTTTCCTGAACCTACTGAGCTCACACCTCCACTTCTGCAGCTTATTGAAGTGAGCTTCAGCTACCCAAATCGGGAGGATTTCAGACTCTCAAATGTTGATGTTGGCATTGATATGGGGACTCGTGTTGCCATTGTTGGGCCAAATGGAGCTGGAAAGTCTACACTGCTGAATCTTCTTGCTGGTGATTTGGTTCCTAGTGAGGGTGAAGTTCGAAGGAGTCAGAAGTTGAGGATAGGTAGATATTCCCAACACTTTGTTGACCTTCTAACAATGGATGAAACACCTGTTCAGTATCTTCTTCGTCTCCACCCAGACCAGGAGGGACTTAGCAAGCAGGAGGCTGTCCGTGCAAAACTTGGTAAGTTTGGGTTACCTAGTCATAACCATCTTACCCCTATTGCCAAACTATCAGGAGGGCAGAAAGCTCGAGTGGTCTTTACGTCCATATCCATGTCAAAACCCCACATTTTATTGTTAGATGAACCCACGAATCATCTGGATATGCAAAGTATTGATGCATTAGCTGATGCACTGGATGAATTCACCGGTGGGGTTGTTCTTGTTAGTCATGATTCTAGATTGATATCACGTGTGTGTGACGATGAAGAAAGGAGTCAAATCTGGGTTGTTGAGAATGGTACTGCCAGAACTTTCCCTGGAACATTTGAGGACTACAAGGACGAGTTGCTTAGAGAGATTAAAGCTGAAGTTGATGATTGAGCTTCCTTTTGTGAGAACAATTTTTTTAAGCCGATACTTTCACCATATATATCTATACACTTCTCCGGTTTTTGCTGATAAAAATAACTTGCTTCCTGCAGATGCCAGATTTTGTCTCCCTTCTCCCCGTTCTCCATCTTCTATTCTACAACCGAGTGTAACCAATGCTTTTAGTGAGACTAGCAGTTTCTGGTTTACCAATGTTTGCATGTGAGTTCACAAGAATACATACGAATGTGTAGTTCAACTGTTATGACTAAATAAACATATGAACTGTTCCATTAATTGTTTATGCTGTTTCTATTCTATCCAACAAATGACCTCGTAATGATGTCTATTGATTCAAATTTTGAAGTGCAACATCCTCCCAGATGAATACCGTGTCTTCTAGTTATTAAGTGTATTCTTCTTATTTAGGAGAAAAATAAAGGGTTTATTCTTTCTCATAAGAGATAAATTTATTTTTTAAATATACATAGAAATTTGAGTTTTTCCTTTCTTTCTTTTCTCCTCACATGAGCTTCATATATTTTTATGTATGTATAGAAAATAAATTTATTTTCTACAATATAAAAAATACTAAACTCAAAAATAAAAGAAAAAAGACCAGACTTTAGATTATATAGATATTTTCATTTGGTGAATAACGAAATATATATAGGGCTGTAGTATTCACGAGGGTCGTATCTGCTGCCGCGACCTCCAGCTAGTCATGTATGACAGACATACAACTAAACCTCCACCAAAACCAAGATGCTACCGCAAGTTTCCCCCGTTTACCTATAATTACTAATTTGATGAACTTTAGTTATTTTTAAATTGAAAGTGAATCGAAATTAAATCCTAATAATTAATCACCTACACAAAAGGGCAAAGTGATAATGCCATTTGCATTTGCAATGAGTAAGAGAGAGACTTCGATGGAAGAAAAGATACTTGGATTTGGTTTGACGAGATTCTTCCGTTTCTGAAGAACATTTTCTTTTTCACGTCAATCACAATAACAATGTGGATCCACAGTTATTACGAATCCACGCGCAACATACAACAGCAATTTTCTGCTAGAAAAACGAGATTACTTCCTCCTAGATGATTGATGAGGCGCAAATTTTACATAGTACAAACACCCATAGCCAGCGAAACTGGTCGTGTAAGAACATTCCTCAACTTTTATATACTTAGTACTTTGGTGGGAAGCAGGGTAATATCTCGTTATTTAAACAAAGCAAATCAAATCCCACAACAAAAAAACTCATCCAACAGCTTCACAGATGTTTAACGAGATCAAACATAAGTCATACCCCAATACCTCTACAAGAAAGTGCAGCTCAACTAACTACTACTCAGAAGAATGACCTTATGTAAGTGTTCCAACATTTCAAGTACAAAATTAGAAACTGGTGGAAAAAAAGTAGACGAAATGGTACAGATAAGTAAAAAAGTACTTGTAATAAATTCCTGGGCAAAAACATAACTAGAATTAGCAAACAAAACAAAAAGAAAAAGAAAAAGAAAACCTTATTGCAGCTACACCCTTTACAATCAGTTTTTCCTTTTCCACAAAATTGATACACCCAACATATCCAGTTTGTAGCCTGCCTCTATGGTTCAATAACTTGTGTTGGGGATCGCATAGGCCATCCGAGAAGAGGAGGCGATCCTGGTGGAGTTGCACTGTGGCTGGGAGAGAAGAGGCTTAGTTCTACAAATGTTCCAGTTGAAGTAACATCCTTTTCCAATGTCCGAAATGAAATTGATCCACGCTTTGTTGATGCATCAGAATACCTACCAGGACTAGACCGGGCATTTTCATCAAAATTATCTTCCAGATGACTCTGGTTAGCAATAAGGGACACAGTATCATTATGATCATCATTAAACCTCCTAGCTTCTATGTCACGTAGATTTCCCAGAGCTAAACAATCTGCAACTGGACGGTACACAAGCGTGCACATGCACAACCCAGCACAACATGTAAGTGCAAGAAAAGCCAAGAAAACAAAGGCTTCAAACGTAAACTGCTCAGGTGCAGATAACACAGATAAACCAAGGAACAGAACCCTTAATGGGAGGAAACACGAAACTGAGAATAGCAATGTGTAAACCCTCTTCTGCAAACCCTTATTGATAACTAATTTTAAAATCCGACTACCAAGCCAAAAAAGGTAGGAAGTCAGAATAATGGCAAAAAGGCCAAGGAGAATAGTACTGAGTAAAGGGTAAGTACAGAGGGCCATATCATCTCCCCCTGCCATTGAAGAGGCATAGGCTGTACTTGTAAAATAATGAGGCAACTTTTTTCCAGAACCCTTATGCTTGTCTAACTGAGGTCCAACCAAAATAACAAAAAGCTGAAGAACAAACATTGGAAGGCAGTAAAGAAGAATGTATCCAGATGTTTTCACATTCCATTTGCTGCTCATAATTCCAGTCTCCAATCTCTGTAAGGGTGCACGAAGGAGAAACACAAGTGTGAGGAAGAGGCATGGTTCTGCAAACCCCATATTGGATACAATGTAACATTTGCAAACAGTTTGCTGCCATTTTAAGTGAAGGGCACGTCTTAAGAAAGTTAACCGAATAACCTCACCAAGACCCCACCAGATTGCAAATAGGATGAATGTGATTCTAATGATCCAAGGACCACTAAAATAATTGAGCTGAACAAACCCTTGACTTCGAATACGAGAGCGGAAGTAAAATGAGTAAGCAATGCACATCAACCCAAGAAGAATCAAGATGGTTACTAGACAAATTGTCACCACACCGAATGCATCGACAGCAAATCTCGTCAGGGGCATTACCCGAAATACAGATTCCACGCATGCTCTCTGACAGCATGGATACAAGAAATCCTCAGGTCCTTGTGCCTTCTTTCCAGAACTAAAGTATAACTCACAATAGTTCTCAATATTAATAATAGAATATGATGGTTGAACTCAATTTATACATGCATAATCACTCAGGGTAGATGACTCCGCAACATCCTAGATAAATCAAGCATCACCCTTCCATACACTCATAACAGCAACAAGATTATGGGCAATACATCAACCTTTGAACATATATGCTCTAGGATTGATTATCCAATTCAAGCACCTACAATCAAGGGGGGGAAAAACATAAGTAACAATGGAATTTGAATACTTGAATGGCAAACTGAAACAAAATTTTGTTGAGCCTCTAATCTTAGATAATTACAGTTAAGATGTTCTAACCAAACTCAAGGGAGAGAATTTTGGATCATCAAAAAGCTTAATAACATGTTAATGAATGCGCACATGCCATACACAGGTGATGGAGAAACCAAATTGAGAGGAAAAATTATTTATATAAGCAAACAATAACGTCAATATGAGACTAAGCATTACATTTACAAGGATCATATGTAAAAAGGAGAGACTAAATTGATAATTACAGAAGAAATATTAACGCATTCATTTATTTAAATTAACATGCAAATGTCATGTCAAGCAGCTAGTTGAGTATATATCATGTCCATGCCCGTATCCATTGTTCCATCAAAAGCCTTCAAATTATAGGCCTATGACTCATCTTCTCCTATAGAGAAGATAGACAAAATAGACGTCACCAAAAAAGGAGGAGGCAGTAGAGACTTCTAACCGGATTTGTCCTCGGCAAAAGAAACATTTAACTTCAAAACAATAAAGAGACTCCATTGCAATTACAATTAAAAACAAGACCCTTCTTTTCTGATAACCGATCAGAGCCATACAGACGTTCTGCGACTTTAAAGCGCCCTTCTAACTAATAGTAACATCTTAACATAAATTTCACACCCATAGCAATAAATGAACACCAGCTAGTAAACAAAATTAACAGAGTTGGTCTGCAGAAAGCAGCTTTAGATATTGATGACGCACATTAACTTGTTAAATCAATCTTAGCTACTTTCTACGGCATTGAATCATGGAACAATATCCGAAGTTCCGATTCCTTTCTTTCCCCCGCTATCTCAACAACGAAATACATGGTAAACGTTTCATGAAAATTCAAATCTAAATAACGACAAAATAAGACGGAAAACAATATACGGCGAATCGGTACATATACTTGAACATTCAACGAGCGTAAAAGAAACAGCATGAAGACGGAAACAAAGCATGCAGCAAAAAAATGTTAAATGAGGAAGAAAAAAACCACAATAAACATAATGAAATGGCAGAATGAGAAATTAAGGAAAAAGCATATGAACAGGGAAGCTTACAGTGCAGAGAATCTTGATCCAGTGAAGACGCGAAGGCAGCGAACGGGATCAGCAAAGACAAAGAAGGGAGAGAAACCCTAATTGGTTTAGATACAGAGAGAGAGGGAGAGAGAGAAAGAGAGAGAATGGGATGAAGAAGAAGGAGAAGAGAGAAAGAGAAAGAGAAAGAAAGGAAGTTAGAATAGAGAGAGAGAGAGGGGGGAATTGGTGAGTGGGACTTTGTTGGTGACAGGCTGTCTCCAGCTGTATAGTCCGAACGGGCCGGTTCGTAGATAAAAGGACTTGCTTCGGGTTTATTCGAACCTACGTGTCACTACAGTGGCGGCGTCTACGCTCGCCTTTTCCGCTGTCTTTGTCTCACCGGAAAATTATGTCCTAATTTCAAGAAAAAAAATATTTTTTCTATCCCCTTTTATCTAAATTTTAATTAAATTGCACGATACAATAATAAACAAAACTAACAATTTTCTTTTGCGCCAACAAAAATTAACACTGTTCTTTTACCTAATTGAACATGAACTGTTGGATACGTAAATTACATCTTTCTTTATTTGTTGATTTTAAAAATATATACACCACCGTATAATATAATAGAATCTTTATATAAAAAATATTAATATTTTTAATTGATGAAAAATTAATTTAATTTTTCATTTCACTTCATTTTTTATAATTATAAAAAATTCTTGAGTCGAAGCTTGTTGGGATACCGAAAGGAGCCAACTCGCCTCAAAGAAGTAATTAGGGTTGGGTAACTCCAAAAAAAAAAAAAAAACATTCATGAGTTATTAATTTTTGTTTTGTTTTTTTATTAACAATTTGAGAAAGAAAAATGATATTATGATAATGGCATATTGTATGCTTTAATAATAGTGATTCAATCAGAAGTAGCTTTTTTTTTGTTTTTTGTTTAGATCAGTAGTTTGCCTTGAATTTGAAGTTGGAAGAATATCTTCGGATATTAAATTTTTAATCATTAAAAAATACAAAATACTTTTTAGCTATTTTTTAAATTATTAAATTACTAGCTTCAACCAATTATAAAAAAAGAATTGAGATAGTATATTAAAGCGTTAAATTATGGAATGTAAAGGTTTGATGGAAACATTTTTCATTGATTGTATTTATTTATGGTACTCAAAAATCAAACTGGTCCAAGAAGAATAAAGTATGAAAAAACTTAATAAAAACATGGTACAATTTGTATAATTACATAATATTATTTATTTCAAAAAAAATTATTACTGTGCTTATTTTATTCATTTTCATTTATGAAATTTGTGTAAAACATTTTTAATGAGATGAAAATTTTGGTTGATTAATCATTTTGTTCTTATTTATTTTATTTTATTTTCCATTAATTTTAAAATATATATCATTTTGTCTATCTTCTCAACCAATATACATTCTGTTTGTGTTTAGCTAAGATTTGATCAAACTCTAGTCTTAGTAAGTTATTTATTTGAGTAAGTGACTCATTTATTCGAATAAATATCTATCAAATGAGGACAACTTTATACATACTTTATTTATAAAATTTATTTAAATTTTTCATTAATTTTTATGAGATAAATAAATCGATTTTCTCTTGTGCATCGCACTGCACTACTTGATATATAATTTAAAAAAAGGATGAAGTTATAATTTTTTTTTAAACAAGGACAAAATAGTTTGTAATTTTCAAGGAATAAACACTAAAATTAATTTTCTGATTAAAAGGGACAACTTTATACATACTTTGAAAAAAAGAACAAATTGATATATAATTTAGAAAGAGGGATAAAGATATACTTTTTTTAAAAACAAGGATAAAATAGTTTGTAATTTTTTATTACAACTAAAGAATAAACACTAAAATTAATTTCCTGATTAAAGATACATGAAATTTTGAGCCGGTTCTCTAGAAGTCTTAAACATTAATTTAGTTCTTATGCTAATTATTATTTTAATAAAAAGCCACATTAACTTAAAAAAAAATTATATGACCAATTTAATGTTGCTTATACAAGTCCAACTTGGCTGTATTTTCTTGATAAATTATAAAATATTTTTCTTGGAATTTTTACTTTTTCAAAATATGACCATCGATTAGTATTAAAAGAGCAGCCGTATGTCTAGAAGCTACAAAGTTTCACGTGAATTTGGTTTTAATGAAGAGAAACCTGACTTTATCTCTAACTTATTATTTTTTATTTTATAAATTTTATATAAAACATGCTAAAACATTTTATATAGAAAATAAGTAACTTATTTTTAAGGGGAAAACAGACAATTTATATAATTTTTCAATAATATTTAGTGGGCTTAGAAAAAAATATATAAGGGAGATTAGTAATAAAAAATTAAAAATGAAAGTTATTGTAGAACAAACTACAGGAGAGGTATTTAAAATTCATCCATTAAATAATTAATAAATATAAAAATGATATAAAATATATAATAATAAAAATTAAATTTTAAATAAAAGTTAAACAGATAATACATAAGAAATGATTTTCGTTATAGTTAATTACTTAAGTATAATCTTAATTTTTAGTATTTCATAAACGTTTTACATAAAAGAAACCTTATTTTAGAAAATGATAAAATTTATTTATTATTCAATATTTACGACTATTCAATTTGAATTGAATTAAATCATTTTTAAAAAAATTTAGATGGTATCCAAGTATAATAAGATTATTATTATTTTATCGAATTTGTAGTACAAATACTATTTATATAGTAATCTATTAATACTGAGTCATTTTTATTTTTATTTTGTGCCCCATGCAAAAAGACAACTAATTAAAATTGATACACCTCAATCTACTTGTAGAAAGAGAGATTTCCTAAGAAAAGAAGAGTAAGATTAGAAGGTAGGTATTCAAATTCTTTGTAGTCTTCCGCCATCTCACCAGTGAATCTCTATATAGGTATATTGAATTACCGGTTTGGTGAACACAAAGACTATATTAGTTTAGTTGAGTCACTTTCAATTATAACTTTAAGAACTGCCCTTATTTCAGTACACATACTGAGTTTAATTTAATGGAAAAATCCTCAAGCCACTGACCATGTGACCCTCGACAAATATCTCCACCCATTTGTTGTGCCATTTTTCACCCACATTTCCTCTGATGCAACCGGTTCACGCTAATAATTCCCTGGATGATTATCTTTCTGACAAGAGTCATTTTATACGTTAAACATATGTAATGATCTTTATTTATTATTTAATTGTTATATAAGGATTTTTTTTATCAAATCTATTTGTTAAATTTCTGTTATTAAATTATATATGAAAATATGTTAAAATATTGATATTATCTATTAAATAAAAAACAAAAATGGTAAAACAATACGACATATAAAACAATTAGGAAAATCATTTTTAAATAAAAAAAATTGAACCGCTAGACACAAATTAGATTTTATATATTTTTATCTTTATGCTATTTAACTGATTTATAAATTTTCATTGTTTTACAAAATAATTTTATTAAATTGTGTACTAAAATAATTCTCTTACTTTTTTCTTACATATATGTAATTTTTCTTTTATCAACTCACTATTTTTTTTTTTTTTACCTATTTGAATAATGAAATTTTTTCCTATCACTAACATCTGTAATTATTATTATTATTATTATTTATTACATTTGTTAATTCTAAATTAATAGAAAACACTTAAAACTAATTTATTATATAAAAAATTATTAAAACCTATTGTCTTTATTATTCCTATTATGAAAGAGTGGAATTCGTAATATATATATATAACAATTTTTTAAAATACTCCATGCATAGTTTGAGGGCAGGCCCTTTTTAGAAAACAATGTCCTCGTTAAAAAAAGGGAAAAGTACTTCTCATGTGACTGCAGAAGGAAAAACTTGCAGCAACACAGGATACGCGTCCGAATCTTGGTTTTTTTTTTTTGTTTTTTTTTTTATAGAATCCGCACGTGTATCCTAAGATCCGCACGTGTATTCTAGTGTTAAAAATTTGCTGCAACTTTTCTCATCAGCAGTCACATGAGAAGCGACGGACCCTTAAAAAAAATACAATAATAAAAAAGGTAGAAACCACTGTACGCTGAGTTTTTTTTTTTAACTCCTTGGACAAATTTCTCCTTTGATATTCTCCTTCAATCAACTTTAAATAAAAAAAAGACATAAGTCATGAAAAAAATAATTCTATATATCTTCTTACAAGTTTGAGCCAAACTAATTAAAAAATTGATCAAAAGATATTTATGCTGTGATAGATGGGCTTTTGAAAAAATAACATTTTATGTATTGCTTATTGTAGAAGTCTTTTTTTCAAAAGTCGAAGTTATTTTGCATTTGACTTATTGCGTGAAAGATATTTTTTTACTAAATATGATTTGGATGTTAAAATTTAAAATAAATATTTTTATATAGAAAATGACTAATAATGATATGTAAAAACAAATGATGGAAGCAAGATTTGGTTATGGTAGAAGTTAGGGAGGTGACAACGACGGGGTGGTAGAGGTGGGGTAATGGTGGTGGCAGCAACGATGACGGTGATGGCGATGTATGGTGATGGTAGAGGTGAGATCGGAGTTGGGGTTGGGGTGTTGGAGACAACGGGGTATGGTAGCGGCGATGAAAACAATGATGACAGCGGTGACGGTGGCATTGATGACCATATAGGTGGGATTGGTTGGGGTTGTGGTGGTGGTGATAACAATAACAACATTGGTGGTGGCAATGGTTACAATGGCAGAAGTGGGATTAGAGAAAATTTAGATCTCGTCAAAATATTGGTCCTCTTATGAGAGGACGTGTTAGAGTAAAATATAAAACCATTAAAAAAGCTCTCACTTAACAACTTAAACTTAAGGGTTGAATTGATTTTTTAAATGCATATTGAATTATCTGTCCAGAAGAGATGGATTATTGATAATTATATAAAAAATTTATTGTTGTCTTCAACTTAATGTTATGCAAAATAATGGGGTATTATATACTCTACCCAAATAAGAGTTTATAATATGCTAATTATTTTGTTGTTGCTCATAATTATTCTTATTATATTATACGTGATAAACATGTTTGGTTTGATATTAAAGTTATTATGGGATATGTGTACTTAATTTTATTATTACAATATGAATTTATTTTGAAATAAATTTTTTTATCACCCATTAGAATGATTTTGATATGTATTTCTTACTTGAAATGGCTTGGATTTCATGTTTTTTTGTGATAAAAAATAACTTATGTTAACTCTATTAGTTATGAATTTTATTTTATTATTGGGTATATTTTGGTGCAAAATATATTGAAAATTTAACACAAATTCATAATATTGTACAATTTTGTACTCCCAGCTTGTATTGCATGCTTTAATATTTTGGATTGTATACTTCTACTTGAACTGTTTAAATGCAAAACTTTTTTTTAGAATGCTATTGCATTTGAATTCATGATTAGTGAGGGTGTTAAATCTCGTGGATTATGTTATGATTTTAGGCAAGAGGTGTAGGAGTTTCTATAATTATTATGAGTGATTACCACCAAAGTGAATTGCGTGTATTGATTCATGAAAATTTCTGTAATTTAGTAATGCTTCTAGTTATTTCATATAATTTTCTGCCCAAAGGGGGTTATTGTGTGTTTTGATTGAAAACTTCTTGGAGATGAAGTTATTGAAGGTGCATTGGTCTAGGTGATTTGTCTTTCCAAAGGAGACAAATCTCTTAAGCCAATGTATGCTCACAGAGTATTTTTTTTAAGGTTACAAATGAAATTTTTAGAGGCTCATTAATCGAGAGATCTATCTGCCCAAAAGAGATAAATTTTCAAACTCAATGTTGTGCTCAGTGATTGATTCATCTGAAGCTCTGACCTTGGTTTAAACCTTGATTTGTGTATTCTACCCAAAGAGAGATGCACTATTTTGTTAGCCTTATTGTGATAACATCTTATGCTTATTGAATTAATCATATGAGGTTTTGACTATGGTTGCGACTTTGGTATGTGCATTTTCCACAAAGGAAAATGTACTATTGTGTTGGCTTTGTTGTAATAACTTGCTTTGATTAAAGATATATCTTGCCTTATAATTTATTTTGATGCATTCTTTTTTTTGCCTGAGAGTGAACCTTTTTTATTAATTTATTTAAATTAGTTTAAAAATATATATATTTGACTAATGCACTGGATGAAAGTAAGTGAGAGTAAATATATCTTTTTAGTACTTCATGTAGATGACATTTTATTTTCTACTAAGATGTTGATTTGTGAAATAAGAGCTTAAAAAGCTTTGCTAGGAAAGACCTTGGAGTATCCTTTTTTGCGTATAGAACAAGAGTATTTTAGATTTTTTTTATTCCCCCGATTAATGAGAGTTATACTCAATACTTTCTTTTGAGTATTTTAGATTCTTTTGATCAGTGGGAGTCATATTCAGTTTGCTTTTCCAATCACTATTCTATGCAAATTGATGATGATTTTGTGACATTTGTTTAAATTTTCATAATTGATTATCATCGTTGTTGTTATTTCTCTCGTCGATTGAGAAATATATGTATGAAAAGTATATGTAAGTATGTTGTGAGCTTAAAGATGATCGAATGTCACAAATTTTGAGATCTTATGTTGTATTGTGTGACATATTGATTTATCTAACTTGAACAATTTCATGTCATTTGAAAATTGCGTTTATTCAATTTCATGTTGTTAAAAAATTAGATTGAAAAAGGCAATTTTATGTTGTTTAGAATTTGTGGTAATGCAATTTCACGTCGTTGAGAAATTGCATTATGAAATGTAATTTCATGTTGTTGAGAAATTACATTGAGGATCGAAAAGAATTAGAGTGTTATATTGTTGATCATATTTTGACACTAATTCTTACTACATTACTAGGCCCGTGATTCATGAAGATATAATACTTATTGTATATGAGTATGAAATGTTATATGCTATGATATTTTCGATATATTAATCGCCATGTTCCTATGATAGGGTTATGTTAGATTGAATTGCATTGAAATGCTGGAATTGAAATATTATTTTTTCAAATTGTGGCCATGTAAAATGATTTTTAGTTATTAACCCGATAAATTCGTTTTTCAAATAAGGCTTTAATATTTTTACAGTGAATGTAGATAAGTTATCTACATTAACTCCCAAAACGATGTCATTTTGGATTGGAAGATTAAAAAATTATAATGAGAAAGACTATTATAACCCTGAAATAAGTTATAATTACAAAAATACTTTGATTTTCGTTCCAAAACAACGTCGTTTTGGGTTCAATGTAAATAACTTATTTACATTGACTGCAGAAAAAATGAACTCTTAAAATAAAGTTATTTTCAAAATAATAAATATAGCCTAATTGGGAGAATGTTGAAATTTTTTACTTATACAGGCAATATTAATTAATTAGTTTAGTGTTTTAAAATTAATCGGGTTAATGGATATTTCAATTGTATTATTTTGACTAGCCCATAATGTGATGATATTGAGTTGGGCTTATGTTATCTGTTGGTATTTGGCCTAGTTGGACAACAATATGATCTTTAGTGTGACTCTGATTTTATGTGATGGGTGAATTCAAACAAACTATTTTTAAGGTATAGATCTCTTCTCTAACCTATTTATATTTGGATTTAGTCCTATAAGCCATCATGCTCCCATCGCACTAAGGTTGCCACTTTCGAAATAAGTCATAGAGAAGAAGTAACTTTAATTTCATATTATTTGGATATTTTATAATCACGTAAATAAATATGATCTAGAAATAATAAATCTTACACAATCTGATTGGATCCAACAACAATGTTTGATACATGAGCACAAAAAGCATTGCAAAAAGCAGCGCACAGAGGCAGCGAGGAGATTTCCTTAGAATCAACTTCCATCATCAACTTCCTATATTCCATATGATACCCGTAGAGGTCAGGCAAGGCACTCAAGCAAAGTAACTGATCACTTTAGGCATAGCACGGAAGGAAACCACCAACATCATTACACAATAAACCGAGTAAACCAACACATCTACGTTTACTTCAATATAGTATTTGTTCCTTGGTGGATTCACGATGCACTTTTGACGTTTACAAAATAGTAGATAGCTGCAAAAGGTATTTGTCCCCTTGTTTGCAAAAAAGAAGATGATCATATATTGTTAAGGATTGATACAAGAGACTCATTTATTACTAAATTTAACAATGGGCAATTTAAATATAAATTTGATATAATTAAAGAAAGATATTCATCAAAGATATCGATCGTAATGCGACAACATTAAACATGAGCTTGAACTACTAGAAAAGGCAAAGAAGATTCAAAATCTAATATTCATATATAAATTCTATAATTAGAAGGTAAAGTATGATTATTCTTTCTCTTATGTTACTCTGCACACATACCACCAATTTGACAAAAGCTACTATTTACTTTAGTACAGAAGTAATGTGATAAATTCAAAAATATCTAATTCATAGATATCTTAAAGAACGTATCTAAATCCAACGAAAACTTACTCGTCCATTGGATTAGACATCTTTGTCTTCATGACATAACAAATTAAAATATCTAAGGCTAAAGGAAAGGGTTATATATCTTAGCCACTAGAAATAACCAATCTGAATAATTTACCTAAAATTATTAAAATTATAGATTCTATCTCTCTCTCGAAACAGGGTCCATTTGAGGGCCGTTTTCATTGCATCACTGGGACGGGATTACAGAGTAGTTACTCACTAATCATAGAATCTAAATCCTACTTGCTGGAGAGAGTGTGTGTGTGTGAGGGGCTTTGGCTTGGTTTGGTTTCTTAACAAAATCGAATTATAATTAAAGGGGCGACACGTGGCAACAGTTTTGCTAACGAGAGCACGTAATTTTGCATTCCTGGTATATTTGCATATGCATAGGCATATGCACGACGTTGTTGTTGATGTTGTTTTTTATCTTCTTATTCTTATTAAGTTGTTAATAAGCCTGCCAGCCCAATAGAATAGAATGGCTGCCAACTCTGATTCTGGTTTGAACTAACCCGCATTTCTTCGTCATTTTCACTGGCGCCTCTCTCTAGATCCGATTATCTCTCCTTTCTTCCCTTCTTCTCTGTTACATTTACATACACACCTCACCTCATCTCATCTCATCACATCTCTCCTCTTCGATTTTCATCACCCACATTTCCATTTCCATTTTTCATTTCAAGGTTTTGCTTGGGTTCTGTTTTATTTCCAATTTTGATTTCAAGCTTCTTTTATTTAATTTGGGGATCTGGGTTCTCTCTCTCTCTCTCTCTCATTTCATTTCCCTCCCCAATTAATATATACTATACATTACATTAACAAATTCATTTCGCAAAATTGGATTTGGATTTGCACTTGCACTTGCATTTGAGGGACTTATGGGTTGTGTATGCTCCAAAGGAAAATTCGCAAATGATTATGTTGCTGGTAACGGTAAGCATAAAAAAAAAGACAAAGAATTGAAGGCAATTAGATCCTCAGCGTCCCTAACAGTAACAGAGAATGATTCTATTGCTACTGCACGCCTCATATCCAATCCCTCTCGGGCTGCAACTCCCATTTCCTCCGATGAAGGGGAGAAGAACAAGAACGGGGCAACTACTGCAAAACCACTACTTCAGATGGGATCAGACGTGGGTGGAGGACAAGGACAAGGACAAGGACAACCTAGGGTCTCTAAGATATTTAGTTTAAATAGAGGGGAAAGAGGAGCACAGGTTCTTGCTGGCTGGCCTTCTTGGCTCACCGCAGTTGCAGGGGAAGCCATTAGTGGTTGGATACCTCGCAGAGCTGATTCATTTGAGAAGTTGGATAAGGCAAGTTGGATGGATATATATTTCATGCATTGCTTTGTTTTTCCCATAATGCTTCTATATTTTACTCAACTAAACTAAATTCATTATTTGTAATGCAATATATCTTCTTTCACACTTTAAGCATTCAAGTATCCATTTCTTTTCTGTTGATATCTACCCTTGTTAGAAGAGATCCCTCAATAACAAGCTTTTTATGTGTGCAAAGATAAGACATTTGACCTTTTTTTTTATTTTTTTATTTTTTGGGGCATTTCATCATTTCTTTTCCTTTTTAATTTTTTCCTTGAGAGAAGCTAACAATGTTTCCTATCATACTGCAGATTGGTCAAGGAACTTACAGCAGTGTTTATAGAGCTCGTGATCTTGAGACAAATAAAATTGTAGCATTGAAGAAGGTTCGATTTGCTAATATGGATCCAGACAGTGTTCGTTTTATGGCAAGAGAAATTCTTGTGCTGCGAAGACTTGATCATCCAAATGTCATGAAGCTTGAAGGCATGATTACTTCAAGGGTTTCTGGCAGCTTGTACCTTATTTTTGAATATATGGAGCATGATCTTGCAGGGCTTGCAGCAATACCTGGCATCAAGTTTACTGAAGCACAGGTACCCGACCTGAGCCTCTGATTATGTGTCTAGATTCATTTACAACTGTAAACTTTGTCTTGGAAGTATTTAAAATTCACCTGTTTTAATTTTTCTATATATAAACTTGCATAGTGAGCCTGATTATTTGAATAATGAACCTTAGTGTCTAATATCTATATAATTAACAGAAGAATGAGATGAATTCTCAAAACAGATATGGACTGGATTGCTAATTTTCTGTCTATACCAAAATCACCACTATTTCTTCGATTAAATTTTATGAGTCAAAAGCACTCTATCTGCTCAGAGTCCTAGCGGCAACTTTTGAGCATTTTTAAACCGAAGGGTTTCTGTGGGATTAACGGCCTAGAGTCCTATCTATTTTTTCTCTCACTCAGTATCTTTCAGTTTTACGAATTGCTTATTTCACCATATTGTAACAATCCCTAGTAGCTCTATAAATTAAAAAGATCTGATTAACGGCCTTGGACGCTGCACTTAGTTTGTGTATTATGCAGCCAATTAACTTATTATTTGAAACACAAGAAATTTGTTTAAAACAAAAGGACAAAACCAGTAGGCTGTTAACCATTTGCATCCCGCTGTGTTTACAGCTCTAAAGTTTCATGTCAGATGTCTTGTCCAATTTTCCTTCCTCATTGATTGGCTTCTGGATCTTTTGTTTTCACAATAGGCTTATATTTTATCATGCTGCAGATCAAGTGTTATATGCAACAACTTCTTCGTGGCCTTGAGCATTGTCACAGTCGTGGTGTTATGCACCGTGACATCAAGGGTGCAAATCTTCTGCTTGATAATAATGGCAATCTGAAGATTGGTGATTTTGGGCTTGCAACTTTGTTTCAGCCATCCCAAGGGCAGCCTTTAACTAGTCGTGTAGTGACATTGTGGTACCGGCCACCTGAACTTTTACTTGGAGCTACAGATTATGGAGTTGCTGTGGATTTGTGGAGTGCTGGTTGTATTCTTGCAGAATTGTTTGCTGGGAAGCCAATAATGCCTGGGCGAACAGAGGTAGTATTCCTCTTTTGTCCTGGATATGTGCATTTTACATTTTATTGGACACACCGAAACCTTTTCATACATTATCTTGAGCATCAAATAAGTCTCAAACTTACAGCTCCTCTTCTTTTACCTGTGCAATATTGTATTGGAAGAGAAATTTACAGATTGACTGTGCTGTAAAACTAGGAGAGATGTAAATGATAATCACATTTCTAACCTAACTCCCATCATGTTAGTTTTTATAACCACTTAAGTTATCTGCAATCATGTTATTGATGAAGAAAAGGAGCTTACAATTTAAACCAGTGTTTAAGAAAATGTGGATGAAAGAAGAATGATAATATGCATTTTGGTGTAATGCTTCTGATGGTCCAGTTTGAAGTACTTGATTGTTATAATATTTCTTTAATTTAAAACTTAATACCTTCAACTATCTCATTGATATATATGTTTTTAATTTGTCAAGCTTTCTATGATTTAATTGGGCACTAAGATCTGGTAATCTATCATTCTAGGTGGAGCAACTTCATAAAATCTTCAAACTTTGTGGATCTCCTTCTGAAGAATACTGGAAGAAGTCAAAGCTACCGCATGCAACAATTTTTAAACCTCAGCAACCTTACAAACGTGTTGTTTCTGAGACTTTCAAGGATTTTCCTTCATCAGCACTGAGTCTCTTGGAGGTCCTTCTTGCTATAGAACCGAAAGATCGTGGAACTGCATCTCTAGCACTTCAGAATGAGGTAGTTATAAGTTCTGTTTTGAGTAAAGTTCATAGTACACCACCATGTTTCTCTGAATGGAATCCATATGTCACATCCTAGAATTTTCTTCATGCTGTGAACTTAGAAGATTTTTTCCTACTCCTTTTCTTAGTCACTGACATTTTTCATGTCCAGTTCTTCACAGCAAAGCCACTTCCTTGTGATCCATCAACTTTGCCAAAGTACCCTCCGAGTAAGGAGTTTGATGCCAAACTTCGAGAAGAGGAAGCTCGAAGGTATTCCATCAACTTTTGTCATATCAGTTTTTTGCATTATCTGCAACAATCGCACAAAATTATGCTGCTAGTGTATGCTTTGATGATAATTTGTCTTTTCTGTTCATATGGTAAACTAAAATCTCAAGGGGAATGGCATTATTTTCAAAATTTAACTTGAATGACAAGAATAATAGAAAAGCTCTCCTTGGCCTTTTTTCCTCCCTCTTTGGCATTTTCTTGGAGATGATGATTGTAACATCCTGAGCGCTGACGAGGGCGGGAAGTGATCGCCGGTGCAAAGAGGCATGGACAAGGAGCGACTTCTGACAGGCTTCCAGCGGGGGGTTACATGCATGAATAAATCGAATCGACACCCGAAAGAGAGGGATTCCAAAGGCTGTGCAGGTATAAGGCTGCACAGTTTGGGATAGCTTATAAGAATTAATTGGTACTACCTATACTAACAAGATGCATCTGCTTTTTGGTAGCCCGGATCGGAAGAACTCCACAGTTAAGCGTGCTTGACTTGGAGCAATTCTGGGATGGGTGACCTCCTGGGAAGTTTTCCCGAGAAGTGTGCGAGTGAGGAAAAAGCACACTGAAAAGTCTCGTGTTAGTATGTAGGGATAGTCATTGATTCTTGAAGTGGCTGGGCGTTACAATGATTTCCTGAACCTCTAACTAACGTAAAAAGTATCTGAGTGTTTTTTTGGTTTGTGTTTCGTCTTGTTTTTTCTCCTTTCTGTGAGATAGTGGCTTTGGCTTGATTTGATTCGATAGTGATACTTCTTATTTGTCTATGTGTGTTACAATTGTTACCCATTTGTCTATTTTAAAGCAGACGAAGAGCAACAAATAAAGGACATGAACAGGAATCAGTTAGGAGGAATTTTAAAGAGTCTAAAGCTGTGCCAGCACCTGATGCTAATGCTGAGCTTCAGGCATCAATGGAGGTACTTTAAATCATAAACATAATGTTAATGGATTCTTTTTCACAAAAATTTATTTGGATTTGACTGATACACCTTTTCCCATGTGATTTTTTTTCTCAGAAGAGACAAGGGCAGTGTAATACTAAGTCCATTAGTGAGAAGTACAATCCTGAAGGGGATAGCGGTTCTGGCTTCCCTCTTGAACCTGCACAGTCAAGAGCGCTCAACGTCTTCTCTCATTCTGGCCAGTCAATGCATCCGAGTGCTTATGGATCCTCACGCCATATGAATTTGAAAGAAGAAGATGTGTTTAGATCAAGAAACTGTGAGTTGAGAAAACAAAAATCCTACTGGCAAGGTAGCTCTGCACAATTGTCAAGATTTTCTAATTCAGTTGCAGTTCGAGGTGACTCACGGCTTGATATGAGTGGAGACTGTAGTGTGAATTCGCAGTGGCCAGAGGATCAATTTGGTATGAGATATAGCCGTCCGGCTGATGATGAGTCCAACCAATTGCTGGATGCACCCAAGTCTTCACGCAGGAAGGACTACCATCCTGTTGGGAAGGATCGTGCCATGGTAAAGAAATTAATGATTAACAATAATTTGTTCAATTGCTCAATTACTCTAGTCAGCATTACGTGCCCCTCTCTGAGAATGGGGAAAAGATGAGTGTATAGGTATTGAGGCTATAGTTTGCTTGCCTGTCTTGATGTAGAGATTTCCGTGCAGTGTATGTAATGTGGTTAATATAATGAACCCAAGAATGTTGGGAGATATCTTCTCCCTTATATATATATATATATATATATATATATATATATATATATATATACACTCACTATGACTATAATACTGGAACCTGGTATGTAAATATCCGTAGAATGTTCATTTTTGGTAATTAGTGTTGTATGCCCAATACGACTATGGGGCTATCAAGTAATCACTTGCTTTTATTGGTGATTGCAGGGCTATGCTCGCAAAAATGGCCGCATCCACTATTCCGGACCATTGCTGCCTCCAGAGGATAATCTTGAAGAAATGCTTAAGGAACACGAAAGGCAAATCCAAGAGGCTGTCCGCAAAGCTCGTTTGGATAAGGACAGGACAAAAAGGGCCTAACTGAATCAATATTTCACCATGCGAGAAATCACAAGTGACTTTCAAGAGGGTTTTGGATGCATTAATTTGGGACGAGGACACTCGAACACAAGATTGTAATTATCATAATGCCAAGATAAATTTTTGTTTTGGTCTTGATCCCAAGAGATGACTTCAAGACTCGTGGGGCTTCATTACATCAGATGTTTATAACTACCATAGAAGGTATTGTAGAGAGTTCTAACCAACAAACTTACATGTTTCAGGATGGTGGGTAGTCTATAGAGCAAATGAAAATCCATTGCGATTAACTGTATAAAAGTTAAGTTGTTTTATTTCCAGATGGCGAGGTCATCTCCACGGCATTACTTTGTACATCTGAATTGATTTTGCCAAATTACATTTCTTCATTTAATGCACAGGCTAATCGGTTATTATCCAAGTTTGATATGTATTTTCTTGACATAATTTTTTTATATTAAAATACTTTAGTTATTACTTGCAATCAAATATTAAAGTTAGAACATATATGAAATAAGATAGAGCCAAATTAGTTAAACGTGTGAGGTGGAGAACCTAGATAACTAATAAGACTTACGAGCATGTTTGTTTGACATTTTGTCAAACGTGACATGCCTCCATGCAGATTGATAACGGCTCCGAACCCATTGAATGAAGAAATTCTTCCTTGGGTGAATGCAGGGGAATGTCAAACAAAGATATTGTATGTGTTCCATTCCATCGTACATTATTTTGGTAACGATATTTACATGATAATTAAACAATCAAAATTTATAATCTTCCCCACCCCCCTTCATATTTTTTTTTTTTTTTTTTTTGCTAATTTGTTTTCTTTAGTCTAATTTCTGAACAAGATAGAGTTAGTAACGTGAGCTTCCATGCAACTTCCTTTGGTTTGATCTTAAAAAAATAAATTATAATCCTTAATTCATTTAAGCTTTTACGCTTCTTTATAATTGTGTTGTTCTAATTAAAGGCCTTTTTGTAGTTAAACAAACCTTAAAATACGTTCAAATGTGTTTTCACTTTTCCCCCGGGTTTTCACAATAAGAAGTTGGGTGTGGGACAATGTTGTTATCATTTTATATGCATAACTAGAGTAGATATAGTTTGTCAACCAAGCCAAAGCAAACAAAATTCACGAATAAGCTCATAGATATAAAATGAAATTCCACCAAATTTGCAGGTGCAACAACAACCACCACACTGTTATTTACTTCATTCACAATTCTGACAGCTCTTTTGTCTTCATCAAATATCCACTGCAAGCCTCTTCCCTTCACGTCCAAGCATACATCAACCGCTAATTATTATACATACACCTTCCCCTGATCTCTTCTTCCCGAACTCTTAATTAGCATTTTCTTCCTTACCCTTAAAATAAATATAATCTTACCTCAATCCCTGAAATTCCATAGCTTTAATTTTCACTCACTTACTTATACAGCCCAAAGGGAAAAAGAAGAAGAAAGAAAGAAAGAAAGCAAAAACAGTTCCTCTCTCTAGCTAGCTACACAAACACAAGCATGAGACCTAAAGCACATCAAACCCTCAACTTGAAGCTCCTCATCGTAGCGGTCTTGGTTGCCTTTTTTCTCCTCTTTGTGCTAAGATCAAACTTTTCTACTTCCAGTACTTCCAGCCAAGACCACCTGTCCCCAAGTTCACAATCATTATCTCAACCAAAAACATGGAGCGAGATAAACAAGGATTGTTCCTTAACATGCACGAAGATCCCACCTTCCTTATCGCAAGCTCTCATCCACTATTCAACCTCAAGCATAACACCACAACAAACACTGAAAGAGATATCAGTGTCAGCAAGAGTTTTGGAGAAGCGATCGCCATGCAATTTCCTAGTATTTGGGTTAGGCCATGATAGCCTGATGTGGAGTGCACTGAATCACGGTGGTCGGACAATATTCCTGGAAGAAGATGAGGCGTGGATAGAGCAAATAAGACGGCGGTTTCCCACGTTAGAGTCGTACCATGTGAGCTATGATAGCAAGGTGAATGAGGCTGAGAATCTAATGGAGGTTGGGAGAGGATCACCTGAGTGCACTGCATTGGGAGATCCTAGATACTCAATTTGTCAACTTGCTTTGAAAGGTTTGCCAAGTGAAGTGTATGAAACAAAATGGGATTTGATAATGGTGGATGCACCGACAGGGTATCATGATGAAGCACCTGGAAGGATGACTGCTATATATACGGCTGGGATGATGGCAAGGAACAGAGAGGGTGGAGGAGAGACGGATGTATTTGTGCATGATGTGAACAGGGTCGTTGAAGATAAATTCTCCAATGCATTTCTCTGTGACAAGTACATGATCCAACAGGAAGGCAGATTGAGGCACTTCACTATTCCCAGTCACAGGGATGGCGCTTTCGACAGGCCATTTTGCCCTCTCTAGACTCTAGACAGCTAATACTTACTAGTAGTCCCTAATATTCATTATCAATCTTAATATTTCTTTCATTCATGTCTTTTAAATTTTGATCTTGCTTGATTGCTAGATTTTACTAGACAAATTTTGCATCCACATTACATTACGTGGAACTTGGACCACCCAATAAAATTCTCATCATATGATTTAAATAATTTGTATGGAGAATGAAAACGCTGCTGAGCCTTAATTTACATGTTGGAATGCACTCTTCCTTTATTTTGTCTCCTGGTCCCGATCATATCATATAATATCATATCATATCAGGATGGATGGATCAGAAGTCGGATTAATACGCAATTAAATCATTTCATAAATTTGTCAATAGTAGTACTGTACCCATGATCGGTGGAGTTTCTTCCAATGCAAAAACCCTTTTATTGTGTGAATGAGAAGAAAAAGCAAAGGAGGAGAGTCAAATGTGATGATAGTAAAAACAGTGAATGAAGGATAAATGTGATGAATAAAATAAAATTATAAAACGACAAAACTTGGCGGTTTCAGGTGTAGCCTTGTAGGCACGCACGGGAGAATAGAATAGGACAGAGGCCACGTGTTCAATTAACAATCATACACATCCCATCCCCATCCTATCCTATGTGGCAAGAGGAATTCTGATTATTGTAATAATAAATGAATTGCACAACGTCAAATGTTTTTCTCTTTTTGGAATAAATTTTTATTGAAATAGTGCATGTAGATAAAAAAATATCATATTACTTGATTAGCTGTTATTTAATTTTTCACAAAATATATCATATTCCTTTTTTTCATATTTGAATTTTTTTTAATATTATGGGAAATTATTTTTTAAAAGTAATGAAATTTTTTCCAATTATGAAAATAGAGATTACCGAACCCTAAATCCTAAATATTAAATTTGGATGCTCTCTAATACCAAAGTTTTGTTCCTTTTTGACACACACACACTCTCTCTTTTTGAAACAAAAGAAAAAGGGGAATAATTTAATTTAATTTAATTTAATTGAGCGGCGAGAGGAAGAGTGAGTTTTGTGGTGGTTTGGTTTTGAAGTGTGAAGTGTGAAGTGTGAAGTGTGAAGGAGGAAATCCATTTCCCTAATTCCCTAACAAGAGCATAATGAGCAACGAATAGTAAGTTTCGTTCTCTTCCCTTCCATTGTTCTTTCACAGTGTCACTTTTTTTTGCCATAAATAATTGCTGATTTCCTTTGTTTTGTTTTGATTTTGATTTCAGCGATTACCTGTTCAAGCTTCTCCTAATCGGGGACTCCTCCGTTGGAAAATCCTGCTTGCTTCTCAGATTCGCTGTCAGTCAGTTTTATTTCACTTTTTCTTGTTTATTACTTGGTTGGCACGACCTTTTGTTCCTTATTCCCTCTTTCTTTCAGGATGACTCCTATGTCGACAGCTACATAAGTACCATTGGAGTTGATTTCGTAAGTAACGTTCTTTTATTTTGTTCCTTTTGCTTGCTTGGGTAGTGTTTACTGTTTATGGATGAACACTGATGTTTTTTTTTTTTATGGGGTTTTACAGAAAATCAGAACTGTGGAGCTGGAAGGCAAAACCATCAAGCTGCAGATTGTGCGTTCGTTATGTCAACTTTTATTAATTAATTATTTATTTAAATAAAACGAATTTCTTTTATCCACTTCATTTTTTGCCTTTTAATCCTCGTTTTTGAGTAAAATGCCGGATCTTATGTTTTATTATGTTTTAGAGAAAACAATAAAACTTATCCGTTCCTTGTTTTGTAAAACATGATAACTGTTTTAAATCTGTTCGTAATTTGTTACAGCTATTGTGTTTTAAAACCAAACAAATTCTATTGTGACGTGCGACATTCCAAGTTACAGATTTGCTCTTAAAAACATTGGCCTGCGTTGTCTGAGGTTTATAGAATATGTACAAGGGTATTGAGAATCATGATCTGATTTCTCTCGTGTTTCCTTTCTCTTTATCTTCATGATTTCACATAAATAATTCTCCTAGAGTTCAACCCGACCGTTTGGTTATACCCTTGTTCAATCATGCTCTGGTCTGGATTAGGACCGCATGCCAAGCTTGCTTTGATTTCTTATATATCTGATTATTCTGAGATGCATGTGTGGATTCACTTATTCGCCTTCTTTTTTTCCTGAGAAATCGGTTTTAAGCTTCGATATCTGTTTTGATGTATGTTCTATATGTCGTTGTAATCAGAACTCAACTACAAATCTAATTATTTCTTTTTCCAAATCAAGGCACCATCTTTTTTCTTCCTAACAATTGATACTTTTTGTTTACTCTGTTTAGTGGGATACAGCTGGACAGGAGCGATTTAGGACTATAACAAGCAGTTATTATAGAGGAGCACATGGAATAATTGTAAGTCAACTTCATGCTATCATCTTATAGAGTGAGAAACATATACTTGCCGTAGCACCAATAAAATTTTTGAGCAAAATTCTGGAATTCTTTTAAGTCTGGGTATTGCAACAGATTGTCTATGATGTTACTGAGATGGAAAGCTTCAACAATGTCAAGCAGTGGTTGAATGAGATTGATAGATATGCAAATGACAGTGTATGCAAGCTTCTCGTTGGGAATAAATGTGATCTAGTTGATAACAAGGTTGTCGACACACAAACTGCTAAGGTAAATTACTAAATGTCACCTTTTTCCCCCCAGGAAAGAAGTTCAGTATTCTTTCGGCAATTAATTAGTAGACACCAGGTATCTGGATACCTTTTTATACATGCTTGCATTTACATGTTTATAATTCAACAAAAAGTTTATATTTTACATCATGTTTAACCTAAAATGTGATTCTTCTTCTAATGTTTCCTATTTTCTTTAAAAGTACCATGTTTATCTTGTGATTTGTGTTTGTTTTGATAGTTATAAACTGATTAATGCTTCCTGCTCCCCATTCCCAAAAAAGGAAAAGTAGTGCACACAGTTTCAGTGCTTTGGGAAGTCATGAATCCAGCAAAATCATTAATTCCATTCTGGATACTGATCTTTGGCTGCTGGAAGGCAAAAAGCAACACATTCCAAGCATAATATCTTGAATACTTAGCTGGAGGATAGGAGAGGAAGGGGACTTGAATTTCTTTTCACTTTCATTCTATGATCAAATAAAAAAGGCTTCAAAACTGTTTTAACTTCATTCTTATTTTCCTCGCTTTATTTTCTATCATAGAAGCTGAATAACTGGGAGAAGTGTACTATCTTGATAGAATTGCCTATAACCTGGAATTCAATTTCTTCTAAAAAATTATAATTTAGTGAAGATCTTTTGACCACGTGTGTGGTTGGTTACATTTAATATTGGCTGAATATGTCACTTACAATAATACTTTGGTCTGGTCAGATTAATGATAGTTGTCCAACGTTGTGATATTCTTTGATATATAATTATTTATTTAAAGAAAAATATGGGTTAACAGTAAATGAAATATTAGTTACTCTGTATGTTAAAGAGAAAAAAGAGTAAGAGAATGATACTTTCTTTGTCTAAAATATCCTGTATGATCATGAATCACAGGCATTTGCTGATGAGCTTGGGATCCCTTTCCTTGAGACAAGTGCTAAAGACTCAATCAATGTGGAGCAGGCTTTCTTAACTATGGCAGCAGAAATTAAGAAGAAGTATCTAATATTTCTTGCTTTCTCTGTTCACATCATCATTATAAAATCACAAATGCTAATCAATTTTAAGATTTTACTGTTTGTTTGATTAACATTAACTATGTTAGGGTTTACAACATGTTTAAAATTGAAATATGAACAGTAGGTCACGATAAGTTTGTGCCTTTTTCTTTTGGGTTTGGTGTTTGTCATTTTAAATGACAAACACTTTTCCCTTATTTTATTTATGAGTGTTATGTTGTCTTTTAAAAATAATAATAAAACTTTATCTAAAGAATAATGGCTTTTATCAATAAAAATAAATAAATATAGAACGGACATCTCAAGCTAAATTTTCACAATCAAGATTCTAATAGTTTACAGATAATGTGTGCCGATTTTTATTCCTTATCAAGTGTTAGATTTATCCAGTGCTGCATTTTTATGGAGGATTAATGTTCGGAAACATAATTGCATTACTTTCATGCGATAGCATGAATTCCATTGTAATACGGTATTGATTTTGAGATGTTTTGGACTTTGATTTGAACTTATCTGCAGGATGGGAAGCCAACCAACTGGTAGTAAGTCAGCAGAAACTGTTCAAATGACGGGGCAACCAATCCCACAGAAGAGCAACTGTTGTGGTTAGGCACAACTTGTAAATTTCTACTTTCTATTAACTGTTATATTAAAATAGAGAGACTCAGTTTCTTGACTGTGTTATGATATGGATGTTTCAATGACCGTTAAAGTATCGTCTATTTAAATCCTTGGATAATTTAGTTCTGAATCTTCTGATTACTTTTCAAAGTTAGAATGAAAAGGATACAATTTCTCACATGCATCTTATATTAGCTTGAGGCTTTGACCGCACGCTATTTTGCAGACATATTTCATAAGCACACACTGTCATTGAAGGCATTTCCAAGTAATGCTATGCATCAGATAAACATGATACAATGATGAATAACAACTGCAGGGAACATTAGAAACCTGCGCGCCTTGGCCTGACATCATGAAAAAGCATATTTAGATCATTTTGCACTAGGCCAAAACGGATTAGGTATAAAGAGGAAAGAGATAAGTGAGGTAAGACAGATAAAGTGTAGGGAGGAAGGAATGAGATAATGAAGATAGAAGTAATGCTTGAACCAAAAAATAGAGCTAACTAAAAAAAGAAGGAATGTCATGTCATCAATTCAGATATTATGCATAAGCATGTCATGCCAACAATTCACTTAGCATATGCTATATCATTATTTCCACCAACAACTATCAACACTAAATAGCGGAAGGTTTCTCTCTCTTTTTTTTTTGGTAAGCAGGTTTCTCTTTACTTACTGAAACATTTACTATCTATGGTCGTTGGCCGCATTAGCAACATTTCGTAGCCTTAATAAATTGTTTTATTCCATTATCAAATGCTGTAACTAGAGGTATGCATGATTCAAAATTAAACTGGTTTTCTAACCAAACCGAACTAAATTGGGTTTTCCGATTTCTTTTCTGAATCGAATCTTTTTTTTATTTTTGTCAACTGGTTCTGAATTATTTTATGATTTAGAACCTGTTACTGTTTGAAAATAATATATAATTTCGGCACATCGCATAGATTTTTAAACTAAAACTAGAGGATATACGACCTTATCATTTTTTAAAATATTTAAGATTTTCAAAATTTAGAAATCAATTGTAGATTTTATTTTTTCTAGCACGAAATATGTATTATAAATGTAAATAATAATATAATTATCACCTAACCTGGAAATTCATTTAGTCTTGCCCACCAAATTGTTTTGATAATTATGTAATTATCATTATACAATTTTTTCTTGCAAATATTAATCAATTTAAAGAATTAATGTTAGTTAATTAAAATTTATGTAACCGCAATTTGCTCTCAGAAGTGGCTCTTCATTATTTTACTCGAATATAAAAAGTACCTCTTCATCTAATGAAACAATTTTGTTACTTGATACACACGTATATATAAAGGAGCAAAGTAAAGAAAATATGATTAAATATATAAATTAAGGGTTTTATGATTATTATGTTACATAACCCAACTTGATTTTTCTACTCACACAATAAAAAAAAGAAGAGAAAGTGAAATGATGAAAGAGAAGGAAAAAAATGTGGACCCCACCTCTTTGATGTGTGTGTAGGAAAATGAAATTAGATTATGTCACATGATAAACATAAAGCCCATAAATTAATCAGTCCAATAATTGTTCGGTCTGATCATATATGGTTGGGCTGTGATATGGAATGATTCTGCGGGATGGTTGCATTGGTGTTGAAGAGATTTGCTTGTCCGAGATAGATAGTAGAAGTGCATGCAAGACATTCTGATGCTCAAGTCAGTATTTGAATGAGTGAACTTGAATAATATTGGAGAAGATGATTATACCTAGGTTTTAAGTCTTCCTTATATAGCAACGGCATAACCTCCTAGTGTCGTCTTAGCACTTTCATTGGTGGATTGAGGTGACTTGTAAGCCTATCCCGTTTGTTGGATATGTTGGTGAAATATGATGTGTAGGCTTAGTTGAAGCTTTATGTTTGTCCTTTGGTCATTGACTATTAAGGAGACTTATGAGTTTTGTGTTGTTCTCAGTTGAGTTGTGTTTATGGAGAGATTGCATGTATGTAGGATATATACATTTTCATATTCTTGAAGTCTTTGTTATTGGACCTCTTCAACTGTTATTAGATTGGACCCTTCATCCCACTTAGTGCCTGTTTGGATTCTCTTTTTTTTTTAAGCTAAAAGCTACTTATAAGCATAAGCTAGGCCAAACAGGTTTTAGAAAAAGCTCTTATAATGAATAACTCTTTTTTTATAATGAAGAAAAAAGCTGAAAACTAAAAGCTCATAGGAGGAGCTTTTTTTTAAGCTTTTATCTGTTTTTCTTGAATTGTGTGTGTGTGTGTGTGTTTTTAAAATGAAGAGTGATAAAGATAGAAAGAGAAATAATTTTCTTGAAATATGTACTTTTAAGTAAAAAAAAAATTTGATAATAGCTTTTAAGTAATTTTTAAACTAAAGCTCTTATGTAATTTCCAAACAGCTTTTAGCTTCTTTTTTTAATTTTTTTTTTAGCTTTAGCTTATAAGTAGTTTCTAACTTAAAAATAAGATGATCCAAACAGACTCTTAGTATGAGTCCGAATCATAAATAAATACACATCAACTACAAAAATTTAATCAATTTGATTGTAATGTGAATAGAGATACCATCGTATTTGAAAATGTAGAAACGCCATTTTGTATTAAACATATTGTTTTGTTTGCTCCACTTGATATTTTTAGTTTACCATTTTATTTCTTAAGATAACACTTAGGGGGCGTTTAGTTGAGGAGAAATTTTTTGAATACTAGAGAAATGTAATTGATAGGGAAATGGTTGGAAAGTGAGATAAAGTGAGATAGGTAGAAAAATATAAAAAAAAGTTGTTTGGTGGGGAAAAAGAAAAACTTTACTGGGGAAATTAGGTAACTTTTATAAAATCTATGTTTGGTTGGAGGTAAAATATAGATGAGAAAACAAGTTGGTATTACGAAAATAACCCTCATTTTAAAAAAAAAAATTACGGTGGCATGCCACAAACAGAGGATGCTTTGGCAAGAGAGGTAACTGTTGCAACTAAGGATCTTAGCCAGGATTATCGAAACACAAATCAGAAAATCGATAGGTTGATATCATGCATTGAACATGAAGTAAAGTTTTTTTCTCGTGGTATGGGGTGTTGTGGTTGATCAGCATCAAAGAAAGATGGATGGGAACAAACAAAGCACATACATGACTGATTAGCAGAGACATGCTTACCAAAACAGAACCCTGCATCAGTGCCAATTGGCATATATGTATATCTCTTATATTGAATTAATGGTACAGCCATAGAAGAATGGGTCATGTGCAAGTATTTTGATAGAATTTTAAGTCTATGTTATGTGTATAACTCTTGCATTGAATGAATGATACAATTGTATGATTGTGAATTAGTAAATTCTCCTGGCTTCAGTGTGATATGAGTTTGAATGGAAGAAGATCATTTATGAAACTTGATTATGATGCAGTCAATTTTAATATAATAACTACCACTAGCGAAATGAAATATGCAGTCAATTATGATGGAATCAAGAATTAGGGTGCACTAAAAATTGTCCAATGGTTTGTTCTGCACCTGTTTGGTTCACAAATTAAATATGACTTCAGCATTAGCACTAATGACAGGCAAAGAATCAAAAGCAAAGAGAAGATTGAATATAACGGACACCATAATTGAATAATATCAATTTTGAATCACTTAAATATAATAAGTTGCTTGAGAGTAACACATCAGAATTTTACATGACTACCAACAAAGTTAATCAAATATTACATTACACATCGAATTGCTATACAGCATATTACTATTCTTGGACATACTCAGCCCTCAATCTGAATTCTTAGAAAAAGCCCCCCATAAAATGGAAAATAACATTTGTTTTTGCATTAGAAAAATTATACACGGTCCCTTATAATTTTAGCAGATGACAGCCATTATGGTCCTCTTCTACAACGGTGACATAGTGATATTGAGTACACTATAGTGGGATCATATGATCTTAAAGTGGATAGGCTTTCCCCCAACAGGTTCTGCCATCTGATTCTTCTTGCATTATAATATATCAGCAATTCTCCCTAGAGCATCTGCAAGCTTATCTAGTACAACAGTAAATGGCACTTGCAGCGTCTTTTTGTTGTTGGCGGTCGAACTACAAATTGGTGTTCCGGGCTTGAAATTAATCACTTAGCATCTTCATCTCTTTCAAGACATCAATTAATAGGCCTTGCAGTGTTTCCTCCTCTCCATCGGTTGAAAGATGCTTCCTCTTGCGTCCCCTTTGAGATTACTAGGTCCTATTTCTGGATTTGAGTCTGGTTGTATCTCATTGGTAGCACCTGCAGAATTAAAGAATGTCTAAACAATTTAAATATATAATGATATCATCAGTTAACTCCTAGACATTGCAATTGTCATAACAGAACTTTTGATGACCCTATGCCTATGCCTATTTTATGTAGCTATAGTCTAAGGTAAAGCTCAAAAGTTGAAATCATGGCATAACCAAAGCTAGTGCCCAAGAAACAGATTGCCATTTATGATAAATGAATAACATTCTTTTTAGTCATGAATTATAAAAGATAGTACTCATACTATTTGGGTATGCCTAGTATGTGGACCATTTAAGAAAAGGTAACGACACCTGAAGTGCACCACAATGAAATGTGCAAACATTAGTTTGTATAAGCACCATTACTCGGTTCAAATATACACGTAGTGCCACTTCAGTTAACTCACCAATTTTTTCATACTTTCCTTTATGAGGATAATATTGCAGGGTTGATTCATTCCAAAGAGCAGAATACATTGCTATGTGAAATTAATATTTATATTAACTCTAATCAAAGCTGCATATACCTACACATACAATCATTATGTTAAATTAATATTTATATTACAATAATCATAGAAGTTTGTTTTGAAGATAAACATCCATGATGGTATGCCACAACCAGAGTGATAAAGGGAGTAAGTTATGCATTTGAAAAAAGGCTCAATTCAATACGATCCTTACTCATGCAAAACTTTACAAAGTACAGCAAACATGAAGGATGAAAAGAATTAACTTCATTGAAGCACACATCCCCCCTGACCGAATCGACAAGAAGCAAACATTAATCGAACCAATACATGACAGATGGAAAGAGTGCACACAACTGGGACAGAGGAATAAACCTGGATGCTTGCGAGTAGAACTTTGGCGTCTCTGTCGACGAAGCCCGCAACGACCCATATCCTTTTTTAGAGGGTATAATGGTCTCTAACAATTTTTTTACATAGTCATTTAGCCGGTTTTCACATATAAACTACCTCGGACAAATCTTTCTTAACAGTGACAAAACCTATCATTCGACCGGCAAATAGAAAAAGCAATGCAAATAGGATAGCTGGTTATTTAAACTGAATCTATTCAATCAAACAAGTCATTTCTGGATTCCTTCCTTCATTTGCATAGGAAACTTTGAAAACCTTCTCAACCAAACACCACCTTAGAGTGCTTTCCTCTTAATTTATTTTACTTAAAAAACTGTACATTAATGAGTTTATTATCGTTCCCAACTCCCAATTTATTTCATTTATTAATGGAAAAAGTGTGTATTCTTTTAAAGGAGGTAAAATTGTGTCATTTTAAGTGAGAAAAAAATATATATAAAGGAAGAGAAAGAGTGAACAAAAAAAATATAAAAATGTGAGTCACATTCTCTTTATAAGAGTGAAATGACATAAGCTGTGTTATTTAAAAAGACAAACAATTTTTCTTTTATTAATTAACATTTATTGGTTGACAATCGACGAAGTTTGAAATAATATGTACAAAACCGTCCATGCTCTATAGCACCACTCTTTGCCGGAAGGGTTTTACCCGAAATGTTTGTTAGAGGTAGATGGTTTAACTTCTGTAGATCCCGCAGCCAATGAACATAAAACCAGTACAAACTTGAGAAATCTAACCAGACGCTCAATCACACACCAACACATTCATAGTTTTATGTTAAATAACTTGATAAATACCAGCACCAAACAACCATTGTTTTACTTTTAAAAAGATGATATGTCAGGTTATAATAAACTTACGTAAACAAAGCTTATGTAAGAATTTCGCCAACAAGCGTGATCCAGGTGTTATTATATGGCCTCACTCTTCGTAGTAAAGGTCCATCAACTAAGTATTAGTAATCTTTGATCATGAGTTAGCACCGAAGGAGATTTACTACAGATAAGGAAATATGAATTGCAGATCTGCATGCCAGCAGTGCTCAGGAACAAACCTACCAAACTTGAAAACTAGCAATTGAAAACCGCGAAAATACTCATACTCGGCATGCACAACCATAAGAAATCATTATAAATCCTGATAACATTCCAAAATATAGTTCAAAAAGAATGATAAACAAAACAAGCAAAACAATGAACAGCAGCCGCAGGGCGATCCTGATACTGAGTAACAGAGAAAGTCAGAAAATCAATACAAACTACAATCCCGCTTCAAGATGTACAGCAAGGTTTCTTTGTATTGGTTTCGGCAGCCCCAACCGTGATAGTCTTGCCTTCTTTAATATTGGCAGATGCAGGCTCATTCGAAGACAGTGATTTCTTACTGATTATGCGGTATATCTCTGCAAGAATAGTCTGGAAAGCTTTCTCGACATTTGTTGCTTCAAGGGCAGATGTCTCAATGAAAGAAAGGCCTTCTTTCTCAGCATAACTCTGGGCATCCTCCGTGGCAACAGCTCGGAGATGCTTCAGATCTGTTTTGTTCCCTATCAACATTATCACAATATTGGCATCCGCATGGTCCCTTAGCTCCTTTAGCCATCGGCTAACATTTTCAAATGTTGTTGGTTTTGTCACATCGTAGACTAGAAGAGCTCCAAGGGCACCACGATAGTAGGCACTGGTTATTGCTCTGTATCGTTCCTGTCCAGCCGTATCCCATATTTGAGCTTTCACAGTTCTTCCCTCAACCTGCCAATACATGGTCATTTTATCATTTGATTCTTGAGGCATAGGATACTTCAGTAATTAGAAAACATATCACCAATTAATCCAACGTGTCTAGAAGAAAATCCTACAACTAGCATTCAGGTGTTATTTTATTTAGGCCAAAAGTAAGTGCTAAAATTTCTTCCAAAAAAAAAAAAAAACCCTCCCACCAGATTAGCTATTCCATCAGGATGTCTACAATGGTAAAACATGTAATTGGGAGGTACTATAGAAGATATGATCCTTAAGAAGCTGCCACAGTCATTTCCATTAATAGACGCGGTCAGTAGGGGTGTGAAAAAAAATCAAATGAATTGAACTGTGTGAACTGATCCAAACCACACCAAAAGAATTACAATTTTTTTTTAACTGGTTCAAGAACTGATCTATTTTATTTGAACTAGTTCAAGAACCTAACTGTTTTTTCAAAACAAGTTCTGTTTAAGAACCAAACCACTTTACCAATTCGGTTTGGGCTAAAAAACCGAATTGAACCAAACAATACCCATTTTCAAAAGTGTATAAAAACCAAACGAACCGAACTGTGAACCAAACTATCCGAACCTGTTTAAGAACTGAATCTTTTTCTCCAAACTGATCCAAGAATTGAACCACCTTATAACATTGGTTCAGGCAAACCGAACCACTTTTTATAGTTTGGTTCAGGACTGTTTAGAAAACCGAAGTGCACACTCTATGGGATATCATCAATGAAATTCGACGAGAAGGTAACATGAAGGCATAGACCAAATCTGAATGCACGTATCGTTAAAATAGACACCATCATCTACATTTTATAGAGAATTACAATTTATTTATCTTTAATTAAGAAAAGATAAGGCGCCAAAGAAAATGAGCAAAACATGATGGGAGTGCAACCCAAAAGTAAATATTGCCAAATCAATTGATTGATTTGATAGATATGTGTGAAATTTGGCCTTACAAATTATGTACAGTCATAGGAACTATGGAACAATTTGAATTAAAAATTGAATAACAAGAAAGATGCAGAGTATCGTAAAAGGAGGGAAAAAGATTGCAAGTGCTGGTGGTGCAAAGCAAAATAAAGTTATATTCCTCCGCTCCGTGAAATCCTAAATGCTCAAGGCAAATGGAACTTACAAGTAAAAAAGTGATAACAAGAATACAGAGTGAAAATTAAGAGCAAAACAAGAAATGAAAAAAAAAAAAAAAAATATTAGAAAACAGCGGATCTGGGAGAACCGAGATCCAATAGAAATGGAAAAAAGAGAAATGACGTTTACTTGAAGTTGAACAATTTCAGAGAGAGAGAGAGACCTGAAGGGTACGAGTGGCGAATTCGACGCCAATGGTGGACTTGGATTCCAAGCAAAACTCGTTGCGAGTGAATCGGGACAGAAGATTCGATTTCCCAACACCCGAATCACCGATTAATACTACCTTGAACAGATAATCGTATTCTTCCTCTGTTCTCCGCGCCATCATCCCCTTTTTCACCAATTTATTATTACTTATTTATTTATTTATTTTTATACCAAACAAACACTCAAGCGGCAGCGATTGTGAATTATGATTGTAGCAAAGCAAGTAGCAACACCGTCCTCTCCTCACTTCACTCTGCTCTAAGAAAGAAAAATAACCCCTTCGAGTCCGATTTCCCACGTTTTTACCAAATTGCCCCTCCTGCCAGTTTTCTTTCCCCCTTTTTTATTTATTTATTTTTATTTTCATGAAATTAATTCACTACGAGTCGAATCATGGAGGTATGGTACCTGTTCAAACTAGGGGACCGCAGTGATCGAACCGAAAAATCGATAACCGAATAAATTAAAAATCAAAAAATCAAAAATCAAAAACAAAATCGTAAATTTTAATTGGATTGGATCAGTTTTCGGATGGGTTGATGAAAACTGACTCAATCCAAACCGATCCAATATATTAATTCCCTTCTAACTACTTGGTCTTTTCCCAACCAATAAGTAAAAATAAGTTTGTAGAAATCTTAGGCATGAAGCCTTGGATGTGGAAGTCATTGATGGATTTTATGTTTAGGCCTTGAGATGATTAAGTTAATAGACAAACGAATAATGGATATAAATTATAGATATGATGTTGTAGATGAAAAGCTTCATGAATGGACTATGGATGAAGACTTGAAGTGATTGACCTGAGATATAAACTATGATGAAGGTTGTTAGTCCTTGTATCACTGAGAGAAAACATAGTTGTGATTATCTAAGAAGATGTGGAGACATGGGATAAAATAAAGTAAAGCACATAAATAGGGAATTCACTGTGAGTTGAGATTATTGGGTACTGTAGAGTACCGTTGAAACTATAAGGTATATGCTTGTGGGAAAGCTAAGGCATCAATGAAATTGTAAGATTAGTATTATTAGTGGAAATGATTAGTATATTGAGGTATTGTTGAAACAGTATTGGCAGCGAAAGGATTGAAGTACTAAAGAAAGTGTCAGTTGAAAATGTTCAATAAAGGACCAGTAAATATACTTGGAAACTGTCAGAGGCTATTGTGAATGACCTTGGGTCAGAGAGATAGAAAAAGATGAAAATGAAGTGAGGATAGACAGACGAATTTGTAATATAGCTATATTACTACCTATAAATTAGTGAAAGTGCAACCTAAGTTATGACCTTGGCCTATGGAAGATTTACACTGTGGTGAATTAAAAAGTCATATCACCGGAATTGGCAAGTAGTTATGAGGGATTAGGGAATGGTGATACCATATATATATATATATATATATATATATATATATATATATATATATATATATATATATATATATATATATATGCCTTTGATGAAAGTAAAATGGTCAAGACGCACACCCGAGGAGGCTACTTGGGAGCGGAAGGATGAGGTTCTCCGATTATATTCCGAGTTAGTGGAGGTGTTGTGTCTTGGAAATCGTCCAAGCAGACCTGCATTGCAAGGTCAACCATGGAAGCAGAATTTATTGTTTTAGATAAAGCTGGCGAAAAAGTCGAATGGCTTCGTAATTTTATTGAGGATGTTCCTAATTGGCCAAGACCGGTCCCAGCCGTATGCATACATTGTGATAGCCAAGCAGCTATTGGAAGGGCCAAGAACGTCATGTATAACGGTAAGTCTAGACACATACGTCGTAGACATGATACCGTAAGACAACTACTCTCGAATGGAATCATTTCAATTGACTATGTTAAGTCTAAGGAGAACATAGCGGATCCGTTAACCAAAGGGATTTTGGTCGAAAATTTGTCGAAAGGAATGGGTTTAAGGCCTATCAATTGTTGAGCATTGCGGTAACTCTACCTAGAAGAGTGGAGATCCCATGAACTAGGTTAAAATAGACAACTAAGTGATGGTCGACTGTTCAAACACTGTGGAGTTTTTAAACTCATACTCATTCCTAAGACAAGACAGTGTATTTATGAGGGTAAGCACTTAGGCTTTTAATGATTTCTTAATTTGTTGTGTTCAGATGATTATAGTGAGTTACATAACAAGAAATCACCTATGTGAGTGTGAAGTAAGGGCCGCTTCTATGAGAATTTTACAAAGGCCGATTCTCTAAAACACTCGCAGAACCAGGCAGGTGTCCCACGGCCAAAATGGGCGCAACAAAGGACCAACAATGCTGGAGAAGCAATCGTGTGACTCCTATTGTCTAGGTATACACTAAAGGTTGACGGTTCAAGTCGACCTAGACCACCGATTGACCGAGTATATCCGATAGGTTTCCACCAGAGAAGGTTCAAAGGTAACTCCACCTATCTCGATGCACTTGTTTCTCGTTGAGGAAATTACACTTTGCATTTATATTCTTATGCATTTTTGTCACGATGATTTGACTTCTTATCCATGTGGGGGATTGTTGGAATTTATATATATATATATATATATATATAAATTGTGTAGACACTCTATTGGTTATGAATAAGAAGTTTGGTAATGAAAGGGTGTGTCTTTTCGTCGACAAACAGATGTATCTTTTCATCCTAAAGGATGTGTTGTTTCATCCGAACGGATGTGTTGTTTCATCTGAACGGATGTGTTGTTTCATCTGAACGGACGTGTTGTTTCATCCTAACGGACATGTTGTTTCATCCTTGAATGGGTGCCTTTTCGTGTAGAACGAATGTGTCTTGTGTCTTTTCGTGTCCAACGGATGTGTTGTTTCGTCGTCGAATAGGTGCCTTTTGAAACGTGACCACCCCTTCATAAAATGGATCCAATTTTTCTGCACTGAAACTCTGCCGGAATTTTTCTCCTTCCGATTTTGCATGTTCCTTTTCATACTCCGGTGTAGTTTCCTCTGGCATTCAGTTGTGTTCGTTTGGGCCGTTGATTGGTAGTGCCACCATTCTTCAGACGAAATCTGTTCTATCCTGGGAGACAAGTGTCCATCAACCTTTGGCATCAGTGAGGGGGCAAATTGTCTTAAGGAGACACGTTCTGTGGGCTCGGATTTAATTCCTCTACTGCATACATTAATATGTTCTGATTCTTTATACTGACTACAAGTAAGTCTGTTCTTATATTTTTTATAATTGCACAGTGATAATTCTGATCATCTACCCCCTCTGCCTTATACATGAGTTCAAATCTCTTAGTGATATAATATCACCGACTGTCTTCAATAACAATGAAATATACCATATCTTCTTTGGATAATGACTTTAAAATATAAATTGATCTCTTTCATATCCACTTTGACTCTTGTTGACTTCTTCTCTGTCAGTGCATCTCTTAGCTCACAATTTGGAACAACCATAGTAGTATTTGGTTGAACCAAAAAAACTTGTATAAAACTGTATGCATAAAACACTATTTAGCAAATCTTATTTTATATTACATGATAAAATTTATATACAAGACTCCACTTAAAAAAAAAGGAAAAGTAAATAAAAAACTATTTAATTTTCCAAAAAATGAAGGCTTGATACAATATGGATTATCGAGTGATCAAGAAGTTAACTTTGTAGCATAATGTTTTATATTTGTGGGTTGTCAATTTAAAATATTACCATAAGTTAACTTAATTTATTTTATTTTATTGTCTCTCTTATCATTGAAGGAAAATTTTGAGTTTGATTATGCTGCTAATATAAAATAGACTATGGGCACCTTGGGGAAAAGATAGAAAGCCTACAAGTATTGGTTAACGTGTAAGCATTTCTACCCTAATAAAAGTAAAGAACAAATACTTGCTAATCCTCATTCAGGTGTGAATTGTGTTGACTGGACTGCTTTTGTGCATCACTATAAGAATTATGAGATGAAGGTAAACATTCTTTATAGAAAATTATCATACATTGGGCATGTTTTGAAAAACTTGATACGTAATGACTATCATATTTGAAAATACAGGCATGAAGTTTATAAAATGCACAAAATCATAAGAAGCACAAAGCACAAAATACGACGAGAAGACTAGAATCTATATTTCTCCTTTGATGTAAACATATTTGAAATTCATTGGGTTCACGGTTCACAATTTCGGGGTAGGCCTGTTTGGATAAATGTTGTTAATTAAGTTTTGAGGGGAAAAAAAAGTATTTTTAGTTTTATTTTTTTGAAATTATTACATTTAGCTTCTTAAAAAAGCCCTTAACGCAATTTTTTAAAATTTTATGCTTTCATAAAAGTTATTTCATTATTATATTTATTTTTATACCAAACACTCAAAGCAGCGATTGTGAATTGTGAATTGTGAATCGTGAATCGTGATTGATTGTAGCTAGCATAGCAACACCGTCCTCACTTCACTCTGATCTAAGAAAGAAAAATAACCCCTTCGAGTCGGATTGCCCACGTTTTTACCAAATTGCCCCTCCTGCCAATTTTCTTTCCCTTTTTTATTTATTTTTATTTTCATGAAATTAATTCACTTCAAACGTTGACTGCCAACTGGATTTAGGCCCAACCACTCTTTAGGGCTTAAATTTGGATCTGATCCACAAGAATTGCAGGATTGGGCCTGTGCCCAGCCCCTTTAGGCTTTTGCGTAACCTTAAAAAACCTAGATTCCTTCCAACTCGTTCCTTTTCATCTCTCTCTCTCTCTTTCTCATCACAGCACAGCACAGCACACACAGTCGGCTTCGGAAGAACGCTCCCAAAGTAAGCTCTGTCTCATCACTCATGTTCTGTGCTGCACTTTTTGTTTTTCCAATGCCACTGTGTTAGATTTGTGGTTTGATTCATCTTTTTTTATCAGATCTTAAACAAGAGCGGCACGTTTTTCCTTGAAGGAAGCCATGGCTCTGGTCAGTTTGTCTCTTTCATTAATTCTCTCCGAATAACTATTTATGCGAATTGCTTCCCAATCTCATGTTCAATTTACTCTTTAGTCTTTACTTTCTCTGATTTTCAATACCGGTGAATCTGCTCTTTCTGAATATGACTGACTCTCATCTGGTCACTGATTTTATGTCTGTAGATCCTGCATGCACAGAAAACAAACAAGAATGGTTATAAGACTCTCATTGCCGCAGAGTACACTGGTGTCCAAGTTGAATTGGCCCCTAATTTTGAGATGGGCGTTTCTAATAAAACTCCTGAATTTCTCAAGATGAATCCTATGGGAAAGGTATCATGTTTTGTCCCATCCATTCCCTCCTACATTAAGCACAACTTCGTTGGGTTTCCTTTGATGTATGTCCTTCCAGGTTCCTGTATTGGAGACACCTGATGGTCCCGTCTTTGAGAGCAATGCCATGGCTCGTTACGGTATGTATGCTTACTTATATTCATGCATTGATTGGATATACATACAACCGTTTATGTGGATTGTTGTGATCTTCTCATTTATTTTCTTGGCTTGCTGCAGTTGCTCGATTGAAGGGCGACAGCACTCTGTTTGGATCTTCTCCCATTGATTATGTAAGGTTTTATTTTTAGTGCTGATTTTTTTTTTTATTTATTTCTCTATGTTGGAATATCCTGGTTTCTCTTCCTTTTCATTTTTTGCTTTGAAGTTTCTCTATGTTGGATCTTCTCCCGTGAAACTGGTCGTTTGTATTTGCTATTTTATTTATATTTTGATGTTTCAGGCCCATGTTGAGCAGTGGATTGATTTTTCATCGATGGAGATTGATGCTAATCTTATGAAATTGTACCTACCAAGACTTGGATTTGCCCCACACCTTCCTCCAGTAAGTTGTGTGCAAAGTTTTTGTCTTCATCAAATAACTGCTTTGAAGTTCCTTATGTGGAGAATTGATAATGATAGCAATTATATAATATGTTTGGGTTAGGGTCTATTATTCATGAGTAATGAGAGGTTTCTTTCCTTAACGTCAAAGTTGGTACATTGTGTTCTTTATCAAGATTTTTGTTAAATTCCCATTTTCCCCACATTTTGCTCCCTCATCTGATATGTGTTTCTGAATGAAGGTTGAGGAGGCTGCAAATTCTGCATTGAAGAGAGCATTTGGGGCTTTGAGCACTCACCTTGCCTTCAATACTTACCTGGTTGGGCATTCCGTTACCCTTGCTGACATCGTAATGACATGCAATTTGTATTTCGGTTTCGCTCTGCTCCTAGTCAAGAGCTTCACCTCAGAGTTTCCTCATGTTGAGAGATACTTCTGGACCATGGTCAACCAGCCTAGCTTCCGAAAGATATTAGGTCAGGTTAAGCAGACTGATGCTGTGCTACCTATTCAGTCTGCAAAGAAGCCTGCCCAGCCTAAGGAATCTAAACCCAAGGCTAAGGATGAACCAAAGAAAGTGGCTGTTCAAGAGCCAGAAAAGCCCAAAGAAGAAGCAGAAGAGGAGGAGGCACCCAAGCCCAAACCCAAGAATCCTCTTGATCTTCTTCCTCCGAGTAAGATGATACTGGACGACTGGAAAAGACTCTACTCAAACACTAAGACCAACTTCCGTGAGGTTGCAATCAAAGGTAGTGTGTTTGTATCACTTGTGGTTTCTATATTCTTAAACTTTTGTAACTTGTAGGTTTATAATTGTAGCTTAAATCCATTAAAAATATACTAATTATCACTATGCTGTCACAAGCTCATTGCTATTTATCATGAATATTGGGGCAAATACTAGCAAAGATCTTATAATTAAAATCCTCCTTTTAACTTGCAGGATTTTGGGACATGTATGATCCGGAGGGATATTCTCTCTGGTTCTGTGATTACAAATACAATGATGAGAACACTGTTTCCTATGTGACTTTGAACAAGGTTGGTGGATTTCTTCAGCGGATGGATCTGGCTCGCAAATATGCATTTGGAAAGATGCTTGTGATTGGATCAGAGCCGCCATTTAAGGTGAAGGGGTTGTGGCTTTTCCGGGGGCAAGAAATTCCTAAATTTGTGATTGATGAATGCTATGACATGGAGCTCTACGAATGGACAAAGGTTGACATCTCTGACGAAAATCAGAAAGAGCGTGCGAGTCAGATGATTGAAGATTTTGAACCATTTGAGGGAGAACCTCTTCTGGATGCCAAATGCTTTAAGTGAAAATTAATCCCTAGTAGAAGGGGTATGGTTTTGTCATGTGTCTTTTTTATTAGGATTTGGTTTCTTTCCTATTTATGTTAGAGTGAAGTTTCTGCTGTTTTATGATTTTACCAACATTGAAACTTATATATGCTTGATTATGGTACCTTGATTAGACGACGAGGAGACTAGTATACAGAATCTATATTTCTCCGTTGATGTAAGCATATCTGAAATTCATTGCATTCACCGTTCACGATTTCGGGGTAGGCGTGTTTGGAAAAATGTTGTTAATTAAGTTTTGAGGGAAATGAAAAAAAGTAATTTTACAATATTTTTAGTTTTATTTTTTTTGAAATTATTGCATTTAGCTTTTTTTTTGTTGGTAATTATTGCATTTAGCTTCTTAAAAAAGCTCTTCACGCAATTTTTTAAAATATTATGCTTTCATGAAAGTTATTTCATTAATATATTTAGCTGCTTTTTTCAATGGTGATTAAAGTGATTTCAGGGTGTTAATAGAAAAAATTGGTAGTTAAAATATTTAATTTTATATAATAAAATATATATTTTTGGATTTGCTTTTTTTGTCATTATTGCAAATAAGTTATCTGCAAGTCTTATACGACGTCGTTTTAGAGCGGAAATTATAGTGTTTTTGTAATTTTAATTTATTTCAGGGTTATTATACTAATTATAATTTTTTAATGTTTCAATTCCAAAATGACATTGTTTTAGGAGTAATTGCAGCTAACTTATCTGCACTAACTGCGGAAATATTTTTCTGTATATTTATTTAATTATTTTTCTTATTAAAACAGATTTTTTATATTAATTTTTGAATTTAAATCATAAATCAAATCTTTATTTTTTTTCTTATTAAAATGATTTTTGTTGATTTTTTTAATTTAAATTACAAATCAAATTTTTATTTTTTTATGTTAAAACTTATAAATTTTGATTTATTTTCGTGTTATATGATATATGATACGGTTTTGTAGTATCTATTTATATTCACTCTCAAACAACATCATTTTAGATTGAAAGATTAAAAAATTATAATAATAAAGACTAATAATTTTGAAATAAATTATAATTACAAAAATACCTTGATTTTTGCCTCAAACGACGTCGTTTTGGACTCAATGTTATTAGGCTCAATGCAAATAACTTATCTGCATGAAAAAATGAACCCTTTTTATATTTTAGGTACTTGAAATCTTAAAGACGACAGTAATAATAAAAGTAAAGGCATCAAGAAGAAGATAATATCAATTGGTTTGATAATCGTAATGATATTGCTAACCAGAAAGGGAAAAGAATCACATATTGTTGAACAAGAAATCAGAAATGAGTCAAATGACTACACTAACGAAGAGGATAATGTATAAATTATGTCATTGATAGTGATAATATTAGTCTTGATAAGTAATGAGTTGGAGAATCACTGGTTTGCACTTTAGTTATTTGCGTATTTTGATGATTGGAACATTTTTGGAATTTGAATTTATATGATATTAAGTATATTACATATTTTTAAATTATTTTTTTATTATATCTCTGTATTTTATACAAAAACCAAGGTAGTTAAAAATGAAATTTTACGCAGAAATGAAAAGGGGATAAAAAATCGCAAAAACATAAAAATGCTTAGAATATTGGTAAAAATGTTTTAATATTTTTACCAAAAAAACATTTTAATGAATAAAAATATAGTGTTTAATTGAGATTTTAACTACCATGCAAAAAATCGAACAAATAATACACGATATGTATTGCGATTCAACAAAGTTCGTATAAAGTATTTAAAATTAAGTATTTGTAAAAAGAAATCTCCTTATTCTTATTCTCAATTTCACATATTTTAATATTAATATTATTTTTCGGTAAAAAGAATTGATTTTAGGAGGGTGTATTGGATTAGGATTTTAAGAGAATTTTTTGAAATAAAAAATCTTACAGATTTTAAAAGACATTTTAGAATTTGAGAGACTTTATAGACTTTTTTAAAAGACTTTTTTTACAATCAAGTTTTCATAGGATTTGATTTTAAAGTATTTTAATAGAATTTATAAGATTTGAAAGGACAATATGGATTTATAAGATTTTAAAAAACTATATGAATTTTTAACAAATATTCAAAATTACACGAGTCAATAAAAACAAATAACAAAGAAATGTAATGATATTAATAAAAAAAAGTAAACTTAACAACGGGTTGAAAATTATCTCAAAAATTACTAAGCAACAACTCTTCACATATCAATAAAATTTAATATAATTTTCTCAATGAGTTTGAGTTTGATTTGCGAAAATAATAACCATATATCAACGGTTAACTTTCAAATTAAATATTAATTAATGGATTTAATTTGCGAAAGTAATAACCATTGATTGACGAAAATCAACGGTTAAGATATGATTGTAAAATGTTGTAAACAAAAATAGATTATAAGTATAATATTCCCCATAAAAAAAAAAGAAATGCAATGAAATTAATAAAAAAAGTAAAAAACTAATATAATTTTCTCAATCAGTAAAACATAATATAATTTTTAACAAACATTGAAAACTACTAAACAACAGCTTTTTACATATCTAATGGGTTGAAAATTATCTTCTTCATTTGGTATCAAAGTTGTGCATATATGATTATAAGACTCGAATTTTTTTAATTATAAAAATAATTCTAAATTTGCATATAGAACCTAAAGTTCATGATAAAATTTCGTTTAGAATTTTTTTCCAATTGATCTTGAAAACCTTGGGATTTTTGTTTTACGTTATGAGAGTTTTCTAACCATATATTATATGGATATTTTCATTGAATATTCTAAGAAAATTTTGAATCTGAAATTTTTGGTTTAATTACATGAAAGTTTAGAAAATTTCTCAAATTTTTTTCAGTCAATACATTGAAACAAGTTTTGGGGCTTTTGAGAAACAAGAAAAATTGTTTGAAATCGTTTCCTATAGTGAAGGAATTTCGTTCATGAATGTATTGTTACGAAATATAAGGTTCATAACTTCATATTATGAAAGTTTCAATCTTTCTTTAAATTGATATTGTTTAATTTCTGTAAAACGAAAATTGGTTTGAGGGTTTTAGTTCCCCTGTTATTTTTTCACTGTTTTATGTTGTTTTTAATACAAAAATCACACGTTTTTGTGCTAAAAAAATCGTGACGCATAGCTTAAAAAATCACTTTTTAAACTTCCAAAATTTCTAAAAAAATGGCTCAAAATTATGTTATTTTTGAGATAGATTATATTAAAATCTTGTTGATTTGTTGTTTCTTAGTTATTTTGTGATGAAAATCGCTCAAAAGTATGCTTTTTTTTTTTTAGTGTTGATGAAGCTCCCATGTCGGAACTCAATTTCGAGCAATTAACCTGCCAAAGGAATAAGAAAACACAGCAATAAAAGCATCGTAATTATATTTTTCACTAAAAAGTCTCGTGAAATTCACACCAATAGAAAATTCATTAAAATCGTCGGATTTTTAAATACACGATATTATGATTCCATTGTTTAAAATCTTGATTGAATACCAACGGATTTGGACAAATTCTAAAATAATCTTTTAAAATCCTAATCGAATAATACGTGACTTTTTTCAATCCATTAAAATTCTAATCGAATACCAATGGATTTTTTTTCAAAAACAATCCATTAAAATTCTTTAAAATTTCAATCCCCTTAGATTTTGTATTTGTTGAGTCGCAAGAGATTTCTTTAAATAATATATAAAAATAGTGGGTTTAATAATAATAATTTGGGGGTGCATGTGACGATGAAAAAGATGAATGGACATAGTAATAATCGGAGTGAATGAGTTTTGTAGAGGGAAAAAGGAGAAGAAGGTGCCTTCCGCAGAACCGAACAAGACAAGACAAGACAAGAGAGAGAGAGAGAGAGAGAGAGAGAGAGCGAGTCATTGTTGTTTTCAATTTGAAAATCACAACACATTGCAGAGACACAGACACAGACACAGACATGATCGTTGCAAGCAGATCGCTGCTGAGTTTCCTCCTTGCCTGCTCTTTACAATTCATTCTTGGTTCCTCTCTCTCTCTCTCTCTCTCTCTCTCTCTCTCTCTCTCTCTCTCTCTCTCTCTCTCTCTCAATTTCGCCTTATTTATTTATTTATTTACTTGCTTCCAAACATATGAATGAATCCTTTGATCCCTCCTCTCCTAATGCTTATAATTTAATTTAACTTATATTTCTCTTTCTATCTATGCTCTATGTTTACCTAAAATTTCAGACTTTCAACCTCTATCATTATTATTATTATTATTCTTATTTTTGGATTTTCACTGAAATGAATGACGACAAAATTGTTCTTCTGCAATATTTCTCCCTGCTTAAGTTGAAGATTTTGTACCCATCTTAATCATTTTAATTTCTTCACAATGTTGCTTTTACACAACAGGGACTCTACAGAATATGAATATCTGATTTTTCCCTTTTGGGTGTTTGTTTCCTCAGGCTTTTCTGATGACTCGCCTGGTTCTAAAGATGCTACAAAAACTGAAGCTCATACCCACAGCACTCGTTCTATGATTGTCATTTTGTTAATTGTGCTTGTGGTATTTTCTTTGTTATCTTTTTTACTTTTTAAGTTGTGGCGGAAGAAGAAAAGGGAAGAGCAATATGCTCGTCTTTTGAAATTGTTTGAAGAGGATGACGAGTTGGAGCTTGAGCTTGGCCTAAGGGACTGACCTACCTTTCTAATTCAATATCATTCATTGTATTGTAGTCAAGGTTCGTATTTTCTCACTCATCCAAACTTTATTTGTAAATACTAGAGACTAGAGAGGATTGAAACTTGAAACCTTAAATACATGTGTTGTGTGGCACCTGTTGGGGATCAGAATAATCAGTAAAATGGAATTTCTCCTTTGGTGGTATTTGATGCTACTTCTCAAGTTATGTCAAGTTTTTCTTTACACCATCCATCCATAGAGCCCAAAAAGCCTTTTGCTTGCTGAATGTCTGCGAACCTACTCTGGATCCAGGCTTGGGCTGAATGATCCAGTTGAAATCTGGATCTTGATTATGTCTGCTTTCCCATGGTTGACACTGGTAGCTGTAATGTGAAAAAGTAGAGGTACATGAAATAAAGGACTCCAACGCTGAAGTCAATAATTGTCTGAGTAAGTTTACAAAGGAATTAGAGTGTTTTACCTGTGAGGGGTTCATCCCCATTTATAGGCTGGATAAAAACTCTAATTCATTTGTAAACTTGCTCGGAAATTTACTGACTATCATCGACAAACTTTTCCTCATTGCAATTATCATTGTCAACCTTGGGAGAGCAAACATAATCAAGGTTCAACTCTCAACCCTTATTCAACCAAAGCCTGGATCCAGAGAAGGTTTGGAGAATGCTGAGCATCTAAATGCCACTAGTGTAAAAATACCTTCCAATGAAGAGTTTTGTTATTATATAATATTTCCAATAATCCTCCTAATACTTAATAAAGATAGTATCAAATGAAAAAGTGTATTTAAAATCTTGGGAACATAAAAAACATTCAATGCTTTCTTTACATAGTAATTAGGATTATTATTAGGAAAATTGGTTAGGAATATTTACAATTATTCTTCAATGAATCTTAACACCCCAAATTTTCCACTTATAATAATCTTTTTGCAAAAATATTTTGTCTAGTTCATGTAAGAATTGGAAATGAGATATGTTATTGGTTGCTTAGAAATAATCTTGTCCCGATGCCTTTCTTCTCTTTTATTTATATATTTATTAGGGTTTATTTTTTGAAGCACAAGAGTGGGTTATTTTTTCAGTATACATTTGTGGTAATTGTTAATCCTTTTAAATGTTCTAATTGCAGGCTTGGGTGAATTTGTTTGTTTTGAAAATTTTGCTTCTTGCATAGCCAAGATGAATATGGCATCCTATGAGGAGGTTAAGACTTTTTTGAGGAGAAGAACTATGATTGTTTGTAATGCTATTCAATGATTTTTTTTTTTTTTGCGTAGATATTTATTTGTCTACATAGTAGGTGAAGAGAGGGCAAACTCTGCACAAAATGATTGGACGTTGTCTTCTAGAGTATGATACTCTTGAAATCTGTTGATATGTATGATATTGTAGTCTTGACATGTTAAAGGTAATCTATGGTGTCCAGGAATGAGTGCCTTGTTATATGTTGAGGGCTTTTGCTTTCTAAAATGACAAAGGTGAGACGGATGAAGAGGATCTGTATTAAATAACTTGTTTGCTTTTGGTTATAGTTATGGTCTCTTGTGGAAGGATCTTTGATGCATCCATACCATGCGCAAGGCCGTTTTCATGTTTGAATTTGAAGTAATGCAAGTGACGTGACTTTTTTTCATATATATACTTAATTCAGTAGTTGCATAGCATTCAAAAGATTTGTTATTGTGATGAACTCTGGATGAGGCAAAATCCCCAATTTTAAGTAGTGGTGATGATGGTGCTTACAATACTGGATTCACAACCTTGAACCAATGTATAATTGGCAGCATTTGAATTTCCGTGGCTTCACTTGGACCTTATTTAGTAGTGGTTCATTAACAATTTTTGCGGTCATCGATATGCATAATTATATAAATGGCTCGCAGATCTTTCCTTTCAAAACTTGAGATAAAATCCCCTGTATTTTTTGAGTATAACTGCATGAATAAATAAAACTATCTCCTTGCTTTTATGTGGTATAGAGCTAGACATGGGACGAGTGCAGCGACCTATCTCATTACAATACCAATTTCTAATTTGCTAAGGACTAACATTTGCTCGTGATTTCATCAACGTTACACAACATGATTATAAAGAGAAGTAAATAAATGGACAGAAAATTCAAAAAAATTATAGTAATAGTGAATTGGCAACATGGTATCTGTATGTGGGGGGGAATACGAGCTACAGACTCATGTTGATTGCTCGACACTAAAGAAAAATTATAAGTTTCTAGCATGTCTTGATTTCACGGTAGGAAGGACCCAAATTTTCTTCTGTTTTCCTAGACTGGTCTTCCTGCGTAATGATTTATTTCAACCAATTATTTTTATTACAATATCAATAATGTCAAAGAAATTGATTCCATCGCAATTCTGGCATTTGAAACCTTGCTTCTCTCTTTTGAAATGGTACTTTATCCTTCTGGCTGTGACTATGTTAGAACTGGATTAGAATGATACGGTAAAGTACGAGATATTTTGGGCCAGAAAGAATTCGAAAAGGGAAATGACTATTACAACTCAAAGAAAGCAAAACAGAGTGCAGAAATGAAAGTACATTGACTATTCCAATTACAGAAGTATTGACTAAAGAAAGAAGAAGAAATACAGATTCAGTACTTAAGAGGTACTAATCTCTCCAAGCCTAAGATTTCCAATTCCAAGCCTACTATTCCATGTTAACCAACTCATCAGTCACCTCATCAGAAAACGTCCTTTCTCTTCTAACAATATTTCCCCTCACCACCAGTATGTTATCATTTGCAATATTCCTCTCCCTAGCTGAGTTACCACAGGTATTATTTAATCCCCTGTAGCCCCTCCTAGCATACACCTTCAAAAGAGCCTTACCAGACTAGCAAACCGCTCTTGCGAGGTTAGTATATTATAAGGATACCTAGTGCCTGCCATTTAGCAGCTTGAATTGAGATATTAACCCATAAAATAGCCTTATGACCGTATGATGATTGAGAGCGCACTTGTTTTCATAGATCATCTTCAAATTCCAGTTGAGTACATTAAACTATACACAAATCACTTGCAAACTCAATAACAAATGAAGTAACAATCATTGAACAATAATACCAAAAGTATTCATGTCGCAATATAATCAAAGACACTTATTAGGTTTTCAGAGTCAATACCATGCATTATAGATGTACGCATGTATTTTATCTAATAATTTGACCCTAAAAAAAAGAACTAGGAGTATGCTACAAAGTAGCACCCGCAAATTAGTTAATACTAAGCAAAATGACAGTGAATGTTCTAGCGGTTAATACACCAAAGAATAGACGTCAAAGCGAAATAGACAAAATTAAGTGGATAAACCATCTGTCATCCCAGCAAGCTACTTGAGGTTCAGCTCCAAAGGTGTTTCTGGTGAATGATATCAGTGAAAAGACCACCGCAAATTCTAAGAGATCAGATGCTAATAACTTAGCTTGAGAAAAATGTATGATCCACCATTCACACATTGGGGTCATCTTCCTGTCTTTGCACGTTTCATTCCAGTACTGTTAAAAGGTGACATGCTTGGACTCATACTCGGGCTCATGCTTGGACTTTCCTCCCTCAAAGTACCATTGAGCATAGCTAACTCCCTCAATTGCTGTTTCTTATAGTGATCGAGAGATTCATCCTGGCAGGTTAGTTAACAAAGATTAGCAAGACTACCTCAGAAAAAAAGGGAGAAAGGCACAATTAATGCAGTTATTTATTATAATATTTTTATATACCACAGGCTTCAAAAGATTTTCTAATATTGCCACAGCATGATCCAACCGAGAATTGATTATATCCTCTGGAAACTCTGCCTCCACCAACACATGCAATGGCTCTTTAAGGTGCTCATATCCTGGTTTATCTTTAAGCTTCTCTTCCTATAATAAAAAGTTATGAAAGTTGAAACACATCATGAAAAATGACATATGTTGTGAAGGTCTTACTTTTTAGCATGAGAACTCCAAAAGATATTGTTAGTAATTGCATAAATCGGGGAGAAGAAAATCAAATACAAAATGCCAAGGTGAAGCAAGCAACCACTCGAGTTGGACAAGAACTGGCTAAATTTATTTAGGCAATATTAAGGAAAATAATGTATCGTGTGTTCACCACATCAGTTTGTGCACATCCGTGAGGAAATTTTTTCCTATGAGTATTAGAAAGTCACTAATAATGATTAAAAACATAAATAAAAGTAGCACAACACAAGTCTTCAAAGTGTATACTTACATACCGACTTTACCTTAATAGAATCTTTCACAGAGCCACAGCCTCTGATGTAAACCCTACATTCTGTCATGGCTTCCACTCTTTTCAATGAGTTCCCACGAGGTCCCAGAATTCGGCCAACAAAATTATACTGCTGTGATTTGAGTCAAAAAACTATTAAATTGAAAAGAAAAACTGATATATACTGGAATTAAAGACAAGATTTTGACTTACATTGGGATATTTGTCTACAGGGACATCAAGCCTAATAACTCTTTTCACAATAGGAGTAGTTGGAACTCCTTGTGTCCCAGGCCAACCCATTGGTGGCGCTTGAAATGATCCCATTCTTTGGAGATTTCCGTTGTCCTGCATGAAAAAATTGGTAATGTTTGAGAAATCCGTTTTTCTAAACCCAAGTTGTGATCACAACTCTCTTGCCACCAAGTTTCCTCACAGTTCAATAGACATTTTCATTACAAATTGTATATTGCCCATTTATAAGCATTTTATTTTTTCATTGTATGCGCTAAAGCATCTAATTGTGGCGAAGCACGCTGGAGTTTAAAGGATTCACGTTAAGCCGGAGCAAGACTGAGTATATGAAGTATGAGTTTTCTTAGGTAAGAGATGTAAACCAAGATCCCGTGCATCCAATTGGTCAAGAGGTACCCAAGAAAGATGCTTTTAGATACCTAGGATCCATTTTGCAAAAAGGCGGAGAGATTGATGAGGATGTAAATCATAGAATCAGAGCAGGGTGGATGAAATGACGTAGTGCTTCTAGGATTTTATGTGACCACAAAATTCCCCTTAAGCTAAAAGGAAAAATTCTATAGGACAGCAGTAAGGCCTGCAATGTTATATGGAGCTGAATGTTGGCCAGCACATAGGCAACTTGAACATAAAATGGGAGTAGCAGATATGAGGATGTTAAGGTGGATGTGTGGTATATGAGGATGGATAAGATAAGAAATGAAGATATTCGACATAAGGTAGGAGTACTACCGGTGGCTGAAAAGATGAGAAAACATAGATTGAGGTGGTTAGGGCACGTAATGAGAAGGCCCCTGGATGCTCCCATAAGAACAAAAGTTTGTTACCAAGAGCTCGACACAAAGAAAGGTAGAGGTAGACCGAAACTTACTTGGGGAAAGGTAGTAAAACAAGACTTAATGGAGTGAGATATAGATTGGCGGACGGTGTGCCTTAGGATGAAATGGAGAAAAGCTATTAGCATGGTGGAGGGTTAGACCCGTTGTTATTCCTATGTTTTAGATGATCCTTTTTTAGTCATTTTCCTCTTCATTCCCCTCCCTCTTCTTTTCCTTTATCTCTTTTCCCCTTCCCTATCTTTCTTCTTTTATTTATATTTATATTTATTTATTATTTTATTTTATATAATTATTTATTTTGTACACCCCATTTATTTTTACTTTTATTTTTATATATACTATTATTATTTTATTTATTTTTATCCTTTCGTACCTTTCATTTGGGTTCATTTATTGCGGACCCCAATTAGTTTGGGATAAATGTGTGGTTGATGTGCTAAAGCATCTACGATTTTAACACTTCAAAGAGCCAAAATCTAGAAACAAACTGCTACCATGATTATGCCCTAATAGTGTTAAGGAGATGATTGATGTGCAGGCATATGTACTGGTCCTAGGCAGATTAGGAGAGATAACAAGATTTACCTCTAAAACAGATTAAGTTTTGAAGAATTAAGGAAAGCTAAAAACTAAGATCAAGGTTTCAAAAAATGTCATTCAAAGTGCTGAATTCCTAGTTCTTCTATGTGTAATGCACAAAACTGCCATTAACCTGCAAGTTTTTTGTGATGAAATATTCTGAAAAACAACTTGCAATTGTGCATTCCAATGCACAAAAGATTTTCTCATAAAGATACTTTGGAAATACAAAGTGAATATGGTCTTTTATGAAGTTCTTTTGAATCCCTATTTTGCTCTTTGCCATGCACTGAATGTTAACACTTGTAATAAGTCACAATAATGCAGTAAGGAAATTCTGACTGGCAGAGAAGGAATCCCTTCTGTGAGGAAAATACCACAGGACTTCCTGACAGATTAGAGTTCTTACTATATGGATCTCATCTTCATCGCTGCTGATAGGATTAAAATCTGAAAATACTATTTCTCCAATAATGGTATAGAGTAAGCTTCAGGAAAGAAGACTATTGCTCTGGTAAGTGTCTCGATTCCAGTTGTTCACAAATTTTCAAATATGAATGAGCCAACCATATAAACAATTCTATCTAATAATTGGCTTTCACTGATTTCTTTTCACATGATAGAATGACTCTCCAGTCAAAACTGATAAAGATGCCATTTTGTTATGCTCTGATATTTCTATACATGAGAAATGGAAAACACAACCCCAACTGCTAAATGTTGGATAGTTTTAGTCAATAAATTGAAAGAACTTGAATTCTAAAGGACATGCACACAGTTGAAATTGCTTGAAAACACTACCCCGTGGCTTTAGAGCGGTTATCTCGCAGGTGGTGATCATGGGTGAGGGAGAGGAGATACAAGATTGTGGGTCACAGACCCACATCCCGGGCTGGTGCTCTTACACCGTAGCCAGCGGTGACTCCCTTGTCGGGAAGGTGCTGCCCGGTGCCAAGCATACCCGAGGAATCCAGGTGTCGTTCTGAATCCTCCTCGGAACAAAAATATGACTAAAAAAAAAGAAGACCCTAAAGCAGATGAAATTGATGATCAACAAATATGAAATAATAATTAAATTCAAGAATTACTAGGCAGGCATAACTGACAGGTATGAAGTAGCAATACCTCTATCGGTACAGCAGGCCATCCCTCCAAATCCATTGGTCTACTATTTGGATGTTGACCTAAGGACCTATATGGACTGTCTGGCTCAAGTCTTTCATGATCCATGAAACCTTGATTAAAACCGGATATGCGTCTGATTTCTGCTATCCACAAAAAAATGGCTGTTTATATGATTGAAAGCACCAAAAAGACATGAAATACCAGGGCAAACAAGCATAGGAAACCAGCATCTGAATTGTTTCAACCATTCAAGTTTGCTTAATTTTGCTATTAAAACATCATTGATATTGTCTGATAATTATTATCATTATTTGGGATTATTCATTAGTATCTGCATTGAACATCAATGTCCCCTGAGTTGCAAGCACTAATACGTAACAGAGTAGTAATACAAAACTAAAATTCAATTGGAAGTTTTGATTGTTTTGAAAAATCTTAAAAAATATTAAAAGGGGTTTCTTCTATTATTTAAAAGAGAGAGAGAGATCGTTAAAATATCAAATTATAAAGATATTTATAATTTAGAAATCGGAGAAGCTATTGCTAAAGAGCAGATAGATGATTTATAAACCTTGAGTTAAGAGCCTGGTACATTGCGGTAGAACTTGCAGAAACGGTCCCAACTTTTGCCTCTCTGCCAGTAATTCAGCCAAATATCTGCAAGTTATTCCCAATCAATTATGCATCCCATATATCAGCACTCACAAAGCAGAAGTGGATTACACTAGAGAAATGAATGACAAATCGCAACCTTTCAACAGCAACATCACCAGGATAATTTGATTAAATATAGCATATCACACTTCAACGATTACACTTAATAACATTAATAAATAAGTAATATTTTCTGCTAGATTTGCTTAAACAACAGAAGCAAGCATTGTCAGGCATACAGATCACATGAATCAAAACAAGTGAGCCAGAAAAACAAAAACACAATATCATCCATTGATGCGAAATGGGAATCAAAGATGCACATAGGGAGCGTACAAGAAAACCCCACTACGAACCAAGAAGAAGGAAGAACTCCCATACAAAAATTACTATCCCTAAAACCGCAAGAAATTTGTGTAGTGGGATAATGTGACCAGATCTCCAACTATGGACCCATGGTTTGGGCCCTTATGCGGCTCACCTCCACTAAAGGACAAAACATACACATCACAATATCGTCTCCCCTTTATCCATTAACATTCCACTATGGCGACGCGTTTGTCTCCACAATCCGCACCTGCAGTAACCACCCACTCCATTACTCGTATTATGCAATCTTCACAACTATCTATATAGTATACATAGGGCTCATGCCCTCGGGTATGGATCTTCTCCATTTTGCATTACTCCACCTCTCCCATTTTATTGAGTTGGGCGTATGAGTTCCTGCAGGTAAACCACCACCCGGAGGAGTAACCTGCCAAATACCTCAGACAACCATCAAAGGAGAGCAGACTCAAAGCAGAGAACCAATCCCTCCACCATGGACTAAACAAGATGTATCAAAAATATACACCTGCCCCCAAACACCCTCGTAAATCCAGCCAGAAACAAGTAAAGTAAACAACAAATGATACATGTCTTCAAATTCTTCAACCCTCGAGACTCTAGGCCCAAGCTTTATTTTAATCAATCACCAACAAGGGGGGCTAATTAATTGTTGGCAGAAAATGAAGTCATATCATATCAACTGCATTTTGTTAAAATGGTGAAGTGGCAGCTCAAACTAGAATGCATCTATCCTTCTCGGAGACGTGTTTATATTCTACTTTGGATGCAACCCCCGATAATTTTTAACCAAGTATGTTACAAATTATATTTCATGACGTAGATCGCTGGAGAGGAAAAGGAAGCACTACCGAACGGTGACTTTTACTAAACAAAAAATATTTCAGAAAATCGATGTCAAAATTCACAATCAAGTTAACATATATATGCATAGAATGATGCTCAACCAAAACTAAAAAGATAAAAAACTTACCTTTCGCGATCTGAAGAAATAGAGGAGGACCTAATAGGAGATGGAGGAACTCCAGGAGGAGGGAACTGGAAATAACTCCCAGATGGGATCCTCTCTCCCATCTATCTACTCTGCACGCCAATCCAAACAAAACCTAGTTAGTAGTTAGCAAACATCACCAGGTCAAATAGAAATGGCACCAGTTGACCGTAAAACACTTATTCAGAGAGATGCCAAACACGAAGCAAATAACACCCAGATGAACAAAATATAGAAAAACAGAGACAATACAATAAAAACGGAGACTTTGATACATTAGTGACGCTAAAAACAAAAGAAGAGGCTTACTGAATAAAAAGCAGAGAGATTGAAGAGTTGTGAAAATGGAGAGTGGCGAGTGTGCGGTGCGGAGCCCTACCACCAAAGGAGAAAAGAGAAGAGAAATGACACACTCTAATCTATCATCACTCTCTTTTATAATTCACCGCATCCCCTCTTTCACTCGTTGCGCCAAAATCTATCTTTCACCCCATTCTTTACGTACTACTGTTACTTTGGTTTTTTTCCTCAACTACATGCTTCACGTGTCTACCCTCCTCATTTTTTTCACCCAAAAAACAATGGTTTTTTACATTAATTAATAAAAAATGTTGATTTTTTCTAAAATTATTTTAGATATTTTTATTTAATGTAAAAATAAATTTATTTTAATTAATAAAAGCATGATGTACTTAATAATTTTAATTTATTTTAAGATTATAATAATCTTTGTTATTCTAATTGTTAAATTTTTCAATTCAAAATTAATATCGTTTTGGTGAATATTAAATAAAATTGTCTAAAGTAACATTAAACATTTTTCCCCTAATAAAAACAAAACAAATTTTATATGGGATTAGTGTTTGTCCTTTCAAGAGACATAGAAATATAAAATTATATTATTTTAAATGAAAAAAATATATAGATAAATGAGGAGAGAGAGAGTGAAAAACTTTTTTTTTAATTTAAATTTTAAATAAAAAACACAACTTTCAACTTTAAAGGACCATCCTTTAAAAGAATATAATTTTTTTTTCGGTGTTTGTGCTTTTTAAGGACAGAGAATTATGGATTTATGAGAAAAAGAGATATACAATGAAAATAATGGGGAGAGTGGATGCTTTTTTTAATTTAAATTTTAACTTAAAAAATGTTAGTTTTAACTAAAATGACCATCTTTTTAAGGACAAATATTTTTTTTCATATTATATGGATTTTATTGCCTACACATACATGAATTAACGTTTCACATATTATAGGAGATAATTTTATCTCCTACGCATAAATAAAAGCATGTGAGGCCATGTGAAGATAAAAGAGAAAAATAAAATACGGGTCTCGTATATATATATATATATATATATATATATATATATATATGAGATTGATGTTTATCCTTTCAAATGACATAAAATTGTGTAATTTTAAATGAGAGGAAGAGATATACAATGGAAATCATATTGGAGAAAGTGGGAGGATTTTTTTTAATTTGAATTTTAAATTAAAAACAATAAATTAACTAAAATGACAATCCTGTAAAAGGACAAATATTTTATATATATAAAAATATAAGATTAATATTTCTCATGATGTAAGATATAATTTTCTGCTCCATATACATATAAAAGTATATGGGGCCATGTGGGGCTATGTGAAGAGAAAATAGAGAGAGAAAATATGAGAATCACATACTTACTTTCATGTGGATGTAAGAGACAAAATTATCTTTTATAATATAAACAGTAATGTATATGGCTTTAATGTTTCTAAAGTGAATGTAGATAAGTTATCTACATTCGCTCTCAAAACGATGTCGTTTTGAGTTGAAAAATTATAAAATTATGATGAAAAAGACTATTATAACCCTGAAATAAAATATAATTACAAAAATACCTTGATTTCCGCCTCAAAACGACGTCGTTTTGGACTCAATATAGATAAGTTATCTACATTGACCGTAGAAAAAGCGAACCCTATGTATATATAGGGTTTGACATTTGTCATTTTAAAGTACATATATAATTAAATAATTTTAAGTGAGAGAAGATACATAAGAGAAATTATGGGGCGAAAATTAGTATTTTTTTAATTTAAATTTTAAATAGAAAATATTAGTTTTAACTAAAATGATCATTTTTTAAAAGGATAAATATTTTTTTTAAGTGATATAACTTTATGCCATTTTAGATCACAATCGTTGATTTTCGTCAATCAACGGTTCAGATTTATTAGATTTTATTGCGAATTACTAATTACTTAATAAGTTTGACCCAATAAATTATAACCGTTGATTGAAAAAAATTAGCGGTGATGATCTAAAATGATACAAAATTTTACCCTTTGAAAGGACAAAGATTTTCCCTATATATATAAGGGTTTGATGTTTGTCATTTTAAATGACACAAGTTATGTCATTTTAAGAGAGATAGATACAAAAAATGAAAATGACAAATATTTTTCTCTATATATATAAATTTATTTTTACAACCGGCTTTACATACAATAATAACATATGTATAGTTATAATTTTCCATATTAAATGCTTTCCATATTAAATGCTTTCATTCTTTACATAGTTATGATTCACTGCTATTTGACAAAATAAAGTGGGCCATCGGTTTTTTGAAAAAAAAAAGTGAGGCTCAGTTTTCGATAAGAAAAGAGTAAGAGAGAACAGTCTCGTGTAGTATAAGAAAACAATTTTCGATATACATATATATTCGGATTTCCGATATATATATATATATATATATATGGCAAAATAATTTCTGCAGCCGCTACACCTACAGCTAGCGAGGATTCGCATGCGGATCCTACGATACGGCATCGGAGAATTGTTTTTTTTTTTTAAATGTTGTGGGCCCACTTTTCTGTGTCAGCTATAGAGAATATTATCTACGGCGGCTGCAGAAATGATAAGCTATATATATATATATATATATATATATATGGGTTTAGTGAGTATCAAGTGACTTGATCTAAATTAGGTCCAGTGCACTATATTCTCCCGCGAGAATATAGTGCACAAATTTTTTTGCCTATGTTCTCCCGGGAGAACACCTGCACAACACCATTGTAATGTTTTTGCACTATATTCTCGCGGAAGAATATAGTCAAAATTCACTCACTGAATAGTGCAGTGACTGAATTTTGGATTTTCGTATATATATACTAGTGAATTACCTGTGCGATGCCTGGGGGAAAAAACAAAATATTTATCGTCCGCCGTGGTTAGTTAATCGCACTGCAAACCTTATACTTACAAAAACCTGTGTTGTTATCTTATTCTATATTTCTGGTGGAAAAAATTACAGCATTGACACAGAACTTTGCAAATATCAATCATAAACAAAAATCTGCTATCGAGAGTGATCAATATTATGCAAATCAAATATAGTTATCTACTCGATGAGTTATGTAAGAAATAAATACGCCACAGTAGACTATGTTAAAATGAGGATGGGTAAAAAAGAAAAATGCATACAACTTATTGCTAACTATAACAGCACTAATAAAATCAAGGTAACAAACATACCAAGCAAATATGGAATTAAAAGATCAGCCTGTACCTCTAATAAGAAAACACTATTAATTCAGTGTCATTCTGTAGCAATCATTGGAGGAATGAGTTCAACACATATCAAACATGTGATTTCCTATGTTTATGCATTACCAGGGACATCCTCTTCTACCATCATATTTATGCCTACGATACAAAGTGCAAATACTCATTAAATAAATTACGCTAATATGTTAACACCCAGAAGTAATAATCTCAGGAAAAAATGAGTAATTTTTTTTTAGATCCCAGAAAACGTTGTCTAAAAGGGATTTGAAAGCAAATTAACCAAATAATCATGTATGAGTCATTTTTTTTGCTTACATTGGAACAAATGTGTCTAAACAGCATCAAATCTATACACATGCTAAAAACTTGTAACAATATAAAGAACCCACAATGATAAATTTTTAAAAAACAACAACATACATTTGGGTCCACCAAAGACTTAAAGAATGAGGTGACAATAGCTTCGCTGCTTCAAACACCAAATTATGAAAATGTTTGGTAGGCCGCCCCTCCGGGCCGAGCCCAGTTTGTCACCTATAACTATTAGCATATAATAGATTTTTATATTTATTCACAAAAAAGCTCTTATTCACAAACTAATGCATATGTCTGTCACTAATTAATGCTGAACTCTTTTCTTGGGATCTTTTGGTTTTTTTATAAATATGCAAAAAAGCATTAAATATTTTTTAAAATGATAGTTAACAATTCTCATGTAGAAAATAATAGAAATTTAATACAGCTGTTTCTGACTAAAAAATGTTAAACTCTTTCCCCACTTATACAATTTTGAATTCTAAAAAAGAAATGGGATATTAATGCACCTGTCTACTACTAATTAATGCTTATTTTCGCACTAACTATTTAGAATTATAAAAACATTATTAATGTTTTTGTTATTAATAATAAAAATATATTAAATTGAAGAAAGAATACAAACCAAAAGAGCACTAACAGTACTTCTCTGCCTGAATCGCAAAATGACATGCATACTTTAAGACTCTTCCTGAATCGCAATAACAACGCCAAGAATATTATAAGTCAATTTTTTTTTTGGTAGGCTATTATAAGTCAAATTAAACTTTTTATTAACGTAGACATTTACTTTTTGGTAGCCAAGAATAATAGAATTTTTTTATTTACGAAATAAAAAATATTTCTAAAAGAAGTAACTTTTCAAACTATCTCCGGTGTGAACACAAAGCTGAGAATTAAGGAGAAAATGACACGTCAACAAAGTTTCTAAAGTTTGGTTCTCCTTTCTATATATTATTATTATTATCCTTTCTATATATTATTATTATTAAGAATATATATATATATATATATATATATTATATATATATATATACTGTGAATCAAAAGTCAAAATGACAAAGCGAAGCGATCCGCAAAACGCAAACGTATATGCTTTTTACTTGCAACTCGCAAGTTCCTTTGAAACACGCACAATCTCTCTCTCTCTCTTAAAGTTGGGTTAGGCGCATGGCAATTTGGGGCTTTTCCATCGAATTAGGGCACACGTTTTTTCTTGATTGATCCTCACAAGCAGTGGAGAAGATGTGATCCCACCGAGATTTTCGTTCATTATTTCTCTTAGATTAATTGTTTTTTCAAGTGATAAAACTGTAACAGTAAGTGTCGAAACCTGTCTTCTAGGGTTTGGGTTTTTGGCATGAAGGGTGAGCTGGATCGAACGAAGGTCGTGCTGCGGCACTTGCCCCCTACGATTTCTGAGGACACGCTTTTGGCCCAAATTGACGCCGCCTTTGCTGGCCGCTACAACTGGTTCTCTTTTCGTCCTGGAAAATTCAGGTTTGAGATTTCGCATTACTGCTCTTCCAACTTACAACGTTTTAATATATATTTTTCTTTTACTCTTCTGTTTTTGTCTATTGTTTCTTGTCGTGTTTTCCCATGTTCTTGAATAGTTGTGACTGAATTTTGATTTTGAGCCGTCGATTTAGTGAATGCTTATTCTTGGGAAAAATTGTCTTTTTTATTTTTGGGTATGTTTTCCCTCTTGCATTCACTGGTCACAGTGTGAGTGCAGTAGTGATAGACATGAAATTTGCCTTCGGAAATCATCCCTATACTTTTTATTCGTCTTAAATCTTACATGGTTAGTTGGTTGCATGGTTATTTCTATTACATTAGCCAAGTGACCGTGGATGGGGTGTTGCCTCTGGGATTCTCAGTAATTGAAGAATAGCATAAACTATGTTTCAACTTTGCTTTTACACTGGGTATATTGTGTGCCTCTTGTTTATCACATTATTGCTCATTTTAATTGTAGTTATTTGTTACTTTTTTGTGACTATTTCAGGTAACTCTCATTCTTATGGGTGTTTTATGAAAAAAGCTGAACGTCTGTAATTTGAATTATGATATAAATGGGTGGATACTTAGAATTTACATACTATATCCTTATCATGTTAAGGACGTTCTTTTTAACTTTATATTTTCTTTTTGAATGGATTTTCAGCCAGAAGCATATATCACATTCTAGAGCCTACATTGACTTCAAGAGGCCAGAGGACGTTATTGAGTTTGCTGATTTCTTTAATGGGCACGTCTTCGTAAATGAAAAGGGTAACTAATGAGACCATCTGAAGTGGTTGAGTAGGCATGCTTATGATCTTGCTAAAGTTGTTATCATCATCATCATTGTCATCTTTATTATTATTGGAATTTAGGCCAGTGCCTTTTAACCGAGAGTGGAAATGGAATTCTCTCTAGTCCCAAAGTGGGTTCCATTTCAGCCAATGGGTGGACTATCCTAAGTGCACTGCAATTCATGGAAAGTGGGAGGGGGTGTTCTCATTGTGTAGCTCAATGTTTAAAGGATCAAGAAATAGTCTTGTTTCCATTTGGGTTGTTCATGGCAAGACAATCTATGTTTAGAATCTATTTTGGATTTCTATTTTGTACTTCTCAAATTATATTTTGTGCATTTTACATATTTTGCAAGGATAAGCCTTGGGAATTGTGATGTTAGATACTGAATTTGGTTCTTTGTTTTGCTATTTTCCTTCCCAGGAACTCAGTTCAAAGTCATTGTTGAATATGCTCCTTCACAACGTGTTCCAAGACAGTGGTCTAAAAAGGATGGTCGTGACGGAACCATATATAAAGGTGCCACTTAGACAAAGATTAAAGTAAATTACAAGGGATATATGTTCCTCAATAGGAATTATATGTATAGAGTCTTTTCCTTTTGATAAATATAAGTATTTTCATGGTGAACATCTAGATTCTGAGTATTTGGAGTTTCTTGAACTACTTGCCAAACCTGTTGAGAATCTTCCTAGCGCTGAGATACAATTGGAGAAGAGGGAAGCAGAACGATCTGGTTAGTCAATTAATGCAGAATATATATATAGTAAAAATTTTAAGTTTGAAAGTGGAGAAACATAAAATCACACATACACAGAATGGGCAGGTAGAGTACTATTTTCTGTATTCTTTACTTATTGGGTTTATGCCCCTTTAGCAGGTACTGTAAAAGATATTCCTATAGTTACACCACTGATGGACTTTGTGCGCCAGAAAAGGGCTGCCAAGGGACCTCAGGTATCTTTGCATATGATTAGTGTATGAAGTTTTAAACAAACTTATATGGTTGTCAAATGTCATTATGTCTGCATTTCTGAGCATTTGTGTGTGTTCATCAGTGCTTGTTTAGGGAGATGAGTGCGAGTGCATTTTGTGCTGAGCAAGTCCCTCATTAATATCCTTTTCTTTTTTATCTATAAGCACCATTGGTATGTTGCTTACCTAATGTACGTCATGTTTGTGAAGAGATCATCGTCTAATGGAAAAGTGAGTAGAAGAGCTGGCACATCGTCAAATGGGATTCCTAGTTCTGCCGCATCACGACGAGGTTCTGGAAAGAAGAGGGTTTCCACCACAATGGTATTATGCTTATAGCTTTGATTTGTTCACGAGTTCACAAAGAAAAAAAATTATTTTTCTTTACTATCACAAAAAATCACAATTTGCATTTGGTAGCTGGGATGAATAATTTCTTTTCACTTACCTGGTTTTGTCAGATTGCATATTTTACTTTCAATGTCTGTTTGGCTAGAAAAGATTTTCACTTTCTATTTATGGTTTAGGCTACATGAGCATAAAATGAGAGTAGTGGGAATGAGGATATTATGATAGATATGTGGTCATACAAGGATGTGTTCGAAGATCCGTAGATGTTCTCCTAAGAATAGAAGTTTGTGGCAGCATGACAAAGAGAGGAAGAGATAGACCGGATTTACTTGGGGGTATGTAGTAAAATAAGACTTAATGGAGTGAGAAATAAATTGACGGATGTTGTATCTTAGGACCGAGTGCAGGAAAGCTATTAGCAATGTGGAGGGGGTAGACCCATTTTTTCTACGTTTCAGACAACTCTTTTTAGTCCTTGTTTTCTATATTTATTTATTAATTTATCTTACTCTCAAATTTACTTTCTTTTCTCATATTTATTTTTTTGTCTTATTAAAAAAAATTAATTTTTTTCTTCAATCTTTTATTTTTTATTTGGTTTCATTGACTAGTGACTCTAACTTGTTTGAAATAAAGGTATTGTTGATGTTGGCTCTTAGGAGAAGTCAAATACTAGAGGTCTAGAACTGAATGAGATAAAATTACTTTCTACCTGGTGTACTAGGTTTTCTTCGTGAAGTTAGTTTTATGGTCACTATCTTCCTTCGATTAGAGGCATAGCTTCTTGGAAAGTGTTTGACACCAACATCCACTTTACAGTGCATCCGAAGAACTTGTAACAGGTGAATTTGTCCTGTTATCAAGCTACATGAATTATCATTGAATGTTCGGCTTTAAGAAACTTCCCATAGGGACATTTTGCAACCTGAATTTTCTTTTTTTGGGGAAGGGGATTTATTAATGCCTTTTTGATTTAGGGTACCACACTATCAGTGTGGTTTGTCTTATCTAGCTTGAGTGGTGGTGATGTGATCAACATAGTAGTTAATTGCGTCGCAAGTTGCGCCGTATGGGTGTTGCGGTTCCTCTCCGCAAGAAACTGCGCCGCGCCGCACCGGAACGCAATAGCGGCCATTGCGATTGCATTTGCGGCCATTGCGATTGCATTTGCGGCCAAATTGCGACCATATTGCTGTCATAAGGCAAAATGTCAATTTTGTCCTAAATTTAAATGTGTAAAAGAAAAAATTTAAGGATTTTTTAGTCTATCCGCGTCTCTCTCTGTCACTTCTGCTATCTCTGCCTTTAAAACATGTTTCTTTTTGTCATTATTTCTGTCATATATCCATTCCGCTATTTCCACAACCGCAACCCGCTATAACGCTATAGCGTTTTTCGGAGTTGGTCGCGACATGCCGCAATCCGCATTTGATAACTATGGTGATCAATACATGCGTGTTTGTTTGTGTTTGTGTGTGGGTATAACGAATTGTGGTGCAGATTGACAGGTTTTGACAGGTTCTTCAAGTATAGGTCTACATATCTTTCTCATGAGCAATGAGATCAGATTTTTGGTGGACTTGCCTGGTTTTTCTTTGAAGGAACTAGTTGACTTGGTTTATGGTTAGAGCAGAGTAGGCATTAAATTTTGGATCTAGTTGAAGCAACTTGTGGCCGGTGGCAAAAACCTTTAGGCTGTATGCCATGAAGGGATTAGTCACATCCAAATTGGTGGGGACACCACTTGGAAACCCAAAAAAAAAAATTTGGAACTAGTTGTACTTTTGTTGTGTACAGCATATTGCTGCACATGTGTTTGCATGCATGCATATGATGTATAAACACTTGGTTCTTACTCTTGTGTTTAAACATGTCTAATTTTTGCTTTTATAATGAGCAGTACGTTGCAAGGGACCCAGGGAAAAGTTCTACTGTTAAAGACAAATCAAACTACATTTTGGTTCCGCGGCAAGGTGATCAGCATCTTTCAAATAAAACTTCAATTATGGCTTCTGCAGATGGACATCAAACATTTGATGAGAATGGTAAGGTTGATATTTTTGTTCAAAATTTCAAGTGATAATTTTCTTTTTTTCTTTTTTGGGTTTTATTTTGTGGCCTGGAGGTAACGTTTAAAAATATACATATGGTTTACTTTGATGATTTGTAAAACTTTTTCTTCTAAACTTATTATTTAATATGATTTCGGATATCAAATATCTCTTAAGTCTTACCCTTCTGGTGTCTCCCTCTCCCATACCCTTTTTTCTTTGAGGGAGCGTGGAAATAGCTCCTCTGATTCCATGAACATTCTGGTGTCTTCGGTATTCTCTGTTAAGTAATTGTCTATTTTTATATCAATTGGTAGTCAATTCTGTATTCTTGAATTACTGTTGCTTTTAATGGGAATTAGCTTACCATTTTGTCCATGTTTTTTGCAGGAGTTGCTGGAAATAATGATGCTGGGAAGAAAAAAGTACTGCTTCTTAAAGGGAAAGAAAGAGAGATAATTACGGTAAAAGCATCTGATTTTTATCTTCATAATCTATTTCTATTTATATGCTGCACATGATGCAAAAGGATTGATCTCAATCCCTAAGCTTAGTTGACTAAAATGCTTATCTGATGTACGTTAAGCTGTAGTATACTTCCAGTTTCCTTTTGAATGTTGACATGTACCAATGGACCGCCATGGCTTAAGCTGAATGCAAAGTACTTAATTGTTCTTATTCTGATTGGAACAACTTGGATTTATTTCCTTCCTAGAAGCACTCTACCCTCCTTTCCTGTCTCATATTTGGTGTACGCTAAGCTGCAGTATACTTCCAGTTTCCTTTTGAAAGTTGACATGTACCAATGGACAGCCATGGCTTAAGCTGAATGCAAAGTTGTTAATTGTTCTTATTCTGATTGGAACAATTTGGATTTATTATTTTCTTAGAAGCACTCTACCCTCCTTTTCTGTCTCATTTTCTTGAACATCTTGTTTCTTTTTGTTGGTGACTTCAATGTTGGCGAGTTGTCATTGATCCCATCTAGTTTGCATGAATTGGTTTGTGAATTTTTTACTTAAGTTGTATATTGATTTATTTATTCATTAATCAATAATATGCAAATTTCTTGGTGCATAGTAATCCTTAAATTGCCCCATTAATGTGCAGAATTGATGATAAACTTTGGTTTTAATGTAACCTTACTCCCTTAAGAATGACAGTCAGAGAGATCCAAGGTTAATATGATATTGGCTACCAGTCTTACTTTACACATGTCAATGAATAAATACAAAGGTCAATGTACTTTAGAGAACCACTAGGAAGGAAGTGAAGGTATGATGATACAAATGATTTGGTAGGTAGTTGCTAAAGTGACTGCCAGGATTTGTTTCCTGCAACCTGCTGCCTTATTGTATGAAATATGATGAATTAGTAATTTGGTATTAATTCGGGTATGGATTGTATTTTAGTTCATTAATTGTATCCTTGGTGGATTCATCTTGGAGGATCACGTTATGACTACAGTTCTGCTAATAGTCTGCTTTTGTTTGTTTCTTATTATGCAGGTATCTGATTTAGGTAGCATGTTACAGCATCACAGCATAACATCTTCAGCTAAAACAATTCTCGGTTCAACAGCTCTGAAGCAGAATCAGCGGCATGAAGGTAGTGGAAGGATTATTAGAAGCATACTCTCAAACAAGGATTTCCGTCAAAGTCAGTCTTCCAGGGCCCATTCTGACCAGCAAATTCAAACATCTAATCTAGAAAAGGAAAAACAACCCCCTCGCCCCTTACATGTGCAATTGATTTTGAAGGGGAGTAATGGGACACCAGAGAATAGGATTGGTGTGCATGATTTACATGTTTCTAGTGAAAGGCCGGAGAGACGTGTTAGACATAAGGATAGACCTGATCGTGGTGTATGGACAAATCGTTCCAATGGAGGCGATGATTCTTTGTCATCGTCTGCTTCCTCACAAGTAGATCCTTTGGAAGGTATATGCTTTATTTTTTATCTATGATTTTGTTTTGGCAATTGTGGATTAATCCTTTGTTCTTGTGTAAAAAGGGGAAAAAAATCAAAAAGCACTTGTGACTAACTATACAACCGATGTATTAATACACAATATTATCGTTGTCTGTTGGAAATATGTTACAGCCTGCTTACATGTTCCTCATGATGAATTTTTTTACATGTATTATATGTGAAACAGGAGGTCATGCAGAGTTGAAACACGAAGTAAAATCTCACGCAAGTGTCCGTGCCAGTCATTCATCAGAAAATGGTTGGTATCTGGCGTTGGAAAGCAGATTATTTGATAGTCTAAAACTTATATTCGGGTTTGTTTCTGCTTAAATTTCACTGTTCATGTATATTTAGGTTTCAGTAAGCATTTTGGCCGCCGTGGACTGACACATGGGGTGAAGGATGTTGATGGCTATTCGATTTCAAGTGAGGGGAAGCATCCTAGAAGATCTAGCTCCTCTGCTTATGGTTCCAACGAGGTGCCTTTTGATTTCTGCATGGCCATACACCATTTTCTTTTCTGGTTCATTAAATGATCAGTATCTCTTCTTTAAACTGCAGAAACAAGTTTGGGTTCAGAAAGCAAGTTCTGGGACCTAGTATTTAGATTGGTGAGATACGTTCTCTTGATCAGACCTGTAGTTGTATAGCTTAGATTGATGCTTGTTGATGAGTCAACCCAAGGACTTACCTAAGTGATATTCTTTATGACCTTTTGGAATTTCTCTTGGTGTGGCATCAACAATTTAGGATAATATTTGAGTTCATATCATATTGCTCTGGTTCTAGTTATCATTGATTTTCTGTGAATTTAACTATCACACAACCAATTTTCTCAATTATATTAGTTATTTACTATGATGTCAGTTTTGTGAAATTTTGTTTGTAAACTGTAAAGAGTGGTTTTACTGTGCTTTTAATAGAAATATAGGTGATAGACTTGTGGCTTGACTTTCTTTAATATGTGATTTTATGATGTAGCTTCATAACTTTTGGTGTATTCTTTTCCTTTTTTTAGTAACCCTTAACTTTGATTCCTTCCTCTAGAAGTTGCAATAATAATGAAATGATTGCATTATGTTTTTTACTAACCCTATATGGTAAATCTATATTGTGTTCAAGTGCTCGTGTTAGTAGAAGTTATTTTTCTTGTATTTTCTTGTGTCAAGGTTGATGATTTTCCCTTGCAGTGCTAAGCTTGCTGATTTACAATTTTGGAGCATCCATTTGCTAGCTGCTGGATTCTGTCTCTTTTTGGTTGACAGATTCTTATAAAGTAAATGAGTTTGTGTGGTTGGAAAAAAAAATTCTTTTACAAAACAAGAAAGAGAAGTACTGTGATGAATTTGATTTGGCTTAAAATATTCAAACGTAACTTCATTGAAGATGGCTCGGAGTAAAGGGAGAAATTAAAACAGGGGTACCCCAATTGCCTGGTGTACCATTTACAAGTTGTTGCCTGTTTGAAGAATTTTGGATAGATTTGCATAGCAAGTACTGTGATGCATTTGTTTCCTGGCAAGTTGACAAGTATATGCGCAGTCTGGGTTTCTAAACAGTTATCTTCAGTAGTTTTAATGTAGATATAAATCCAGGGTATTGTGTATCTGCTTCCTTAGTTCCTATATATACAATCCCTTATTAGGGGTATTGTGAATCTGTTTCCTTTGTTCCTATATACAATACGTTATTAGCTGTCAGCCAAATACAAGTGAGCGCTTGCTTATGATCCTGGATAATTTTGGACTACCTTGCTCATTATTCCAAAGGAACACTCCATGGACAACCTTGCAGGCTTGCCATGTCTTCAGTCTTTCGTTGACAGTGGAGTTTCTTGTCGAGCTCGGATTCCTGAATGCAGTGGATGGTGTCTTACTAAGGATTAATAAGGGTCTTGCTGGGAGTTGTTACTGTGTGGATATTGATTTGGCTCTAAAGTATCATTGTACAGTGTGGTGTTGCGTTTCTCAGCATAACATAGCTGTTACATTGCTGGTTCTGATATTTTGTCAATTAATTTTGTGAATTGCTGCTTCCTGTGCAAGTGTTAGATTTATAATCTATGTTAAGATTATCGTAGACATTACATCTTTCCCTAAGAGCTTTATGGTAAAAGTTTAAATTCAAGTTGACAGCCCCAAGATTTTTTTGTTCTTGTTGGACATAGGGAAGAAAAAATTGTAAATTGGGCGTTGCATACACCACGTGCCAATTTCTACAAAGTTTAAAGTTTACTTCAATTAAACATTTATTCGGTTTATCCTGTCTCAAATTTGGAAGATCATTATTAACTTATTTGGAATTCATAAACATGACAATAGGTATATCTTGGTTGCAATTTTCCTTTTAATCTGTAAAAGACAGGTGGTCTATTGCATTTATTAGTAGGAGAAAGCGGATTGAAAGTAGCATTTGCCACTGCTGCAATTATCCAAGATACTACATATGAAGATATCTGTCAAACAAGTGCTGAGGACCTAATCATCAATTATTCCCATCAGTTAATGTGGAGACGCAAATCAGTTATTAATTTTATTTTAAATCAGTTAATGTGGAGAGGCGTAGGAGCAGAGAGAAATGTCAAGTCAATTGATTTGGAAGTCAAATATAACATATCAAAGGATTTTAAGGAGTAAACATATGGGCTGTACAAGCTGGTACAAGTACCTTTCCTTGACATTCAACAGGACAGGACCCCCAAACCAATTCCTATAATACAGCTGCACAGCATATATATTTCCAACAAAAAAAAGCAGCATATATGCATTCACTCCGTTGTGTTGTAATTTTCACATGCACCCTTGAAGGTGCTAGATATTTCTACAGCCCCCAAGTCAACAGGAAAGTGGAAAATTTGCTTAAGTTGGTCTAGTTGTTTTCTGAAACAAAGTAAAATTGGTTACTGGTATGGATTTTCTGTGGTCCTCGGATAAATTATCTTTGATGTCCTCATTTCTTAAAGAAGGCACAATGTTTTGGTGATTGCTGTTATGTTGGTTTTGTTTCATTGAAAAGTTTCTCCACCCTCATCTTTTTAATTGTTTAACTTGTCAATCATAAGGCTTAAGCAGTGAAATAGGAAAGGAGTGGCGGTCTTTGTCTCTGTCATTGAATTTGCTTTTCCTTTAATTGATCTTACAATACAAAGTACTGTAGACTGTAGTAATTAGTCAGCCTGAAGGGGGACCCCTTTTTTTGGTTTCATGCGCGCACATGCTTTCCCACATAAAAGATACTTATAGCATCTTTTTTGTACTTTCAATGGTTCCCTCTTCATCAGATTGAAACTTGGCATACCATTCCTTGAGTAATTAAGAACTTCTCACAACCCGTTAATCTTTCAACTCTCTGTAAAAACTAAGCTCTTTTTATATATTAAAGTCCAAAAATTTACAGGGGAATGCTTACATTACATCTCATGCCTCATGTATAGTATATCAGTTTCCAACACTACCAGAACATATAACAGATCCTTTTTTTGTGTGTTTTTATATGATTGTGCTGAACTGTCCAATGAGTCACATAAAGTATTCTTTTTAGCCATTATCATATACCCCACTTTGACCTAAACTTTTATGCTCTCTACCTTTCTTGTTTTCTAGTTCTATTCTATCGGTTTGAGTTGGACCAGTACTACTATATATATATATATATGGGATTTAAGTTTCTCCTTTAACATAAGAATAGAATCATTCCTACACTAACATCGAATCTTGTGCCAAATCTTTATACTTTTATATTTTTTTTCAAAACAGGTGGGACCCATCAATTATGTTTCACTCACATGAGATATCAATTCTCCTTTTAAAGGAGAAATGTTTAACCTTATATATATATATATATATATATATATATATACAACTCTCCGGTTTAGTTTTCAATGCTGGGAGAGGATTAGTGTGGCTTGCTAATGATGTAGCTCATCCAAGTGGAGGACCTATGCCCATATCATAATGGAATGACTTTTTCAAACTGCTTTTATAAGATTTACCCTAATGCACATGAAGCATGCAGCCGGCAAATATTCTGCATTTTCCTTCAGCAATTTCTTTGAATTATAATATAGGTACAGTGCTTGTTTGACTCTTAAAATTGAATCTTTGAGAGTCTGTTTGATTGTGTCTACATTTATGAATTGTCGAGAGGAGAAAGGACAAAGCAACATATGAGTCGGTTCCTGGTTTTGATGACAAATACATTCTACAAAATTGATATAAAAAAATATATCAAATTCATGATTACTTGATGCTTGATTGTTACTTGAAATTTTAAATTAAATATCATATTGACAAGTATGTAATTCAGGCTTAAAGCTAGTTGTTTATAATTTTGTTTGTATATTTGAATATTATAATCGATAAATGTGTCAAATAATTGAGAATTGGATTAAATAATGGAGCCTATATCATTCTTTTGTTGCTAGACTGCACCAAATATTTAACAAGCATGCATGATGGTCACCAACGCCAAGCCAATAAAAAAAATGCATGGCACTCTGATTGATTGATTGATTGATTCAATGAATAAAATGAACTCGTTCAACAAATTATTATTTAAATTAAAATAACTCACTAATTGTTTTATCTGAATATATTAGATGTGCCGCTGATAATGTAACTGACCACATTAGATAACATAAAATAAATATATTGTTACTGTGAAATAATGTTAATATCAATATTATTATTATATTTTAATCGTTGATTTTTGTTAATTTACGGTTATTATTTTCACAAATTAAATTTATTAATTAATTATTAATTAACAATAAATGATAAATATTGATTGACAAAATCAACGGTTAAAATTTGATGATAATAATGTTATTTGATAGTAACTTTTAAGAGGAATTTAAAGCCTAAATTCTGGAACTACTCCAAATCGAATTAGTTATGAAGTAACGAACTGATTAACATATTTTAAAAAAAAATATATAATAATAACATTGATAATAATATTAGTCTGTAGTAACCATATCTTATTTCTTGATTTTTAATTTTCTGAAAAAAAGCATATTAGAAAAAAGCAGGTGGTCCTACACTACATCAGTGACTTGTGGGACCCTCCCTTGTCGCCATGCTTAATGTCTTGAGGTCAGGAATATATTATTAACAAATAAGAAAACAATTAGATAATGGTGGGGACCACAGTGAGAACCACCGATTAGGATGGAGTACGCGTGGCGGTGCCTCGGCGCCCGGTGGTGATTGTAATCATGGTTTATGATAGATAGTTTAGTTTAGTGGGAGTGGCATTACGTTACAATTCATGAAGCCCTTTGCCCGTTTGCTTTATCTTCCTCAAAGCCTTGTGTTTCACTGGCGTGTTTGATAGAAGGTGAAAATAATAATAAAAAAAACAGGAAAATGAAGTGTGAAAATTATTTGTTTGTCTATGTTTGATAAGAAGTGAAGTAAAAATATGATTGGAAAATTTCTTTTTCATTTGTTTTTCTATGTAAAATAGTTGGGAGAAATTACAATTAAAGGGGTGAAATTATTTTTTTCTATATAATGAGAAAATTAACACACAACATCAGTAAAATTAACTCAATATTCTCAGAAAAATTTTGACCTACCAAACACTTTTTAGTAACTTACCAGGAAAAAAAATTTCATCGTATTCTTGAAAATTATTTTTCCCGGTAAAAATAAATTTCTCCTCTACCAAACACACATCAAATATATTTTAGGAATAAGAATGCATTTGACACTATTTAAATATAATTTTATGGATTTTATGTTTGACATGTTATATGACCTAATTCCACTTTTCTACACACAGTAAAAACGAGAGAGAAAGTGAAATGATGAAAGAGAGAAATTTTTTTGTGAATCCCACCTCTTTAATGTGTGTATAGAAAAAGGGGAAGGATTATTTGACTCAATATAAGTCTTACTCTTCGTCTTAACCCTTGATTTCTGTCCATCCAACGGTTATAATTTAGGAAGTCATATTAATTAATTAATTATTAATTATTTGACTCATATAACATAACAAATATAAAACTCTAATTTTATACATATTCAATACTCTCTTAGCATTACTTTTTATTAGTTAATAATATCTGATTCTTACTATTTCCGGCGCTATTTCTCCCAGTTAACAAGAAAATATCAAATTCAAATAGGTACTATTTTTTTTTTTGGATTACGTCCGGGTATCCCCAGAGCTGATAGCCATGAAACTAATCTCTTTCTCTTTATTTATTTCATTTTCATTTTCGTAATCTTTTTAATAGAGTTTGAGATAACCATCTCGCAGTTTCACTTAAATTTTTTGTATCACAGCCTTTTTCTTGTATGGACGATCTTCAAATAAAATTTTCTAAACATAAAGTAATAGCATTAAATTACTTTTACCATCAGCTCATTTAACATTAAATAGTTATAATTTTCCATTTAGTTTAGAAGAGTTACTTTAATACATCGCTTTCTTTTTCATAATTATATATGACTCATTAATTTAATCATTGCATAAGCTACCAGAATTCATCTAGTGCTGAAGAATTTGGATATATTATATTAGGTTATGTGTTCAATTTATATTTGTATTAAAAAATAAATAAAAAATCATTGCATATAAAAAGTGAATCAACAACAAATTTTGCACAAGGTAAATTACCACACTTTATGTTAAACAAATGGAATATAAAAGTGATATAAGAAAATTATCCGCCAGCTCAATTAATCTCAAATATTTTGTTTTCTCAGGGTGTGTGGTCATAATGTGATTACTAATCTGTCTCACTATCAAAAACTTTTATTAATTTGAGGGGGGAATGAGATCTAAATAGCTGGAATTTGTTGTGCCAATTTAATGAACCTGGTCAAATATATTGGGGGTTAGCCAACACATGGCTGCTAGAACTTGAACTAATGTCATGTATAATACAAGTTTTAACATTTTCCCCTTATGGAAGTTTTAAATTATAATTTCTTATAACTTACTCAAATCTTTCATTAATACTTAATTTTTAGTAGCTCAAGAGTTAATATAAATAGGCATAGCAATAATGTAATGTCAGCAACTTCAATTGCATTCTTCTAACCATGTGAAAATAAAAAACTTTTACAATTCATTTTGAAAATAATATCAATCTAAAAAATTGCTTAATTTATGCAAGAATTATTATTATTATTATTATTTTTTTATTATTTATTGATGATATATATTTATTAATTAAGTAATAAAAATAAAATAACATAATATGAATACAAAATAGAAACTTATATACCTAAAATCACTTCCAACAAAAGAAGGAATAGCACAATAACGCCCGTAAAATCCTAAGAATCAAACTAAAAGGGTTTAAATGAAACGAAGTATTAAGATATATCAAACCTTTTCATCAAACTCAATCATGCTTTAAATAAATTTCCTGTGCTAAGGCCTTTCATTTTTGTAATGCTTTTGTAGTTTTGCCCAAAAATTTTAGAAGTTTAATTATTTCCTAAAGTCAAAAAGCATGTAATCAATATCACTAATCTATTGAGACTGAAGTGTCATAATTTTGCTGCAGATAGATTTTAATTTTTTTGGTATCTATTTTTTATTTTTTTAATTTACCATCGAGAGTTCCAACTCCTTATTTTTTTTGTCGTACTTATGTTCATTGTAACATCCTCTAGAACTGATTAGGATAGTGGATATTACATTAATTTTTAAATCTTATGAGGTGTATTGGATTAAGATTTTAAAAGAACTTTTTTTTAGCTAAAAAATCTTATAGATTTTAAAAGACTATTTAGAATTGGAGAGACTTTAAATACTTTTTTAAAAGATTTTTTTACAAATCAAGATTTCATAAGATTGGATTTTAAAGGATTTTGATAGGATTTATAAGATTTGAAAGAACAATATGGATTTATAAGTTTTTCGAATTTTTAACAAACATTCAAAATTACAAGAGTCAATAAAAAGGGAAATGTTATACTTACAACCTGTTTTTGTTTACAACATTTTACAATCATATCTTAATTGTTGATTTCCGTCAATCAACAGTTATCATTCATTGCAAATTAAATATTAATTAATGAGTTTGATTTACGAAAATAATAACCGTTGATTGACGGAAATCAACGGTTAAGATATGGTTGTAAAAGGTTGTAAACAAAAATAAATTGTAAGTATAATCTTTCTCATAAAAAAATAACAAAGATATGCAATAAAATTAATAAAAAAAAACCTAATATAATTTTCTCAATCAGTAAAACATAATATAATTTTTGACAAACATTTAAAATTACTAGACAGCTTTTCATATATCTAATGAGTTAAAAATTATCTTCTTCATTTGATATTAAAGCTATGCATATATGATTATAAGACTCAATTTTTTTTAATTATAAAAATAATTCTAAATTTGCATATAGAATCTAAAGTTCATGATAAAATTTCCTTTGAAATTTTTTGTCATTGATCTTGAAAACCTTGTGATTTTTATTTTAAGTGATGAGAGTTTTCTAACCATATATCATATGCATATTTTAATTGAATATTATAGAAAAATTTCGAATCTGAAATTTTGGGTTTAATTACATAAAAGTTTAAAAAATTTCTCAATTTTTTTTCAATCGATACATTGAAACCTTAAATTGCTTTGGGACTTTTGAGAAACAAGTTTTAGTTATCTATTGACGCAAAAATTATTTGAAATCGTTTCCTATAGTGAAGGAATTTCGTTCATGAATGTATTATTACGAAATATAGGGTTTATATTATGAAAGTTTCAATCTTTCTTTAAATTGATATTGTTTCATTGATGTAAAACGAAAATTGGTTTGAGGGTTTTAGTTTCCCTATTATTATTTTTTTCACTGTTTTATGTTATTTTTGATATAAAAATTCACACGTTTTTTTGTGCCAAGAAAAACCGCGACTCATAGTTTGAAAAATTACTTTTTAAACTTTCAAAATTTCTCAAAAATGGCTCAAAAATATGTTATTTTTGAGATATATTATATTAAAATCTCGTTGGTTTGTTGTTTACGGGTTATTTTGTGATGAAAATCGCTCAAAGATATGCTTTCTTTTAGTTTTGACGAAGCTCCCATGGCGAAATGCAATTTCGAGCAGTTAACCTGGCAAAGGAAGAAAAAAAGACTGTAATAATAGAATCTCAATAAATCCTAGGGATTAGGGTGAGATTATGAGAGAGACATCCTATTTATATTTTCCACTAAAAAGTTTCACGAAATTCACACCAATAGAAAATCCATTAAAATCGTCGGATTTTTGAATACCACGATATTATTATTCCATTGTTTAAAATTGTGATTGAATACCAACGGATTTGGACGGATTCTAAAATAATCCTTTAAAATCCTAATCGAATACCACGTGACTTTTTTTCAAATAATTAAAATCATAATCGAATACTAACGGATTTTTTATCCAAAAATAATCCATTAAAATCCTTTGAAATCTGAATCCAATACATTCTCTAAAAAATACAAAAGTAAAAAGCGCAAAATGCAGGTTTATGGGTTTCGACGATAATGGATTGTTTGTTTGGATTTTTTTTTTTTTGGCTGAATGTTGATTTTTGTTTCTTCAGGATCGATTATGTCAAAATTTCATTTTAGTTTTGAAATATTTCAATTGGTTCGTCGCTTCGCGACTAGTCTAATTCGGGGCAGGTCTAAAATTAAGGTTTTAAACTTCTTCCAAAGATGATACTAGAGAGGATCGAACACATGCTCTTACCACTCAGCTCTAATGCGCCAATTGAGCTACCACCATTTGAGAAATTTCATTTTAATTTTAAATTATACAAGTTTTGAAGATTAAGTTAGTTTTGTAAAATCACCCCACATTTTTAACAATATTTAATAATCAACTAAATATAAAATCAAAAATTTTGAGTAATTTTCTATATTTTAACCTACTAAACACCTAAATAGCGGTGAGATTGGTGTATATTATAATTTCAATAAATTCATTTCCAGATAAACATTTGGAAGTGAAAGAATGACAGGGGAAGGTATGATTAAAGAAGGACCACTTCACAGTTTCTCATTTTGCTATATCTTTCCACAAAGCACCATATGTTAGGTTCATCACTTCATCTCACCTTTTTATGTAACGTTACCTTTTTCTCCTTGATACGCGCTGAAATGATCCACTCGTTAGAGGCTTTGGTTAAAAGAAAATGATACTATACTATTCTAATTTGAAAACAACATGCCAAAGGAATCAAAACTGCCTCCATGATTGAGAATATGTCACTCTCGGTTTTTTGATATCCAGAATATGCCATTTCACAGTTTAGACCAAACGCTTCAATTTGCCCTTCTTTTTTAATTTTATTATTAACGCAAGTTTGCAAAATACTTAATTAGCACTACTCTATAAAATAGAATTAAAAAAAAATGTATTTGTATACAATTTACAATACACCTAAAATATAATCCCTAATCCTTTGCAAAATGCCATTTCTTAATTTTTTTTATTAGCAATTACAATTTTGCAATTTATTTTTTAAAGTGTACCAATGATTTTAGAAAATTCAACTCCATTTTATTGTCGTGATTTGTACATTACGTTTATTTAATTGCATAACTTTAATGAGTTAGCAGAACTCATGCATACATTTTGACTTATATGTAAAGGAAAATTTACCCTAAAGTAGAAACAATAATTAGAGTTCCAAATAAATATATCTCGTTTGTAAAACATTAACTTAACATACAATATTCTCTTTATAATTACATATTTACTTACAAATATATTTATGTCTCCATATATATTTATGTCTCCATATAAATAGAATGAAATATTGTAAATGGATGGTCTTTGATGCTGTTATAAAGAACCAATTCAACACAAAAATTTAAGTTATTGGATGAGACTATATTAATAATTTTATATTTTCTAACATATCCCCTTGTACGAGAGAATCTATTAGGCTTGAAGGGTTGATAATGCATCAGACGCAATCTATCTATGCTAAGAGATTTCACATTTCACAATACGCAAATATTTATTAACTAAAATGAATGTGACGAGTATCGAACTCGTGATTATTTAATCAGAGAAGCTCTGATACCATGTAAAAACAATAATGTTGTCTTATGAGAATATTTTGTCTAATATTTTCTTCATTTACATGGATAACTATATACATAAATAAATAAGAACTTTAAATCAATTACAATTAGCTGCAAATAAGGAAACGAAATAACTTTTAAACAACAATTTGAAATTTGTTCTTATTTCTATTTAATATAAATTTTCTATGATTATACAATAATATAATCAATGATATCATAGAATAAAAAACTTCAGTCATGTTGAAGTAATATTATTTTACATAAGTTTGAGCACGAAATTTATTATGAATATTTTATAATAAATTATAATTAAAGAAAATAGAAAGTGAAAAAGTAACTAACAAAACAGTATAATTTTTGTGAGTGAGAAATATATTAATAGTTTTTAGTATTTGATTCTAGAAAAAGAAAAGATATGAAATGGAAAGTAGGTATAGCCAAAGGCGAAGTAGGGTGATGAAGCATTTGGAAGGCTTAGGGAAAGGATATATGTGGGAAATTCTAATAATGTTTTAAAAAAGTAGAATAAATAATAATAATAAGAGAGAATACGAAACCGAAGAGAAGAAACACGAGAGAGAATGAGTGCCAAAATTGAAAGAGAGAGAGAGAGAGAGAGAGAGAGAGAGAGAGAGAGAGAGAGAGTGAAGAAAATTGAATTTGCGATCGCCGAAGTCTGATCCATATCGTTGGAAGTTAAGTTAAGAGAATAATTGAAACTGAAAGTAAAATGCAAAACCTCTGCTCCCATTCTTATCACAACCATCGCTTCCAGTTCCAGTTCCAATTCCAGTTCCAGGTCAGTGTCACTGTCAATTTTCAACTCTCAACTGCGCAACCAAACACCTTTTTTCTTTATTTCGTTTTTTGTGTGTGTGGATAATATCATGCCTGATTGTTTCGATTTTATGGATCTCCTCGAGTGTGGAAATTCTCGTCTTTTTTTGTTTTTTTTGTTTTACGGGCTTTAAGGGATTGGATCTGATCAAATCTAATATTATTTTTCTTTCTTTGTTGGTTAATGTAATCCTTTTTTTGTCTTGGGGGCGTGTTTGAATGGATTCTTACAGTTACAGGGTGAGCAGTGCTTGGAGGAAATCGGAAACAAGAGAGCAGAGTATTCAGAAAGCAGCAGACAGTAGCGTTTGTGGGCTGTGCGAGTCATTAATGGCGTCTGCTAGCCTTGGAAATGGTGGGGTTGGCAGTTCCAGGTCTGTTAGTAGTGGCTTCAGGGGTTCATCTAGTTCTGTGGATTGGCTTGGGAGAGAGATGCTTGAGATGTCCTTGAGGGACAAGGTCGACCATGATGACGACAGAGTATGTTCTAATATCCTTTAAAAATGAAAAAAGAAAGAAAAAAGAAAAAGTATCAGTTATTGCAATTCTCAGAATGGGTGTATTTCCTATTGTGATTGATAACTGGCATACAGCAGAGTTGTTGTTAACTGATTTCTTTTCTCTGAGAGCACTTTTGCCTCATTCCCAAAATAAAATTTAAAAAGATGCTGCAATCCAAATTTACTGCTACTGAATTTGGAATTTTTTCTAGCCTTTTTCTTGTTTTTTGTTTCAATCAATTTGACTTGCCACTGTTTTATACTTTCCAGGATAGCGAGCCTGATATCATTGATGGTGTGGGTGCTGAAACAGGACATGTGATAAGAACCAGCATTGGTGGCCGAAATGGTCAATCTAAGCAGGTAAAAAAAAAATTCTGGGTCATTTGGTATTAGAAAAACTCTTTTGTTTATGCTGTTATAGTTGAACTATTGACAACTAACAACTTCCCTGACATTTTTTTTTGGTTTGAGTTGACAGAATATTAGTTATATAGCGGAACACGTGGTTGGAACGGGCTCTTTCGGTGTTGTTTTTCAAGTGAGGCAGAACCACCTAGTTTGCTTTTGATATTTTTTGTAAATGCCATCCTGTTGATGTATGACATACTTATACCTTTTTTCTTTCCATTAATGCTTTTATCAGGCAAAATGTAGAGAAACAGGAGAGATTGTAGCCATCAAGAAGGTTCTCCAGGACAAGCGCTACAAGAATAGAGAGTTACAAATTATGCAAATGCTGGATCATCCAAATATTGTTGCCCTTAGACATTGTTTCTTTTCAACCACCGACAAAGAAGAAGTTTACTTGAATCTTGTGCTTGAATATGTTCCTGAAACTGTGAATCGTAGTGCAAGGAACTATAGCAGGATCAACCAGCGAATGCCTTTAATATACGTGAAGCTTTATACCTACCAGGTATGTAGTTGTTTGCTTCTCAGTTAGATCTGGGAATGTAAAACTGGAAATAAATATAAGAATAGAAAGAGGCAATCCTCCGAAGCATTTGATGATTATAAGAAACCTGCATGTATTAAGCTGTTGTTAAAATTAATATATGATTGGTTCATGACATGCTAACTCGTCTCTTTTAATCCCTGCCTAATTGTTTTTCGTAAATTTTGATAAAGTTCATCAACCTTAGATTCATATGTTCTGAAGAATGAGTCCCAGTTTCACATATGGAATTGTTTTTGAAAAGAATTGCGAAAACAAGGAAAATAAAATAAAATAATGGATATTGCTTTTTGTATATGGGTAATAGACTATCTGAAGGAAAGAAAGATAAAGAATTGTGCAACTTACACATGTTAAATCCCTGTTAGTTTCTTGTCTATTGACTTAATTCTTTCTTTTCTGATTTTTTCTGCAGATTTGCAGAGCCCTTGCTTATATCCATAATTGCATTGGTATATGTCATCGTGACATCAAACCTCAGAACCTGCTTGTAAGACATTTCTTTGAGTTATTGATTTTTTTTTTACGTGAAACTCATTTGGTAAATTCAGTGCCTCATAATGGGCTCGTTTATTATGATTTTTTTTTTATGCTGATGCTAATTATTTTAGAATTTCAAACACTTTTAACACTATCACATCTATATAAATCCACACTGAAAGGAAACATTACTGAAAAAACAAAAAAAAAACCACTTCCCGTTAAATCCGACTAGCTCGTGGTCATTAAATTTTAATTGCATTTCAGTAATGTTGAAAGAAACATTACTAAAATGCAATTAAAATTTAATGACCACGAACAAATAATTAATTGAAAATTGTTATTCATACAGCTTGTTCTGTACAATTTTCATTTTATTTTTGGTGAATTGTATGCATGCTTGGTTTTAATTTTATACGACCATAGCAATTGTCCATGTCAAAGCATGCATACATTTCAGTAATAACATGTGCAAATAATGGCATTTAAGGTATTCCTAGATGACTAAAAAGTCTTTTAAAAGTTTAAGTTAGTGGGTGGAGGCCCAATAATGACATTATATCACTAATAACATGTCCTCACACAAACCCTTTGGGCTTGATGTGTGAATAAAGCATAGTTCCACTCAAATCTTCTGCCGAAGTTATAATTTAATGAGAACAATGGAGGTAGTAAGGATCAAACTCCTAATGTAAAATTATCGGCCGCTTCAAGAATCAATGACTATCTCCACATACTAACACTAGACTTTTCAGTGTGCTTTTTCCTCACTCACACACTTCCTGGGAAAACTTCCCAGGAGGTCACCCATCCCAGAATTACTGCAAGTCAAGCACGCTTAACTATGGATTTCTTCCGTTCCGGGCTATCAAAAAGTATATGCATCTTGTTAGTATAGGTAATACCAATTAATTCTTATAAGCTATCCCCAACTGTGCAGTCTCATACCTGCACAGTCTTTGAAATCTCTCTCTTTCGGGTGTCGATTCGATTCATCCATGTAACCTCCCGCTGGAAGCCTGTTAGGAGCCGCTCCTTGTCTGTGCCCTTTCGCACCATGCCCTTTCGTATCGGCGATTACTCTCCGCCCTCGTCAGCGCTCGGGATGTTACACCTAACACCTAATCATTTGGTAAAAGAACTTGGTGGGCATGTCATGAACCAACTTACTAAAAGCTTGAGCTATATTAGGTGGAGGCACCAGCTGCACAACAATGGCTTTATAGTTTCTAAAGCTAACAGTATATATGTCGCATCTTTATGCATGCTGGTAGTCTTATTTCACTGTTTTCTGGTTGAAATTTTTGGAGTTCAGATTACTCGAATTGTCCCACTTTTGCGTTTTAAAATTTTAATATCTCGCCTGCTCTCTTGGAGTCTATTCTTCTAATGTGAAAGATATGTTGAGATGCCTAGTAATTTTAATTTAAGAACTGCATTATGGAGAGCATCTTGCTAAACAAACCTGAGGCTGTTGTTATTTTTGTTTCTTGCATTTTTTTCTCTATCCAATTGAATGCAGGAGAGGGTGACTTGGGGCCACCATGTAAGAAATCTGACTTGTAGGGGAAATTAGGAGGTTTCTGGAATAATTAGATACTTCCTGCTCTTGCTCTATGATAATGGCAGCTCTGGCTAGAGGGTTTTTTTTTTTGTTATTTATTTATTTAATTTTTTTAGTTAAGTGTTGAAGGAGAGGATTGACTTTGGATACGTCTTGATTATCTGAAAATTCATTGTATTATGAAATCTGAGTTTACATTACAGCTATTCCACCTTATATATCATGGTGTCAAGCAGAAGAATCAATAATGAGTATAACAAACTTCCAACTATACACAACAGATTCCTAACCGTGTAACAAACTGGATACAGTTACAAACTAACTTTAACTGCATCTCTTTCCACGTCAGCGTTAGTTACTTCATTAGGATATATTAACATCCTCCCACAAGTGGGACTATATATGTTGAAGAGTCCCAACTTGGACACAACTCTTTGAAACGCAGTAACATGTAATGGTTTTGTAAAGACATCCGCAATTTGTGCTGAAGAAGAAACAGGCAACAGATGAACAAGCTTCTGAGCTACTTTTTCGCGAACGACATGACAGTCCAACTCAACATGTTTCGTTCGTTCGTGAAATGTTGGATTGTGTGTGAGATATATCGCGGATTTGTTATCACAATAAACTGATATGGGATGAGATAAAGGAAAGCATAAATCCTTGAGAAGATAGGAGAGCCATTGCAGCTCACAAGAGAGGCTAGCCAATGCTCTGTATTCTGCCTCACATGATGACCTTGAGACAATCGTTTGCTTTTTGGATTTCCAGGAAATAAGAGCGGAGCCTAGGAAGACACATTGTCCAGTGACTGAACGCCTAGTATCTGGGCAGCAAGCCCGATCTGAATCTGAGAACCCTGAAAGTTTCAAGTTATTCTTTGAAGGAAAGAAGAGACCAGTGCCAGGGGAATTCTTAATATATCTGAGAACTCGAAGTGCAGCAGAGTGATGAACGTCCGTAGGATTGGAAACGAATTGACTTAATTGTTGAACTGGAAACATGATATCGGGTCTTGTAGTAGTTAAGTATAGGAGCCTCCCCACAAGACGACGATAGGGAGATGGATCAGTTAAAGGGACACCCAGGGAGCGCTGAAGCTTCGAAGATGCATCCATGGGTGTAGATGATGGTTTGGCAGCAAGAAGACCGCTATCTGACAAAAGTTCCAAGGCATACTTGCGTTGATTCAACACAATCCCCTTATTCGACCGAGAAATCTCCAGGCCAAGAAAGAACCTTAAAGTGCCAAGGTTTTTGATTTTGAACTGATTATCCAGAGAAGTCTTCACACGACGAATTTCATCCATACAATTGCCAGTCAACACAATATCATCAACATATATGAGTAAAGCTGTGAAGAGAGAACCAACCTTAAGCGTAAATAGAGAATAATCAGCGGATGACTGCACATAGCCCAAAGAAGACAAGGCAGATGTAAGTTTAGAATGCCACTGACGACTTGCTTGTTTAAGGCCATAGAGGGACTTTAATAACTTGCAGACTTGATTGGGTTTGCTGGCAGTAACCCCTTGTGGCAGAACCATGTAAACCTCCTCATCCAAATCGCCATGGAGGAAGGCATTATTGACATCCAATTGTTCAAGGTGCCAATTGTTAGCAGCAGCAAGGGCCAAGAGGGTGCGAACAGTAGTGAGCTTAGCTACTGGGGAGAATGTATCGAAGTAGTCTATCCCTTCCACTTGTGTATAGCCTTTGGCAACAAGCCTGGCTTTGTGCCTTTCGATTGACCCATCAGCAAAGTGTTTAGTTTTGTATACCCATTTGCAACCAATGGGTGTCTTCTCAGGTGGTAAATCAACTAGCTTCCAAGTGTGGTTTAATTCAAGAGCTTTTAATTCAGTGAGCATAACATCCTGCCAACAACGATGCTTAACAGCCTCAGTATAAGAAGTTGGTTCTGTTTGCAGAGACACATTAGAACAGAAATTGTGAAATTTGGAAGAACAATGTTCATATGAGATGACATCATGTAATGGGTATTTGATAGGAAGGTTAGTGGTGTTTATTGTGTTACAGTGAAAATCTTGGAGATAAGAAGGAGGGTTTCGGGCTCTAAAGGAACGTCGAGGTGGTACTGGAGTGTCAGTATGATTGTTATTAGTATGATTGTTATCAGTGAGGATGGGCGAATTGGCTATGGCAGGGATTTGAAAATCATGTGTGGATGGGTGTGAAGGAAAATCTAGTGGAGGTAATGGTTGAGGTGAAACAGATATGGGTGAGGGTGATTCATCTAAAGGTGGAGTAGAGGTGGCAAATGGAAAGATAGATTCATATAAAACAGTATTTCGGGAGAAGAAAACTTGTTTAGAGGTTAAATCATAAAGGATATGGCCTTTGGTATTAGGTGGTTCTCCCAAATACACACATTTTCTTGCTCGAGGAGAGAGTTTATTTCTATGGGAATTAAGGGTAGAGGCATATGTGAGGGAACCAAAAACTCGAAGATTGGATAGTAGGGGTGGTTTAGAGTGAAGAATCTCATATGGAGATTTGTATTTCAACAATGGGGTAGGCAAACTGTTAATGATTAACACAGCTTGTGAAACTGCATAATTCCAAAGTGAGTGAGGGATGGATGCTTGGAAAGCTAGTGCTCTTGTTACATTCATAATGTGCTGGTGTTTTCTTTCCACCAACCCATTTTGTTGTGGTGTCTCTACACAGCTGGTTTGGTGGACAATTCCATGCTGAGAATAAAATTCTGGCATAATGAACTCTTTCCCATTGTCGGTTCTAATGCACTTCAAGGAAGTATTAAATTGGTTCTCAGTGAGTTTGATGAAATTTTGTAAAAGCTGTCTTGTTTCACTTTTGTAGACCATGAAAATGACCCAAGTAAACCGAGAGAATTCATCAACTAAAGTCAAGAAATATCTATATCCATGAATAGCAGGAACCATAAATGGCCCCCAAATATCAACATGTAGTCTTTCAAAAACTTTATTCACAGACGAGTTGCTAACAGGAAATGGTAACTTCTTGTGCTTAGCAAAGTGGCAAATGTCACAGGGTTTGACATGCCTATTTGGTATAAAGGAAAATTGAGAAGCAACATGCTTCAAAATATTCTCTGAAATATGGCCCAATCTAAGGTGCCATAATCGAAAATCATTATTTTTATTACACAAGTAACATCTATGACAATGACAGACTTGGAAACTCGAATTGAGTTGTGCAGATCCAGTTGTCATGACAAACAGTCCTCCTCTTCTTCTAGCTGTACCAATCGTCCTCAAATTGGTTTTCTGTTTAATCAAGCAATGTGTTGCATGAAAAACCAAGAAATAGTCAGCATTTTCAAGCAATCTTGTGACAGATATCAGATTCACCTTGAATTTTGGAATATATAATACATCCGTTAAGGTAAGGGTGGAAGAAATGTCCACATTTCCAGCATATGAAGCAATGACAGATGATCCATCAGGCAAGAAAACAGATATAGGTGTAATCTTGTGAATGGATGTGAATATGGATTGAATATGTGTGATGTGATCTGTGGCCCCTGTATCTAAAAGCCATTGCATCGAAATTTTACCTGTCATAGGAAGGTTCTCATTGACTGCCATGTTGGTGGAATGGACATGATTGTTTTGCTGCATATAAGCCATATAGTCCTCATATTTCTCCTTTGAAACAGACATCAGTGGAGCTGATACATCATGATCTCTGACCACAGTATTTGCATTCTGTTCAGTTAGAACTGCATTACTTGATCCTTGAATGTTCTTTGACCTGTAGCCTTGGGGAAAGCCATGCTTGAAGTAGCATGTGTCAATGGTGTGATTTGTCTTCTTGCAATTAGTACAATACTTGTTGCTATTACTTGAACTGCGTCCACCAATGAATCTTCCTCTTCCTCTGTATGAAGGTCCATGACCACGTGGATTCTCTGATGAACTAGCAAATGCCTTTGCTTCACTTACATTATCACTGTATGAATCAGTTCGCAGCTGTCTTTCTTGTTGTTGCACGAAAGAAAATGCTTTGTTTATATTTGGAAGAGGAGACATGAGCATTATTTGGGATCGAACTTGTGCAAAATTTTCATTAAGGCCTCTTAAGAACCTTATGACCTGATCTGTCTCCCTATGTTCTCGTGATTGAATCAAAGTTCCACATGTGCATTGTGGAAGTGGTCTAAGATTATTCAGTTCATCCCAAAGTGCCTTCAAAACTGTAAAATAATCGGATACTGTTTTATCACCTTGATTAGTTTGAACCAGATCTTCTTGTAAATCTGCAATGCGAAAAGTGTCTGCTTGGGAAAACCGATCTTTCAAGTCATTCCATACATCATAAGCTTTGTCAATCCAAAGAATAGATTGGACAACCGACTGAGCTATAGACTTGTGAAGCCATGAGAGGACCATTGTGTTGCATCTCTCCCAGGAAGGAAAGATTGCATCATCTTCTGCAGGAGCAGTGATAGTGCCATTGACAAACACTATCTTGTTCTTGGAAATCAAAGCCACTTTCATGGCTCTTGACCACGCATGATAGTTCTTTCCATTCATTAATGGAGAAACAAGAACTAAAGATGGTGATTCGTTGGGATGAAGATAGTATGGATCTGATAATTGGTTTTGTTCTGCCATGACTATGAACAGAAACGAAAGATTGATTGAAGAAGAAGATTAGATGAACAAGAAACAGAAAGAAGATGAACAAAGAACAGAGAGCTAAAATTGCATCACGGAATGTGGTTGATGGCCCAGAGCTATTGCTCTGATACCATCTTGATTATCTGAAAATTCATTGTATTATGAAATCTGAGTTTACATTACAGCTATTCCACCTTATATATCATGGTGTCAAGCAGAAGAATCAATAATGAGTATAACAAACTTCCAACTATACACAACAGATTCCTAACCGTGTAACAAACTGGATACAGTTACAAACTAACTTTAACTGCATCTCTTTCCACGTCAACGTTAGTTACTTCATTAGGATATATTAACAATACGGCGCACCTTAAGGGGAGTATCCTGTTCCTAGGATATTTTCGAGCCTTACAATCACCTCTGTCTTCTAGCAACCATTATGAATTTAAGTTTTGCTTAACCTAGCTGAAAGATGGTAGAATATATACGGGGTATACCTGTGTTGGTATCAGTTTCTATTTTTTATGCTCAAATGCATGTTACTCATGGCAGGTGAACCCACACACTCATCAGCTGAAACTATGCGATTTTGGGAGTGCAAAAGTGTTGGTAAGAAATTTAGCTAAGTGCACTGGTGGCTGATGGAAGCTATTTTTTTTTTTCTTACTAGTTTCATCAATGTTCTAATTCATCAGGTGAAAGGAGAACCTAATGTTTCTTACATCTGTTCAAGATACTATCGTGCCCCAGAACTTATATTTGGTGCCACTGAATACACAACTGCCATAGATATATGGTCAACTGGTTGTGTAATGGCTGAATTACTTCTTGGACAGGTAATTTGATGCTTAAATAAACTTGTGACTATTTTTCTCATTTCATCATTTCATAGTTTTCTTTTGTATTTTTTGTTTTCCCTGAAATTCAATTTATTTTGCAGCCCTTGTTTCCTGGAGAGAGTGGAGTTGATCAACTAGTTGAAATAATCAAGGTGAGGACTTACCATCCATATTTTTCAAATAATCTGGATTTGGCTATCCTAGAATTATGTAATTCTGGAATAGTCAATAAACACTGAAATATTTTATTTATAACTTATATGTTGGGTAAATTCAGTTGGGTCTGCCAGAGATGATATATGTTCTGTGCGTAGTTGTCTTGTCAGTATGGATTTCCAGTCTGGCTCAAGGAAAGGGATATATTTATTTTGTTTTTGTGCAATGATTTCCAGTCTTGAATATAAAGATGCTTTTCTATGCTTGATTATCTCTTCTTGGTTTGAGTAAGATAGAGTAAAGAAAAAGCAAATTTTCCTTTGCAAATGTTCTGTTATTTGTTCGAATGATATAACAGTTTTGTAGTTCACTATTCCCCCAAAGGAGTCATGAAAAGTTACAATCCAATTATTTTTATTTCAGGTCTTGGGAACTCCAACCAGGGAGGAGATAAAGTGCATGAACCCAAATTATACAGAATTTAAGTTTCCGCAGATAAAACCTCATCCATGGCACAAGGTTCACTCTCTTGTTCTTTGCTTAAGTTCTGTAGTTTATTGTGAACGCTTGTATTAATTCAGGATTTAGGCTGGTTAAATAAATCTGTTTATGCAAATTCTTTCCCTAGATGAGCTAGATTTTAATCATTGTTGAGACTATACCTGTACAAGATATTTCTTAAGTGATATTTGTGTCAACATGGGTTCATTTGATGACATTTGCATGCTTTTCCTCCAGTGGTTCCAAGTAATTGGCAAAGCTGGGTAATTGAGCTGCTAGAATTAATTTGATTCTTAATTTCTAGGATGTGATAAATTCTGTCTCATTAACATTGAGTATCTTGAATGTAGATTGTTCTTTATGTGATTAAGGAAGATGTTTCATGTTAAAAAAATAAAAATGATGACAGAGATGGGAAGCATCATCCTTTCTACATTTGTATTTCTTCCCTATCTCAACAGCCTTTCTTTCACCCAATAAAACAGAACAATCGTTCTACTATTCTACATTTTGAAAAATAAAATTATTTTGGAAGTTAGTATTGATGAAGTAGTCTTCTTTGTGCGAGGAATTTACTATGAGATTATTTTAGTTTGACAGACCTTTCTGAAATGTTTTCTCCCTAAAGCAGTTGACTTTGCCTCTACTCTACTTATTTTCTGCACTTTTATCCTAACACATTTCTTTATTCGATCCATGTATGCATGTGCCACTTCCTAGTCTTAGTTTTACTGTTTACTGTACATGTTTCAGGATGATATAAATTAATGTGGTCCTGAGTTATTATGGCGTTAGATAGGATTGGGTGTGGATCAAGGTGTCAGCTTATTTCTTTTTTGAGTTTGATATGTCTACCGCACTGGATTCTTGGCCTGATATGGCATGGGATTGGATCAGTCTTGACAAATTTCAAGGACTATGAGATTAATGCAGTAATACTAGATTAGTGTAGATATTGGGCCTTATTGACACTTCCTAGCTTCTTGTCCAGAAATGTCAGAGAGGCACAACAGTGCTTTGTCAGAAGTTAAAATTGTTATAGGCTTCATTTTTAAAATTGGTTGCAGTTTCCCAATGGTTTGTAAGGGACGTTTTTAGACATCCCAAATTCAGGGATAGGCAAAAATGTCCGCTTTGAATCAATATATTGTTATAAATTTGTCCCTGCAATGCACGTGGATGTGAAGCTAATCAATTTTGAGATTATATGCAAAGTATTGGTAAAACTTGTGTGCATGTGTAACTTACATTACGTAATAGGATTCTTATTTGCATGAGGGATTTACTATGATATATACTAATTTGACAGGTCTTTCAGAAACGTTTACCCCCAGAAGCAGTGGACCTTGTCTGTAGGTTCTTTCAGTACTCTCCCAATTTGCGATGCACTGCTGTATGTTTGACCTCTCCATTTTTTGTACTGGTTTTCTTTTTTCATCTTGGATATCTGCAATTATTATAAAATTATTTGAATCTCACCATATTATGGCACTGCAGTTGGAAGCTTGCATTCATCCCTTCTTTGATGAATTGAGGGACCCAAACACCCGCCTTCCTAATGGTCGCCCACTTCCTCCTCTGTTTAATTTTAAACCTCAGGGTGAGTTAAGGATCAGCACATTGAAGTTATTTGAAAGAGCTTCAATTAAAGCAGCAAGGCAATAATATAATTGTCTCACAACATTGACGTGATTCGTTAGTAAATTGTGTACTAAGAAAAATAAAAAACAATGTTTTAGTCCCATAATTGGAGGTCAGGATCATAAGGGGGAAATTGTGTATGGTACAAGTTGTTAATATTTATAGTACAAATAAAGATGAGTTTTATGATAATCGGCATTTTAGCATGTCACTTACCATGTCTTAGCCGCAGGAGGGCACGACACAAGGTTTTTTCACCTGTGTTCACGACTTTCCATCCTAGACCCCGATTATATTCCCAAAAGAATGAGCCTTTTGGTTTTGCATTTATCATTACATATTCTTTAATTTCCTGTCTTTGAATAAATTTTGCCTGTTTGACCCTCTGATATGTTTTTAAGTAATAGGCTAAAAAATCTTTGGAAGAAACTAGTATTTGCGTGCATTGATATTTATTTTATTTCCTATTCCTGACATTTTATGTTGTTCTTTTTTGCAGAACTTTCTGGTATACCCCCTGACGTTATCAATCGACTTGTTCCAGAGCATGCTCGTAAACAGAACTTATTTATGGCTTTGCACACCTAGCAAGTTTTATTTTTTCCTCCCTTCACTTACTAGCAGGCTGTAAATTATCCGGTGCATCTTGAGAAAGAATGCCACAGAAAGAGTTCGTAGGATTATATTATATAATATGAAAAGTTTCAATATTTTGAATTTCATGTCAAGGGAGTTGTTTTCTTCTTGCTCACATGACAACGTTTTCCATGTATATTTATCTGATTATCTTGTGTGCGCTATCGGTTAGTTTAGGTCTTTGGTTCATCGCGTAGGATAAGCATGATAGTATTAGGTGTGATAAAATAGTACAAGTTATATATTGCATTAGTTTTTATGCTATAGACGTTTGGCGTGTCACGAATGGTTGAATAATTTTATCTATTCAGTATTTGTTGTCCAAACATATAAGCATATAAGCTCTCATAGGATAAAAAAAAGTTATGAACAAAAACAACCTTATACATAAATTTTTGCTTTTGCTCACATAGTTTTTGGTTTAATTAATAAATTGCCTTGCACTCTGTCTGATAAGAATATTAGTTGTTATTCATGTGGCTCTTGTAAATTATCGACTCACATCGAAAAAGAAGATTTTTAGGGTGAAAATGTCATAATACTCCATGTTGAGTTCAAGATTAGAGAGAATAAGATTTTACCAACACTTAAAAAGGAAACGAGATGACAGATTTTCAGGAAAATGATACTTCTGATGTTCTTGCTTCCTCGAAGTGGAAAGAAAATAAAAGATGACAAACTTTATTAATCACTCGTTAACAATTGGTTATTCTCCTTCAACTAATTGTTACTCGACAGAAACACAATTATGTTGCACGAAGCACCTAAAGCTCTGATCTGTCAGCCCTTGGGTGTTCAGGCATTCAATCCTCAACCAGGCCCCCGTTCTATACCCACGTGGTCTTATAATCTGATAAAACCATAAAGAAGAAGAAGAAAGGAATAGTTTTAGAGGACCTCACGTTAAACAAAAGTTGGTAATAAACATGATCGATGGGGTGCCTAACTTGCAAATTTTGTAACAAGTATGAAAGAAATAGTAGGGTAGCTCCACTCCATATCATGTTCGAATTTCTCAAGCCATCGTCGTTTTCAATTCAAGCAAAGAAAAGAAAAGAAAGCAGTATTTACAATTCGCTGTTCAATCTTTCGTAGCTTGCCCTCCTCCTACAAATCATATATGAACACGATGATACAACACCTATACACAAAATAATTGAGAAGGTAGGGAGAGGCGTAACCTCTCCTCGGCTATTCCCATATAGACTTTCTAGGACTCCGAGGCACACTATTGACTCTTTCAACCAAAAAATGACCATAAGGTGCAGAATCATCTGGGTATGCGTACCCCTTGAGGGGTCTGGTCGTCGAGTAATAATAGTTAAAACCCCTATTATTAATAATATCCGTCTTCCCCATTGTGATAATTGGTGGCGGCCTTCCCATCCCAATCCCAATCCCAATCCCTAGTTGAGGAGGATCCTGTTGTGGTCTCGATGAAGAAGGATAATTAGGCGAAGGGTGATGTGTGTCGACATGAAAGGCATTGCTGCTGCTGCTGCTGCTGTTACTGCCAAGGTTTGTTAGGCTCGGAGAGCTTCTGACTTTATGCATTGCAAGTCGATTGCCGTGGAATGGTGATGAATCAGCAGCAGCAGTATGAGTATGAGTATGAGTATGAGCATCTGGAGAAACGGATTTTGGGGAAGAACAAGCAGAAAAAGCATGCTGCTTATTATTATTAGGGGTCCTTTCCCTTGGGCTTGTACGTACGATGCCATTGATGGCATCAATATAACGTTGTTCTAACAAATAAGGTTCGGATGTCTGCTTATCAAGCAAAAGCGGGTTGGAAGGAAAGAGGAAAGCACGAAGCATACCACTGTCGTGTCGATCGTGTTCGTCAATCATGTGCTTCATATCTTCATCTGTTTTGACCGACACCAATGCATCGAGATCTTCGGGGACTAGCTGGTACTTTAGCACAATCTCACCCTCAACCATGCCGCTCACCTTCTTCATCAGTTCTGAAATATTCATTCAAATGAATCCATCATATATATATATATACATTTATTTAATCATTTGATTAATTAATTTTATTTATTTAACCATTGGTTGTTTTGTTTGTTGGTTGTTGGAAATTGGAATGGAGAGGAAAAGGGAAAGAGAAAGAGAAAAGGAATACATACATACCAGAGAAAGTGATGTCGCGAGGGACGGAAATGACACGAGTCTCGCCGCCGACATACTTGAGGAGGCCATCGGAGGGTCGGGGAAGAACCTTTCCGCCATGGCTGCACAAGAACTTCACTTTATTCTTGGGTGACTCATCCCCCATTCTTTCTTTCTTTCTTCCTTTCTTTTGCTGTTTGTTTGTTTCAATTTCAATCGAGAAAATTGGTGGAAAAAGGAAGGATAGATAGATATCAGAGGATGAATTAGCCTTTACTATTTACTGTTTTATTTTTGTGTTTGTGCGTGTGTGCCTCTCTCTCTCTCTTTCTCTTTTAAATTCCCATTTATCTATTATTCGCACTCACACTTTTCTTTCCTTTCAATTCAAGTTCCTAAATAACTTCCCCCCAAAATCTCTCTCCTTTGAATGTCAAACACGAATACCAAAATTCCCGTTTCTTAAATTCGCATCTATTCTACATATTTACACGTTTACCCTTTCACATCATATTTAGTCAGGTAAATTACCTATTTATATATAATTTTAATTTTTGAGTAAAAAAAATAAAAAAAATTGCCTATATATTTTTCCCGTGTAAATAGCATTTTTTTTTTTTTTGTAAATTAAATAGCATTTTATTGTCTCTACACTCTGACGACAATCTCTCCGCCCTCCCATTCATTCTCTCAAACACGATAACGGCATCGCATATAAATCAATTAATTCACACTCAAGCCTTGACTGCAATTGCACCTTCAAACAACAGTAGCATTTTTTCGAAATTAATATTTAATTTTTTTAATTTCCCAAATAGCCCTACTTTTTTTTGACAAAATTTCCTCAAATACTCTTGCTTTTAATTGCGCAAGAGTGGACTTTTCGTAAATTAAAAACTACAATAAAGGTATCCAAAAAAACCCTATAATTCAAGTAATAATTTAAAAAAATCGATATGCATATTGTAAATTATGAACAAGGAAAGAAAAATATATACCTATATACAATATTTAGCACAGTTAAAGGAATTTTAGATAACGTTGTAAATTAAGAAAAATAAAAATGAATCCTTTTATGTCTTATTTAACATGACCATTAAGCTGTTTGTGTAGGAGCAGAGCTAGGCTTGTATCCCTTAAAAGTGTGAAATATGTCACTATGAAGGTGCTTTTAGAGACAATGATATGAACCGAAATTCTTATAGAGAACTGACTCTGTGAGTATCTCAGTGAGGACCGAGAGAAGGAGATTAGGTAAGGGCAAGTTGGTTCAATATTAAGAACTTATATTTATATATAGGTGAAAAATATTCTCTAATGATGAAAGAGAGTCATATCTCTTTTGTCCAAGACCCCTATGTTCTAGTGAGGTAGCGCACCACAAACATATATCATGATGAGTTGTGCAAAGAGTGAGAAATCATCAATTATGAAGGACTAAAAGTCTCGGATATGGATCCTATCATGTTTATAAGTGGTAAGGTGGTCATGTTGTTTGATCACAAGTCACAACCATTCATTGGTGATGAAATAAGATAGAGTAAAGTGTGTGATTTTATAAATAAGTGATTGTGATCAAACAATATAATCATATAACCACTTTTAAACATGAGAAGATCCAAATTCAAAAGTCTCACTTTAGGGAGATAAGGGAGTGAACCCTTAAATGAGTCTCGAAGGGCCAGCCCATGGCTTTGAGCTATGTGAATTAATATCTTAATTATTAATTGACAAATTAACGATTATCTTTTTGTCACTCCATATCCTCATATTTTTTCTTTGTCATTTCTCATTATCGTTGATTCTTTTATGAATGGTTAAGATATTTCAGATGACCTAATCATGTCAAATTACACAAGAAAAAACTCATTTCCAAAAAAAAAAATGTGAAAAAAGTTTTTTTTTGAAAATTGATAACATGATCAGTTTTCTCTTATACAATGATCAGTATTATTAAGATGTAAATAAGTCAAATTTGACCTAACCTAAGTAGTAAAACAAAATAGGCCCGAAGAGGGTAAAAAACCCTACTTAGGAATTAGTCCATTTTTGAAAACTGTCTCAAAGCATATAAGTCAACCTATAAACTTTTACGATGAATTTTTATTATTATATGATAATACTTTTGCTATTTGGAGTGGTTTATAATATTTTAAGTTAAATATTCAAATCTGTGAAGATAGATTTATTTTTCCTTAAATCATCATAAATGAGGGTTTTGAAGGGATTAATAAATAATTATAATTTATTCTTGCGTTATGGTTTCTTTAAGTAAAATATGGTTGATCTCTTACCATTGAAAATATAGTAAATTTGGTAGGCCATAGGCCATACCTTTTAATTTGAAAAATTAGGTCAGGTTAAACCAAACCTTTTATTTTGAAAAAACAGGTTAGGGTAGGCCTAAATTTAGCCTCTAAGGTCATATTAGACCACACTCAAAATATTCTGCACAAACTTAGCGAATTTAGGTTAAAATTTAACTTGACTAAGCCCTAAGTGCCCCGCAATATATTTTATTGTTACACGCACAAAGTTCAATTAATATTAGCGTTTGTAATTTGTCAATATTTAAAACCGCATTATAAGAGCTAAGTCGTGAGTTATGGATTTCAATGACTAACATTCTCAAGTTAAGCATTATATTTTAAATATATGCTTTTTGTCCACCGTTTATAGTTTACAATATATATAGCCCATATATATATATATATATATATATATATATATATATATATAATCTTATTTTAAATAATATTTTTCATTTTCGTTATTAAAAAACATGTTAATAAGTGAATTTATGAGAAACTCGCTACTTAGCATGTAGAGAAAAAGTTTAACATTAGAAAGATGGTTAGAAACATACCGGTTTCTTAATGCATTTATTCTTCTTCTTCTTTTTTTTTTAAAGGAAGGGACATAAATCAACTTCCCAATGTCATTAAAAGATTATCTCCTACACTTATATTTTTTAATTAGGTCCCATAAATTTTTTTTTCTCTTACCTCCAACTCTTTTCTCTCTCTTATTTATTGTAGATAGTATTTTTCTTATGCAATATACAAAAAATATTACCCTTAAAAGAAAGAGTAATTTGAAAATGGGAAAATATACTCTTATGTTGTAGAAGAGTATTTTTCTCTCCTATACATACATCGACTTCCGTGTGACTTTTTTTTTTTTTTTATTATTATAAGTGAGTGAGTCCCACACATAACTATCTCTATGACATAAAAAAGCTTCTCTTATGTTGCATGAGATTAATAAAGCCCTTTGAAAATTATTGTCAGAAATAAAAAAGTATTAATTCCGTAAAAAAAGCCTAACATTATTCTGATTAGACAACTAAAACCCGTAGTTAAAATATTTCATGTTAGGATGGTAGGCGTGTGATGTTTTGTTTTGGTTTGGTTTGGTTGGTTCTACTTTTCTTGTCATGCTATAATGGAATTTACACTCAACTCCTCTGATGTCTCACTCAATATTTTTTCCTGCTTCACATTCATTATCCTTCCTATAATTCCCTACATATTCTTGAGGAAAAAAAAAGGTTAATTGCTTTCCTTTCTTCTGCCTTTCTGTTTTACAATTTCGCACGACTTGATACCCTTTTTTTCAATGGAATAAAATAAATGTAAGAGAATAAGTCATTACACAACTAACCAAAGTAAATCACTATTAGTAATGATAACTCGAATTCCGTCTAATAACACCATTATTGGCACCTCCTGTTTGATGAGTCTTGTTTGAGTACATGAACGAACGCTTAGATTTGATTTTGCAGCGTGATATATTAAGTAAACTGCAAGCACAGCAGGTTTGGTAGATTATTCTCAATCTTGAGATAATTAGTTGAAGTTCACTTTTTTTAGAAATGGAACTTTGAATCCTTACACAAACCGACACAATTTAATGATGATCATTTCACCTCAACTTCCTACCCATATAAAAGTAGACTTTAAATGTAACAGCTGATAGAATGAATAGAAGTAGTTATTTGGAGATTTTGCCAAAATAAAATATACATACTTAAATTATAGAAAAGAAATTATGCAAAAATAAAAATAAAGTTGTGAATTCAGAGTTCTGTAAACAAAACTGTAAAGCAGATTTGCAGTGTTATTAATTATAATGAGAGAGAGAGAGAGAGAGAGAGAGAGAGAGGAGTAAACTAATTAAAGTCGAAGCAGGCGCTTACAGGCTTTGAGGATCTTGCCTCCCCTCTGCTTCTTCTTCACAGATCTAATTCTTTCTCCGTCTGTTTCTTCTCCAATAGGTGATGCTATTGCCATGTACTGATCATGGATCCTACAGTACCTCTCCGAAACCGATGAGGATCTTCTCATTGAGAATGCCCTCTTCATTGTAGCCTGAAACCCAGATGCTGCAGAAACTGAACCACTCCTGCCCATCATCATCATCCCAAATCTCATCTCTCCATTATTGCCACCACCTCCTCCTTCTTCCCTCTCATCAGCCTCAGGGGATGAATTCTGGGTCTTGATCTTCTTAACCTTGTTATCATCAGGTTCCCCATGTTTGGCCATGCTTGGTTTTGGGGTTTGAGGAAATGAGAAAAAATCTGAAAAATCTATAGATCTTGATTTGTGGGCAGTGCCAGTACTAATCTTGGAATACCCATTCATTTTCTGATTATTTCTGCCTTGGAGTTGGAGGAGAAGGAGGTAGGATAGAGGGTAACCCAACCTGTTTGTGTGTGTATAAGGATTAAGGACAGACAGTGAAGCTGTATGTATATAAATTTATAACAAGTGAGGGACCAATTAGTATTTGACCAAAATGTCCGATACGGCAAGCAAGTGAATAGTATATGTGGTTGAGACCTCAGCTCACATTGATATATAAATAAGAGTAAACACATTTTTTAGTCCCTAGTAATATCTACGAAATCCTTTTTAGTCCCTGGCAATAAAAAAGGATCAAATTGGTACCTAACAGTATGTAAAAAGGGCCATGTTAGTGACGGAGGAGTTGACATAAGGACTATCATGGCCCTTTTTTCATAATTTTAGGGATCAAGTTGATCTTTTTTTATTGCCAGGGATTAAAAAGAATTTCGTAGATACTTTCACGAATCAAAAAAGTGTTTACTCTATAAATAAATATATGTGACTGACTGGTGAGATAGATTCGGAATTTAAAAAACAAAAAAACAAAGGGTAGTTGGATTTGGTAATCTAAAATCAAACATAGCCTATAGGTACTTTACTTAGATGTCAAAAAGCTGAGTGAGAGTGAGGAATTTTCTACAGTTTTGACAGATAATATTCCGAAAGTGTGATAAATGAAATTGCAATTTCGCACGCATGGGCACGGGCATGGGCTTAGTAACAAAAATGTTGAAGATAGCTTTTAACCATTATTATTGATGTAAAAAGGCCACAAGGGATAGTACTGTCGGAAGTCACATGTCCATGTGAGGCATTCACGAATTATGCATCTGAACTGAGAACTGAGAACTGAGGACGGTAGTTAATGAACACGTGGATATCCACTTTGCCCTGTCATAATGGGCAAATCATTCACTGTCGGTTTGACCATGCCATGATTCTTCATTGTTTGGCCGATTAACTATATCATATAAATGTCATCGCTAAATCAATTTTATTTTTTATATTATTGATACATTATACATACACCACTTAACAAAATTTTAATTATTAATTGATGTAACATTAGTACGAATATTTAATGTGCAAAAAACTGTCTAGTCAAAGTCAACGTCGTAATAGTAATTAGACATAAATGCAAATAATGGATGGATGCTACTTTTACAATAATAAAAGTCATCCCAATTTATTTTTAATATTATCGTTAATTCGTGTGAAGAACAGTAAATGTGACTGCCGTTAATCTTGTTCATTCATTATTGATAACAAGAGTCGTTTTCTTGTTTTAAATGAAGAATTTTGGGTCAGCATTATACAGCTTTCTGTAAAGAACTTTGAGGTCACCACCTCAAAAGCTAGCTCAAGGGGTGGGAGTGCCCAAGGCCTTATAAATGCCATATTAGTTGCCCATCCAATCAATGTGGGACTATATATCTCAACACGCCCCCTCACGCAAGAGCCTTTTTAGGCTAGAAGCGTGGAATTGCACAGGCCCAATTTTTTGTTTACCTTTTGTGCTATTTTTATTTATTTTAATTCCACTTTAAAGCGGGGGACGGTGAGGCTCTGATACCATTTAAAGAACCTTGAGGTCACCACCCCAAAAGCTAGCTCAAGGGGTGGGAGTGCCCAAGGCCTTATAAAGGCCATACTTTCATCTCGTAACTACGGATGGAAATGAGATTACTAAAAGAGAACTGATGAATTAATGAGATGGGACGGAACAAACCATCATAATTCATGTTCAGTGTGATGTTTTTTTTTTTTTTTTTTTTTCAAGTTTGATTTTGATGCATTTTTTCCTTAATTTTTTTTAATGATATCACTCAATTATTTGCAGAAATTATTGAAAAAATTGAAATTTTTAATAATTTAGCTTAACGAGAATTCTATAATCAATTAATCATTTTGTATATTCTTATTAACATTAGTATTAAATCAAAATTACTTTTAAGTTTTAACTATAGTAAATCTAACTATTCTTTTACCAAAAATAAAAAATAAAAAATACCAATGTGACCAACAAGTTAAGTACATGATGTTTAAAATTCATCGTTTAAATTTTTAGTGGTTACATTATCTATCAATTGACATTTAGATGTAAATTTTTTTCCATATACATAATTTAAATAAAAAGAGTGATCGTATTTATTTTAATATGGTAATTTAATTTTTTTAAGACATTAAAAAAATATTTATATTTATTTTTTTGGTTTTATAAAATAATTTTTTAACTCCATCTTAATTATATTTAGATAACTTTACCTTAAAGACACTAAATATTGATCAAAACTTTTATTTATTATGTTATCTCGAATTTATTAAATTTTATAAACACATTTATTTTAATTTTATAATTTATGCGCTCCAAATCTTAATTTGAAGCGTGCAAACTGGATTTCAAAAATAACATATTGAATAAAATTAGGATTTGGCGGTATTTGAATATAATTTGGATTTTTTAAATTCTGATTTGAAAAATTTTAACTAAGCTAAATCATAAATTGCAAAATAGAATCTAATAAGTGAACTTAATCGATCCAAGTATCATTTTCTACGGAATTACTGTTCATCTTCGAAGTGTAATCTTTTTTTTATATATATATATATAAATCAAAGTGTAGTCTTTTGATATGATGGTGGTCTGAACTGTGAATCCCTCCAAAGTGTAATCTTAATATTGCAAAACAAATCATGCCTTACTTGAAGTATTCATTACTTTGGTTAAAGGTTAAAAATTTTATTAAGTCTACAAAATTTCCAGTTCCAACTCAACTTTCTCGCTCCTCCTCCTTTACTCTCTCTCTCTCTCTCTCTCTCTCTGATTTCCTTCCCCCCTTAAAAATGCAATCTTTACGTTAGGGTTTCGAAATCCCAGATACAAACCAAACACTGCTCAGCCCGATCGCCTATTATCGAACTTAGCTATTTCCCGCCTCCGTTTTTACGGGTTTCACTCCGATTCCGAGCCTAGAAACAGTGATGAGCTCTTATGCACCGTAATTATGTATGGTTTTTGCAACAAATCTTGGTTTAAACTGCAAATTTTGCTTAATTAAAAGTTTTGACTAAGAATGCATTTGTTTTGAAGTACATGGTGGCCTCTGAATGTGCTGGGGTGGGACATGAAATGTCTGAATTGTAGCCAAGCATAAATCATTGACTTGTACGAAACTTTTGATTATTATTATTATTAGTTTTGATTTTAGTTTTGATTTTGGTTTTGAAGTACATGGTGGCCTCTGAATTGTGGATTTTGGTTTTGATTTCATTGGAGGAGAGTGATGTGCTGAGTTATGGCACTTAAAGTTCCAGCTCCTAAAGCTGCTGAGATTGCGATTGGGTCCATCGGGCGTGGTTATGATATATGTACTGATCTAAGGCTTAAGTATTGTAAAGGAGATTCCATAAATTCACGTTTGATTGAGATAGATGAGGATGATGTTAGAGAGGTGGTTTTACCTGGCGGAGTTTCAATACCAAATGTTTCCAAATCAATAAAATGTGATAAAGGGGAACGCACGAGGTTCAGGTCTGATGTTCTGTCTTTTCAACAGGTAAATTTTTCTGTTTTTTTTTCAAGAGGAAAATTCCGTACACTTTTGTTGCTTGAATGAAATTTTTGGCTGTTAAATTAGAAGTAAATCATGAGCAGTGTCATGCATCACTGTACTCATTTCCTTTCATATTTTAGGGCGTTGCTTGTGATCTCCTTATTGGAGTACACTTTTCCTTCTTTGCTAGATAATAAATGGATCAAATAGATTCCTTGACAACCTAATTAGTTACTGTGGAAATTTAGTTTTGAATTAACTGAAATGTAGGAAGTTCATTACCTGGCCTCAGCCATTGGAAAGAATCCTCCCCCTCTTATTATTGTGTTTTGTTTGTAACTCTCTCCTTCTGGTCATTTGGCGATGAAATTTGTATTGAAAATGACGAGTCCCTGTTACGTTGCTTTAACACTCACTGTCCAAAGCCAATGAGGATTGGCTCAACTGGTAGGATCGAATTGAAATATATTGGGTTTGATTTCTGTTGGTAATCCTTCCTTGGTAGGTCATCTGTAAGTAACCACTGTAAGTCGTCATTAAGGCTCGTGGTATGTCCTAACCTTGGAACGGGACAAAGTTCTGTTCTGCCTAATCTTTTCCACACACACACACACACACGCATACACACACACACGCACACACACATATATATAACCCTAAGTAGCCAAAACATCTTAGAATTATGAATCTCTCTGAAGGCTGTTGAATTGTATTTCTGAATGCTTTTGAAGGGGCAGATAAATTATTTCTTTTATTTATAATTTGTAATTTAACAGTGGTGATGAGATTTCTTCTTGTCAACAATTTAAGTTTTGAAGAATGTGTGCATTGTCTCCCTTTCACTGGCTGGTTGCTTCTTTTAAATGTTTTCAGATGTCAGAGCAGTTCAATCAGGAATTATCTTTGGCTGGCAAAATTCCCTCAGGGCTTTTCAATGCAATGTTTGAATTTTCTGGTAGTTGGCAGAAAGATGCAGCCCATACCAAGACCCTTGCTTTTGATGGAGTGTTAATTACCCTTTACACTGTTGCACTAGAGAAGTCTCAGATGGTACTCTGCGATCATGTCAAAAATGCTGTACCACCATCATGGGACCCACCTACATTAGCAAGGTGAATTGAGCTTTTAAAATATAATCTTCTTCAAATCGTGAAACTATTTTCAATTTTCATGTCAAGTGAAATATTTTTACCTTCTGAATTCCAGTTTTGACATCTTGGTCAGTTCTTGGAATTACGGGTACCTGCTCTGGTTTGAGCTTATGAGCCTTAGTCTCACTTCATATAAAGATTCATTGTATCAAAAAGACGGAAAATACCTTTAATAATTATTGAATATACATAAATTCTTAACTCGAATTCAGTAGAGGCTTCTCTAATATATCATCTGTTATTTTACGACTCAGGATTTAAATATTTGTGATTTGTATTTTCACCCCTATATGTTATGCACACGTGGTAGAAAATTTCTGATAGTGACAGTATGAATGAGCTTAATGACTTGAGTTTCACTTTAGCCAGGGAGTTAGATGTAATACCAGATTTATGTCAGCCTGTGGTTACATATATCTGATTATTTTTTCAATGAGATTCAATTTTATTAATTTAACATCATTTTACTCCCACTTTTCCTTGCTCATCAACATCTTTTTATATAGAAAAATTTGACTTGGGCTTATAAATAATAATAATAATATCTAGCCAGGGCATAGTTGATGGGTGCCAATTATAAGCCAATTTTATGTGATACAAACTTATTTTGGCATGTAGATTCTCTGGTTTTGGTTGTATATTTGCATTTAAATTTAGAATATAAGGCTTCATAAATGGTTGTTATCAAATTAGGACTGATTTGGATGTGTAATCTTCTCTTCATTTAGTTTTTTAGTTTCAAATTTTTCTTTACATTGGTTGAATGCACCTGTCATGTTGAGACTAACTAGAGGGTGCACCACTTAAATTGACTGTCTTAAAAATTTATTTGGTTCTATTAGGATTAACTATTACCATTTATCTATTAACTATATTTTGATTTGAGACTCTGGCCAACTGTTTCTATTCACAATTGTTCCAGGTTTATTGAGACCTTTGGCACCCATATTATTGTTGGTATGAAGATGGGGGGAAAAGATGTAATATATTTGAAGCAGCAGCATTCATCAACTCTCCAACCTGCTGATGTTCAGAAAAGATTGAAAGAGATGGCAGATAGAAGGTTTCTGGATTCCAATGGCCAATTTAGCATTGCTTCCGATCAAGTTTTCCCAAATGACAAGGTTTGTAAAAAACTTCACTATGCTTTTCCTTTTATGATACATTTAACATCAAAATATTGAAAATCATTGTTATGCATCTTTCTTTTACCTTGTATCTGAATTTAGGAGTAGTGTTTCACGTTGCATTTACAATTATACAGATAATGCCTAAAAAAAATACATGAATGCATATATCTATTATCTTCTAGTCTTACATAAATTTCTATACCTTAATTTTTTAGCAATTAGACTCTCTTTATCACAAAGTTCTTCCATGAAAAGAATCAAAGATAAAATATGAAAGCAGTAACTTTGTACTGTGCCATTTTTGCTGCATGAATTTCATGTCCCGAAGAGACTTCAACTAAGGCTTTTAGCCATGTGTAGGCTATGAGTAAAAAATTAGAGGCCCAATTTTCGGGAATGAAAAAAGGTATTTCTAGATCCAAGAAAATGTGTGGTTTGAATGGACTTGTTAGAGGAAATGTTTGGAGTTTTGAGCCCAGGGACAGATCATTGCTCATCCTGCTATGTAGATATTGCTATTTCATGAAAACATCAGAATATGATTTCTTTGGAGTGGATGCTTCTGAGATTTAAATAAGTCCTACCCTGTGTTGTGCTTTGATATTTCATGCATTTAACAATGGTTCCAAGGCCCCCACTTCCACATATATTATTTTAAACAATGTAAAAACAATACTTGCACAGACTATGCGAGGTATATGTACAATTTGGGCCATTCAGAACATGTTACAGTGGGACCAAGATGTTATCCAATGACTTGCATTGGAGTCCATGAGGAGTATGATAGTATAAGTTTGTGCGGGAGTCATTGCTCTAAAATAAATTATTATTTACTTGCAAGGTTTGTGAATTGCAATCGTTGTGTCAAATTAATTGATCTCAAATAATAATCTCCTCTTTGTAATGTTAATTCATGTCAACTCTCAGTTCGGATTGGAGGTATCTAATCAATTTTGCTTCCCCTCAGTTTGGAATCAGGGAGCAGAGGCTAACATTTGCCAATATTAGTCCATCAAGTTCTTATTCACATAAGGAGGTGTGCTTAGAACATTTAACCTTCAAAATATTTTTAATATTTATATTTACAATAGCAATTGTTCTTAAATTATTTTTTATTGCAGGACATTGTAAGCATTTGGAAGAGGAGGGGTGGAAGTGATGGCAGAAATATATCCCATAATGAGTGGTTGCAGACTGTTCAGTTGGAGCCTGATGTGATCTCAATGTCCTTCATTCCAATTACGTCTCTATTGAATGGAGTGCCAGGGAGTGGATTCTTGAGCCATGCCATAAACCTTTACTTACGATGTGAGCAAAATTACTACTTTTATTTGCATGTATTCTATGCGAATAACATTAGCATATGCTATTTGATTATAACTGTTGCCCACAATGTGGTAGACCAAGCTCTTCTATTAGGTACAAAATTTTAAGGAGATCATGTAGTTTATGGTTCATTTGTGATAGCTGATAATAGATTAATAAACTTGTAAAGGCCAGTAGGCCCCCGCGCACTTTTGTACCTCTGAGAAGCGATTCTTGAAAGTTGTATTAACTTCAAAGCAGTTTATGCATATGAAAAATATATCTATTTTTCTGCAAACAAGCTATCATAGACTGTTAGTTGTATTGTAGGATGATCTCCAGCCCCTCCTGTACCTTTAACTGTTCTTGTTGCATGACCATAAATACTTGCAATCTTTGTCTGAATGGACTCAGACTTTCCTTTACACATTGAAAGTTGATTGTCTTCTGGTCTAATGCATAATATCATCACAGAGTTAGCATATCCCCAGGAGTCTTATGAATTTGATTGATCAACAACCACTGTGAAAATATACACTAGTGTGAGTATTTTTCACAGCTTGTGGTATTTGGAGTTGTGCTTCCTCTAAAAGCTTAAAACTCAGTGAATCAGCCTTTTTGTTTTTAATTTTTTTATGCATACGGTTTCCTACATCACTCTGATCTTCCTGAGTGCCTCCTGTGACACAGGGAGACCTTTCTCTAGCCTTTTTTTTTTTTTTTTTTTTTTTTTTTTTTTTTTTTTTTTTTTTTTTTTTACCATTACTAGTTTATTTTGAGACTAATGAAGATTATTTTTTTCAAAAAAATGCTTTAGAAAAAAAATGTTATTGAATTTATAAAGGACATAAACATATCCATTCTTCTGGACCAGCAAATATTTCCTGCCATTATGTTTGTATTAAGAGATACTCAGAATGATATAAAGATAATTACATTTTAGATCAGTGCTTCTGTAGATGTATAGTTTAACTATTACCCTTTATTCAATTATCTAATATTCTACAGAAAGCAAAAATACCCCACCTAGTGGGAAAAGGCTTTTGTTGTTGATGTTGCTACAGAGAACAAGAATCCCATGATGGCATGGCATTGTTCATGCTAAGTTATAACAAATTTAATTTGTAGAATAAAAGGGAAAAACAATTGATTTCAATAAATGGCATATTTTGTGGCTTGACCATTTTCACAAAGCACAAAATTTGGCAGTGTGGTTTTATAGGCTAGCCTAGAGCATCTTTCATATCTGTCATGGTTTAAAATGGATGCTGGAGAATGAGAAATGCTTTCTGATTCAATACTTTTGTGCTTCTAATAGACGTTTCATATATAATGGTTGTGTTTATGAAATGAAGAATCCATATTATGATGAAGTTGACTACAAATTCTCGCGCAAATACTCATGGATTTTTGGATTCACCCATTTCCTCTTCTCTTGTTGGCTGTGAAGGATAAACGATTAGTCAACAGAAGAGAAGAGAAGCATTCAACCTTCGTTTTTAAAAGTTTTATTTCATTTTAGAATTTAATTTGATTGGCTTTGAATGAACCTAATATCATATAAAATACTTTAAGATCCATATTCCCAAACCAAATGACGTTTTGTTGGAGAAATATGTGTGCTTGCTTCAGGAGTGTGTATAGATGGCTCCCACAACGATTTAAAAATGTTGAAGCATTGCTCTGCAATACCAAGTGCTGAAACATAAGAAAGGATGCCCTTATTATTAGAATAGCAATTAAATGTCAGTATGATTCATGTACATTGTGCATTGTCCAAGGCCTGGATTTTTTGCTCCTTGAAATTAAATTCCCATGAATCACCTTTTTTAATTTGTTTGTCTTTATTGTTGGTTGATTTCACATAAATTATCTTAGCTAGTTCAAAATGCTTAATTTTCTGCATTGATTCTTGCAGATAAACCACCAATTGAAGAGCTGCACCAATTCTTGGAATTCCAGCTTCCAAGGCAGTGGGCACCTGTATTCAGTGAACTTCCTCTTGGTCCACAACGGAAGCAACGTAGCTCTGCATCTTTGCAGTTTAGCTTCATGGGGCCAAAGCTTTATGTAAACACGATACAGGTAAATGCTTGTTCTTCTTGGTCCTGGACGTCTCGGTACTCAGTGGCTGTGCCTCTATAGATCATAGGAAATCATGTTCATGTCATTTGGTTGGTTATTCAGGAGGACCAAGAAGGAAAAATATGTGATTGGAAAATTTATGGGAAGATTTTAGGATTTATTTTTAGTAGAGCATGTACTGGAACCTAGAATTGCAAATAAAGAGGCATCTTTATAGTTCATGTGGTATAAACTAAAACTATTGATGTATTTTATTACCATTCATCAGTTCAGTATTTTTCTAACTTGGACATTCTTAAGTTTTCGGTCTTTGATTCTCTTTTTTTATTTTGTTTTTGGGTGGAACTTGGGTGACTTTATTCTTTATTTGTTTTAATAGTCCACCACACTTAAGTTCTTTGAAAGCATTGTACTAATACTTATGAATCATGGTATTAGTAACTTGTGATTTTTGTGCTAAGGCCTGGGAAAAACTTTTGTCATTTTTTTACAGGTTGATGTGGGCAAGAGGCCAGTGACTGGTCTCCGTCTTTATCTCGAAGGTAAGAAAAGCAATCGGTTGGCCATCCATTTGCAACACCTTTCATCTCTTCCAAAAATCTTCCAGCTTGAGGATGATCCAAATGATAACTTTCGGCGGGAGTCCTATGATAGGAGATTCTATGAGAAGGTTCAATGGAAGAATTTCTCCCACGTGTGCACTGCTCCTGTGGAATCTGAGGAGGATCTTGCAATAGTAACAGGAGCACAATTGCAAGTTGAAAATTATGGCATAAAAAATATACTATTCTTAAGACTTCGATTCTCAACTGTATTGGGAGCTAAAGTGGTAAAGCATCCTGAGTGGGATGGATCTCCTGGGCTGGGAGCCAAGTCAGGACTCATATCCACTCTAATTAGCCAACACTTCACAGCAACATTTCAGAAACCACCTCCGCGTCCAGCAGATGTTAATATAAATTCTGCTGTGTATCCGGGTGGCCCTCCCGTGCCTGTCCAAGCTCCCAAGCTTCTCAAATTTGTTGACACAACTGAGATGACCAGAGGACCACAAGAGACTCCTGGCTATTGGGTTGTCTCTGGAGCTAGACTTCTTGTTGAGAAGGGCAAAATTTCTCTCCGGGTTAAGTATTCTTTGTTGACTATGGTATTACCAGATGAAGAGTTGTTGGATGATCAGTAGCTGATTCGTCCTTCTTTAGGTCTTGCCTGCAGCAGAACTCTGTAAGTATTCATCATCGAGGAGTCGGAGAGAAAAGGGGAGGGAAGTTATCATCAAGAAAACTGATTTTAGTTTTGCTAATCAGGGAGGCCTTCTTACAGTGAAAGCACATTGTATAAGGAGTGCAGCAGCTTTTCTCTCCTATTTTAGTCCTACTTTTAATGTATACTTTTACAGTCCAGCACAATGACTTAATGAAATTTACTAGTAGAAATCAACTCACTGCCTTTTCTTGTGTTGATAAGATCACCTTGAGAAACTATGGTGTAAACACTTAAGTATATATCAATTTGATACGTTGAGAAATTATGTCATCTTTCTTAATATTCTTATTACTGATTTGAGGTTAGCTGGTACTTGAGCAAAACTTTTCTAATAATGGAGAGGATGGACAAACACCTATGGTGATCCGTAAATATTAAAGATGAATGGTAAAGCTGGACTCAACGTATCATATCTTGTCACCTTGCCGTTCATACGTGCTGGCTAATATTCTTTTGGTATATCACTTGTTACTGTTTGCTGCTTGTTTCTATACTGAAGTTTGCAAACTATTAGTTTCATGGAAAATGGTAGGCACGGCACTCGGTGCATGTTCAGTTTTGGAGATTTTTTTTTTTTTAAATCTCTTTTAATAAGTTTTTGATCATACAATGTTTGGAATTGTAAGATGTGGATGACCATATATTACTGGGATGCGAGTGATATGGCACTAATTTTTTATTGAATATGCAAAGCTGCTTACATCAAAGTAGCAGTTCACAATGATTTGATATATACATCAGTAAATATTTTTTGTATTATACGGATATTTTTAAATTTGAATAAAATATAAAAAAATATATTTTAAAAGAAAAGAATACTTAAGAAAAAAGTACGATTACAAAGGAGGTAAATATAACTAACTTAAATAAAAATTAATTATAAATAAGGTATATATAATTAATTCAATAAAATTTAGATTCAAAATAAAGTATTCATTTTCTTATATTGTTCTATGGTCTCACATTTCTTATTATGTTTGTATTATTGGAAAGATGAAATGAAGGAAAAGGAAACGAAATGACATTACTTGCCATTCTTTGAATTATTGATAATGTAGTGGAATGGAACGAATGGAATATGATGAAATCTATTTTAATTTATTCCATGTAATACTTCTTCTATTTTTGTTTCTCATTTTGAGGGTATGAGATGGAATTAACTTATTTTTTTTTATTAATTTCCTTACCATTCCGTTTAAGTGTCAAACAATACAGTGTACATTTTTATTTTTATTTTCATTCCATCATAAAATATCTAAACAATGGTATACTAAATTTATTCTATTTCATTCCACCTTTTATCATTTCACTACACTCATCATTAAATATCCAACCATAACCTAAGTAGATACATATCATTTTATTCATTTTTAAAAACATATCCCTGTGGCTGTAGTTCTCCTTTCTCATTGAAAATGCACAAAGAAAACATATGTGATGGGGAAGAGGAGGGACGACAAGTGGTGACAATGAGAAAAAATGCTGCAGAGATTGATAGGAGAGTAAAAAGGAAACATAGCATGCTACACAATCAAATATTGAAGGACGTTTATGCAGCAACTTCAGACCAAAATTATATTGCAAGTTCACAAATTTGAAGGGCTTCCCTTACTCGGTCATGTTGGAGGACAACCAACATGGAAAAAGCAGGTTTCACATTTTGATATATAAAATACAGTAAGTATATATGGAAAAAATTGACTTAAGTTGGTAGTCTCTGAGTAACTGTTTGCATAGAAATTCACTAATAAATATATTGTAGGTTAGAAAAATTTGCGCTAATTAAATACAAAATGATGTTCATGAGAAGGCCAATAAGTCCCTTCCCTTGGACAAGGCAGAGGAGCAGGTTGGGCGATGTAGGTAGGATATTGCTGCCCTGGCATCAATACTGATAGATCAGACGCATAAGATGATGGAACCTGTTACACACACACACACACTCATATTTGTTAACACTGTCCCTCATTAACGTCCATATAGATGTTAAAACGTGAAGCACATAACAAGAGACTATAATTTCCAAAATATAATGGTCACTTTTTATAATGAAGTAATAACCAACTTTTTATAGTCAAAATAACAAATGCTCAAATTTTGAAGAGTTAAACAAGATCATATATCTCAGAAATCAAGTTAGATATTGTAAAGAACCTTCAGGTCACCACCTCAAAAGCTAGCTCAAAGGATGAAAGTGCCCAAGGTCTTATAAAGACCACATTCGTTGCACATACAAAACCAATATGGGACTATATATCTCAACACGCCTAGGGGTGTCAATATGGGTTTTGACACGCGGGTCGACCCGCGACACGACACGAAAATTCGTGTTCGGGTTGACCCGTAAAAAAATTCGTGTCGTGTTCGTGTTGGGAAAAATGACACGCAAAAAATTCGTGTCGTGTTCGTGTCGACCCGTATTTTTTTTTAATTATTATTTTTTAATTTTTATTTTATTTTCGATCTATTTTTTAATTTTTTTTGTCAATTACCGTTTTGACCCCTATTTTGCGTGTTATTCGTGTCGTGTCGTGTCAACCCGTAAAAAATTCGTGTCGTGTCAGTGTTGAAGATTTTGACACGAATAAAAATTCGTGTCGTGTTCGTGTTGATGTATTCGTGTCGTGTCAACCCATATTGACACCCCTAAACACGCCCCCTCACACAAGAGCCCATTGGGCTTGAAGAATGGACAATGCAACAGGACTAACCTACCTGTGCTAAGAAACGCCACAAGAGAAAGTGGAGGGTGGCGAAACTCTGATACCATGTAAAGAACCTTGGGATACACCACTCCAAAAGCTAGCTCAAAGGGTGGGAGTGCCCAAGGTCTTATAAAGACCACATTCGTTGCACATACAACCAATGTGGGACTATATATCTCAACAGATATCTTCAATTTTATGCCTTTATAAAAGTGAATAATTATTTTGTTACACGGGTTAATTGTCAAAACTATTTTTTTTTCCCATGCATGAAAATGAAGTTTAGAGAGATGCCAGGTTCTAGAAACACCATCATATGATAATAAAACCAAGGTAAAACATTATGAAGAGGCTTACTGTTTGTGTATTTCCTTGTTTTCCTGGTGGTACTGAGTGCTCCTGATAACCTCCAGGCATAGCTCTTGGTGTGGAAAACTGTGGGCTCGGTTTAAACAAATGTTCAAAAATGGCCATTATAAGAAACATTGAAATCAAAATGGCCGTGGCAACAAAACCAAAAGAAATAGCACTCATAGATGTCCCAAAGCTTTTCCATGGAGCTTCCTCATCAACTCCAGTTTGTGATGGACCTGGGTTTGAAGCTGTGTATATGTCCCATGGCTTTGATCTTTCAATGTTTAAATCGCTCATAGTAGAGGTTACTAAATATTTTTCCTTTTCAATCTGTCAAATTTTGTTTTTTTTTCCTTCTAAAGAGAAAAAGAACAGAAAAAGAATCACTGGCTGCAAGTAACCATAAGTATCGTGGAAGCTAAGTTAGATGAGGCTGCGGCTTACAAGATCTTTTTTCAATATATCTTAAGTTGATTTGAAGAGAAATTCTGTCCTGAAACAAATGAAAAGAGAAAGCATCAATACTCTCTTATATAGAGAAGTTCAGTGAAGAAATGGGAAAATTTTGAAGATGCAAAGTAACATCAAACATTTCTTAAGAGGCATTATTTTACACCAAATTTTCTCTTTTATCTTTTATTTGATACTTGTGGGCAACACTCTATTCCACAATTAAAATCGTCAAGGGGAAATACAAACATCACCAAGCACAGGATAACTCTTGAGTGCTCCAGTAAATAAATCATCAAGTTGTGTATGGTTAAGGCTAAAATTTAGTGAAAACTACAATATCCAGAGATCCCCTTGTAAAGTTAATTATATATATGAATCTGGAACGAAGTGGCATATAATATTTGCATTAGTTAATGCATTATCTAGCATCTACAAATAAGAGAAGATTCAAAACGGGAAAGAGTGGAGAGAAATGAAAGCCACATATGTAAAGCTAACAACTCATCAATTTTGAAGGCTATGAAGTCATTGACACTGGACGAATAGAAGTAACCATGAGAAGTCTTAAAAGGCACGATAATATGAACACTCCAAATAAAGTAATTTCAAGAAAAAATAAGCGCTTGTTTGGCCAACAAAACAAATTGATTAATTTCAAAGGACATGATAAATTCAGACACAGCAACTCTAAGAAAAGTTAAAATTACCCAGAAAATGCAGCAGAACAGGTTATAAATAAAGCATTTAGAAATGCCATTGGAATAATAAAAGCAAGATTAGCACAGTGCCCATCCTTGACGATAATTGGTTCCATGTCAATAGACAGTGTGTCATTCTCCAGTAAGTAAACAGAAATAACAGAAGAGAATATTAACTTACTTTTCAGTTTTTCTTTGTGATATGGGATCAGCATGGAGCATGGTGTTCCAGTTTCTTAACTGCCATCTTTTAAAGCAAGAGTTTAGAGCACACTTGTCTATGCGATTATGCTTCACACAAACATGATGCTCAGCACGGTTAGCTTTATACCCAATAGAAAAATGTAAAGACAAAGGTGTATGATAATCCTATTGGGACGCTTTTCTATTTATGTTCCCATGTCGATGATCTTGATGCCTAACTTATTGAATACTATACCTTGTCAGAAGAAGCAAACTTTAAGAAATAAAAAAGAATGGGCCTTACTGTCTGGAGAGCCACAACAAGATTTTTCAATTGCTGTTTTTAAAACTAAAAGTAATCCAAATAACAAGGTTGTTATGGTTAATCCAATCCTTTAAGTCACATGAATAGTGTCTCTTGGTGGGACAAGTGCAAGCAATAATTTCCAACCACCCCTATTAGAATTGACAACATTCCTTAGATGAATATGAATCTAATAGTTTTATACATTTTAAAAGCAACCATTTTCATCATAAACATAGTTATTTCTATAATTAAAATTAATACAGCAATACACCCAATAAAAGAAGATAGGCACAGGTTTGGGAAGTAAGAGAAAATATTAAAAGTGGAGGCATGAGCCTTTTCATGACATCTTTGAGGATTAAAGCTTAAAGATCCCTCTTTGATAGTAATATTAATATTTCCAACATAACCATTCAAATGTAATCATGAGGAAAATTGCACTCTGAATCTTTCATAATCTCATAAAATCTCCACTGATTAAAAGATATAAAAAGAAGAGAAAAAGGCTGCTGCAATGTCATGCAAATACCAAGTCATACATTACAAAAAATAAAATAAAAACGAATACAGTACAAGTAAAATAATAGTAATGATTATTATATAATAAAATAATTAGGAAAAGGTAGAGGGAGAAGGAAAGTTGAACATCTTACAGCTAAGCAGTAGCAGAATAGCCATGATTCAAGTGAAGAAAGAAATGTGTTTATAGGGGAAAAAGAAACAAAGCAAGTAAAAGCGGTGATGTAGACCACTTTCATTCCTCATGTTCAGCCCAAAATAACCTGGTTAAGGGAAAACCATAGCTTTTGTCAGAATCACTAGCGGTCAAGAGCCAATGACTAATACCATCTGCAAAGTTTTATGTTGAATAAAATGCACAAATAACACGCATTTCTGTTATAATTTATCCCCAAAATCCAAAGTAATTACAGAAAAGAATGAAGCAATAATTAATAGAAAAATGATTGAAAGAAATGCATTGAGTAAACATCTTTTGTCAACGAGGCAATCACACTGTCTGAGGAATTAGAAAGCATCAACAACTATCTAAATAACCAACCAAACCCAAAAAGAAAAGAAAAGATGAATTTGAGGAGACTAGGAGGGAAAGAGATGCAAACATCACTTTCACCTTACAGCATGACAATCAATTGGTTTTGGAAGACATTGTATTAACTACCACTAACAATTATTGCCAAGTTGACACGGATGTAGGGATAAATTGTGGGGTTACTCCTCAGGTTCTCTCAGTACTTGCAGCATTTGAAGTAATGCAAAATATAAAAGAGTACGAATTCTCAGTTATTTGATGGAGAATCAAATTACATACCCTGTTTCAAAGCATAAGAGATAAAAGGACAGTTCAAGAAAAAGAAGACTGTTCGCCATTTGCATGTAAGACATGTTTTTAACAAAAGAAGATGGACCCCATGACAAGAAAGCGCACTAAAGAAAATGTTGAAAAACAGATTGAAACATATATGTCTTCATCTTAAGCAACCTTGACTTTTACAACAAAGAATAAATCTACATACATAGTCCAAACAAGATAATATAATTCGTTAAATTGATGAATATGGAGTGCAGGCTGTGCTGTGCAGTGCAGTGCTGCACTCCCAATATTTTATGATCAATTTACATCTCTGTCACGTTCATGCTCTCTGCTTGTTCAGATCACCATGAGACCCCAACTTCACACAGCCTTCTTGCAAGTTTCACATTATTCTAACACTAATAATAACACTTCTTTTATTACTTTTCATTAAACAAATTTAATTTTTATAAAACTTTCTATACCATATAATTCAGTAATTGTATACAACCCTTTGCATTATTAGTATACACAAAAAGTTATGATGTTAAAAATGATTTATCCGCTTATTTGCCACTCCCGCGCTAGTGATCAAGAATATGAAAATGAAAATGAACCAAAAAAATTGTAACTAAATTTACGATTTCTGGTTGGTGAGGATATTTTATTTCATATTCAGTTCAAAAAGAATTATGATTTAAATAGAATTTTTTATGCATACGTACTGTGAATTGGAATTGCAGCTATAGAGTGGATGATGGATCGGAAACTGCATGGTATGTCATATTGGATTGGGCTCCATGGAAAGATGTGTCCCAGTCACACAACAAAATGAGTTAGCCCATTAAATAAGTTGTGGACTTAAGGATGAGATCCTCAGCACCCAAAAAAGATTTTGTACATTGAATAATAAATAAAAGTGTTCATTAGTAAAGGTAAATAAACAAAAAAGGGAATACTATGTTATGAGACGTGTCGTGAATAAGTATGGCACATGTTGATGTATCTTTCATCCCATGTTTTTCTATTTGTCTTTGTATTAAATTGATGATTTTTATTGATCAGAAGTTGTCACTTGTAGTATGAAGTTTTGTTATGAAAGAAGTACAAAAGCAAATAGAAAAGGAATACATCATTTGTGTCGATCGATGAGATAGAATCATGCACATCTTTACACCTAAATCTTAAAGAAAACGAGTGGGGCCTAAGCCCAAAGAAAAGAAACAACAAAACTGAAAGAAGTAAAGTATGTTGTTGCTTCCAATTCCAATATACAACCCAATTTCATTGAGAGTCCAACTCTTGTTGAAAGAGGTTGATCCAATAAAGCTATAAAATTACTCAATCTGCAAATAATGGTTGATGTCCATATATCATGCCAACCCAGATTGAGGCCTAGAGCAAAGCCCATATACAATGCCAAAATCCTTTGAGAAGTGATGTTTAGACTTTAGACACGTTCATTCTTCAAGGTTTAGTGAGTAGAACTCAAGTATGTGATCCGAGGCTATTTATTAATCAGTCTAGACCAGGTTATCGTGAACATCGTTGTTTCTATTATGGACAAATGCTTATATATTCTAGAAATATTACACCACTTTCCTGAAAATATAATATGTCATATAAAGCTTTATTAAATCAAGTTTAAACGGTTACAAAATTGTTCAAAGTATAATTATAACATTTATCTTAGAATTTCTCAAATAGATGATATATGTTTTAGTGCATGGTAGTTTAATGATATGTAGCTCTCATGCAGATGGGAAAAAGTACAGCAACACTTATTTTTCTCAGGAGACGCATACGGATCTTGATGTTTTTTTTTTTTTTTAGGTCAGGATATGACCACGTATCTTAGTGTTAAAAATTTGTTACAACTTTTCTCATCAGCAGTGAAAGTAGAACCGACGATCCCTTAATCTTTATACAAAAAATTATTTTTCAAAAAACTATTTCCGTAAGATTTCAATTATAAATTCTTTTAATACAAAATAAACAATTATTATTTTACTCCTTTTAGGAAATTATTTACTAAATTATTTTATTTTAAAGTTGACTGTGTGGGTGAAACGCATAGTTTTTTTTTAGGATAGGGGCATTTTATTCTTTCTATTTAAAAAAAGAAAAGAAAAGGGGTTCGTTGTCGGAACTCGGAATCCCTTCCCTCATTTCGCTTCGTCACCTTACATTTTTTCTTCCTCTTCATTTATTTTCCCTTTTTTCACCAAATCTCTAAATTGAAAGCTTGATGAAACCTTGAAACTTTATCATTTTTTTTTTTTTCTTTTTCTTTTCTTTTTGAAGGTAGATTTTTGGGGTGATTTCTAAAGTTGCAGAAGGTGCTTTAAGTGAAAATGGTGCAACCCACACCTCAAGATTTGATTTTTCTGACTCTTTGAGGTAAATCTATTATCTAAGGCTTTGAGAAAATCTATAAATCTATATGGGTTTGCTTGAGGTGGTTGTATTCTTGAGCTTTGAGACAAAATTTAGGGTTTTTATCTATCTCTTTATTATCCATTTTTTTACTCTTAAATAATTTCTAAGGCATTGTTAAAATATTTGTGAAGCTCATATTTTATTAAAACATAGTTCAATTGCTTATCCAGAGTCATTTGAAGTGCTTTAGTTGGTTCCTCAGAGCTGTAAGCGGATGATAATTATATACGATGACATGTTTTATTTTTATTATTATAGTTTAATAACAAAAGCATGTGGAAACAAATATTTTAAAATATGACTAGTCAAATTTTTGCATTTTAAAATTACATGATATGGAATTTTATATAATGACATTATATTTATGATTTTTGGCATTTGTAATTATTTTATAAATTTTGGTTATAGATTTTATTATGAAATATTTAATTTATGATGTTAAGATTTTAGAATTTATTTTTATTGTGGTCTTAGGAGGAAAGGACTATTAGTGAGGTAGAGCTGCCATTACTTGATTCTGTTATGTGTGATCCCCGTCATATTAAACTTATGATTTCGTGATGTTTTGTAAATGTTCATTATATCATTCAAAAAAAATTTGATTTCTTATTCATGTATCTATGTTGTTGATTTTGATTTACATTATTTACTTTCATTATTCGAATATATATGTTTATGTTTAAAAGGGTAAAGCACTCATCTTATTTTGTTTCATTTTTCTTTTCATTGTAATTATTACGCCTTCATTGAGTTGGTGTGACCTTTATTTTTATTTTACTATCCGGATCGCCAGGCAGCTGAGTAGCAATTGCTAGGAGGTGCATATCTTTTCGTAGCATATTTTGATAACTCTTTTTTTGGATAGGATGTCATTGCTCAGTTTCATATTTCATAAAAGGAATGATATTCATAAATAATATTGGAAATTACCCGCTCAAATTCATGTTGGAAATTGTGCGCTGGTCATGGCTCGGATCGTGACAATAGATTATATAAAAAAACTCCAATTTTACATGTGGCGTAATCTCATTCATCTTTGATGAGGCTCACAAGGTTAATTTTGGTCAAAAGATAAATATGATCACGTCATATATAAAATTACAATATTTTACGAGATTCACATTATCAACTTAAGATATATCAATAAATTATTTGTAAAGTGTGGTCAATTGATAATTTTTTTTTTTAAATAAAATAAAATAAGAGCACTTTGCTGAATCAAGTGCACATTGGCAGAATGGCACGACATTCGAGTATGGCACAGAGCCAAAATATATATATCATACATAGGGCTTCAAATATTCCTTAAAATTACAATACATCCGCTAACCTCATCGTGTGTCACATTAAAATTTTCAAAGATTCCAAGAAAAGGAAACCTCTAAACCCTACTATTTCTGAGTCTACAAATTAGAGAGAAGGTGAAAGAAATAGATGAAATTATACTTTCTTTTTCCAGGTTAAAAAAAGGAATGATATTCATAAGCGGAAGAGAAAGAAAATGAAGAACATGCAAAGGAAACCCCTATACCCTAACTTATCGGTCAAAATATGGAGCCGAACGTTTTGTTTTGTGGGCCACGGCCACATCTTCGTTAATGCTTTCATCGCATTGCACATCTGTTATAATAATGGACTAATGGTTTATAATGATTCAAACG